ATATACATCTGGGTTCAGCATTTTAGTGGTTTGTATACCAAAACATAATCTCACTCAACAAATGTCCCTCGATCAAATGGTATGGGACCATTATTTGAAACCCATATTCATGTTATAGAAACTGACTAATGATATAGGATGCAGGATGTTAAATATGTTTAACATTACACAGCGAGCGAAGCTTTGAAAAATGTATTGCAATCCTACGATACGAACACCAAAAATCACATTTGTCCTCACTGAAATAGCCTAGAATGAGGAAAATACTCGTACATGTTAATCCAAATCCCTGATGTATCTCCCTCGCCGTGCTGTTCGGGGAAAGAACATGGCCATCTTCTGCGGTGAGATCATCCTCCGCATCACCATTATAGTTTCCCAGAAGCCCTGTGACATTTCCTAAAACAGTAAAATTTATACCAAATGAAATCGATTCCGTCGATTCTCGTGCATACAACTGCAACATGGTTCGTTTTTCTTTATTTGATTCTCCGAACCACCTTCGCTGCAAAGTGTACTACTGAAGTAACCTGGGCATTCTGATGATGAAAGTATTGTATGGTCAGTGATCAATCTCCATCATTATAAAGATTTCATCTTTGTCACATATTTATAGTGCATTAGTTGTAACTAAAGATTGATTTACCACTATTAATTTTAACCGATAAAATAATAGTATGATCTGTTCTCATCATTGTTGAATTTCCCAATTTTAAGTCTTTAAATTTAACGCTTATTCATGATAAGCTTTCTATTTTTTGTTTTAGGAAATTCGAATCAGCGATATCGTGGCTAATAATCGCTAAAGGACAAAAACAAAAGTACATTCTGGTAAGCTGTCAATGAAGGGATCCTCTGTTCATATTTATAATAACGAATTCATACATTTTTGATGCTTTGCCGAGTCTCTGGCGAGGTTAAACGAAAAAAAGTCCTGACAATGTTCTTAAAAAAAGTAGAAGAAAGAAATATTATTTTTATCATATAACTTAAATGATTTTGCAAACGTCACAGATACAGAATCTGAAATGGCAATGTATACTGTAAACGTAGATATCTTATATCTTATATCGGCGGTTAATTGTGTTTTTACAAAAGTGTTGAGCTGGAATAAAATTCCACTAACTGCAGTGGCAGTGTCAGTGGCAGTGTCATTATTTATAACATCGGTACATGTGGTGCGGTTTTTTAAAAGTGATATTTGTTTTTAAATTTCAATTTTTATAAAGAGTGAAGCAGGTATTTCATATAACACCTATGCCACAGTTAATACAAATTTAGAAAAGATACAGCCAAACAATGAGTCAAAATGTATCATACAGCTGTTTCGTCCTTCTAGGACTTGAGAGTAATACCAGCGGCCTGAATATTACACCTAGGAGGCGACCGAAAGAAATGATTAATTAAAGTTAGTTCGATCATTTTAAATGATTTGAATTTCCTGCCATTTGTAATTATAACAAATGCTGTTCGTCAATTGGTTTTGCATTATATACACGTTTTTGTTGGTAGTTTGGTAGTATCATAAGTATTACTTACAGCTGGTCACGTACGAGTACGAAAAGATATCCATTTTATGTAATCTTATTTAAGATTATTATTATTATTAAGATATTATACATTATCCATGTACAAGTATATATTAAATTGTTTTATTTGTCAATGACTTTATATTTTATTTGTTGTATAGATAAGTGCTAGCTGTGGTTATTTTATTTGTGTGTTGATGGCATCATAGTTATTTAGCAAGTTACAGACGGTAGCGGATGCATATATCTGTCAATTTTTGTAATCGCTAGTAAACTACTGCTTGCCAAGTCAGATATGTCAATAATTAATATAATTTGTTATCTTAGTAGTTTATTCCCACGCTTTTGTTTTAAATGTTTGAAAATTGGATTTGGTCTTTGATTTTTTTTGAAGTACATGGAACCTTAGTTAAGATTATTACATTGTATTTCAAGTAATATTGCGAAAATTGGACTGCGCTAATTAAAGCGCGTTTACAGTATCTCTTTGGTGACGTTACAAAGCATATGTTGCCATGATGCTATGACGTCGCAATATAAATCACAGCTCCACAAGGCCATATAATCTGTGTTTCATCAAAAAGTAGATGGGTGCTTTAACATGGATACAATACGTACCTCTCAGGCTGTCCGAACCCGACACGACAGCGACATTGAGTAGGGAGGGATAGGCGAGGATACGAAACGCCAGACTGGGTTCAGTAAATATGATGTTGATCTGCTTTGATGAACCTTCAGTACTATTGCGTTCTGTCATCGTTGTTGATACGCCTAAGTAAGAGATTTTTTTATCACCATATCTTTTTTTGACGTAGAATCAAGCAAAAAATAAATAGATTAAAAAAAATAAAAACATGGAGCTTGTACATCTAATTGAAATAACAACAGTAGAAAACAGTTTTGTGTTTGGAAATTAAACAGCGCCAGGGATAAAAAAAATCAAGTACGATAAGTTATATTATCAATAACTGTTGTTGATATTGCCGATATATTATATATTGTTGTTTTAACAAATATATTTATAACGTTTTAATATATTGAGACAATTATTGCAGCAGTGATGTATAGTTACCAATAAAATGAAGAGAGCGGTAATGAGTGAAATCAACTATTTCACCATTTACTAGGACATCTGCGACCCTGATGGAGTTCAACCGAACCTCAACGGTATCCGAAATGTTGAGTCGTTTCGCTGTGAAAGCGGTTATCACACTCGCTTTACGTAACGTGCCTGTTGATGGTACACACATAAAATGTTTTCAGAATTTGGAATGAAAGCACCTAAGATAGAAACATGAAAAAAGAACTTATGAGCGTTTAAACTGCTTAAATATTACAAGACATCCGAAAATACAGATTTATATATATTTCGAACAATAGACTACAATGATTCGTGTTTACCATCAGGACCAGCCACCTGTTCCATTCTGACTTGAGCGAAGAAGGTATCGTTGATGTTCTTCAGTAGTGTGAATTCTCCAACACCATTGAACGTGTATGACAGACCATCCAATGTTGTAAAGTGAGGATCGCCACTCAGTCGTGCTAAGTAGTAAACAGCGATCTTACAAATGAACGGTTGATAAAGTGATCATAGTAGCACAGCAAGTGTTTCATCTGTAGTCTTATTGAACATAAACCTCACTAAAAACTATCACTTCTGATTTTTCATGTTTTCGTGGAACTAGGTTAAAAGGGGTTCAAAATCAGATCTTTAAGATAAAATCGTTTTATCCATACATTGTCACCAAATGTTTTGGAAATCATTCTTGCATGTTTTCCATTGTTTCAAATCGTTGACGTCGTTGTTACGATATTTCTATTGGCCTCGTCTTGATGAATCCCCTTGCGGACGTTGCTGTTAATCATAATAATTTATTCTGATCGGTTGATATTTTTCAGTAACACTGCAGACTTCCATAGAGTACCTACCTGGTCTAATTGGTTGATATTTTCTACAGTCTCCCTGTGGACGTCGTTTGAGTATACGAGCACAGGGATCTATTCCCGCAGTGTTCCGCATGTATTTACAACAATAGAAGTAAGGAGACGTATCGAACACCAAAGTAGATAAGTAAGGTACGTTGCCAGGTCCCCCTAAGTAGTGGAATCGATGAGCAGTCCCTCCCCCAGTGGGAGTCTTGGCATCCATCAGGTTACCAAGGTAGTCGTAGCAACACAGACGACCTGAACCATTAGGCCTTCAACAGAATAACAGTTGTTAAATATCGGGAAACATTGGCGATTCAACATTTTGAATATAGATTGTATTTCATGGTCTTCTTCAAAGAATTATACGTACGTTTTTATAAAAAAAAATCACGTTTGACTTGAATTTTTCAGCTTATTTTCAGTTGCCAGTATCGTAATATATAGATAAATCGAATTATCATTTTTCTCAGGATGTGGCGCTCTTTTCATGCACCCGACTTTTCAACGATAAAAATTTTATGGCTTTATCAATTTATTCTATTAATGTTCATTTGAAAAGAATCGCAAATTATCTACCCTGGATTGTTGAGTCTATAACACTGTTGGGCCTCAGCTTGCTGGCAGTTCCGGGAGGTTCGGAAATTTAACAGATCAAGAGACTTATCTTCACAAAGTGGGTCCGGACGAAATCTTGCAAGGTCTATCTCAATTTGCTCCGCCCTACATGGACATGTTTGGATATCAAGGTCTGTCAAGGGAGGTAACTTGCGATCGTATTTCAATTGGCCCTCACATGTGTCAATTGCTTCTTGCTGTCCCTTCTTTGTATTAAGGTTGGGTTTGACAACAAAAGCGTCTGACCATGCGCTGTGACGTAACCTGGGTATGACAACAATATGACTTTGATGTTTCTCTTTCCTACCTGGTAAGTAATGTGAAACCCCATGCGATTCCTTGAAGTGTCCTCAATTAATACTTTGTACACTAGGCATAAGATATGCAGAATAAAGATTTCTAGCTGAATGTCAAAACTCAATATACACCAAAAGCAATATCAAATAGTTTACGAGTTTAAAGAGCGAGGAAAGAAATGTAATGTGTGATGATATAAAATTTCTTGTGTCAGTAGAGAAGTGATAAAATCGATGATCTTAGTTAATCTTAAATATGATGTTAAACAACAAAAGGAAAAAAATAATCAGGCCTAAATCAAATGTCCAACAATGTAAATTTTGAAATACATGTCCTTTTTATGGACTGATGGTTATCAAAATAACAAGATATTTGATTTTTTTTATGTTACTAGCAAATCAAGGGTAATAATTGACGCTGATAGCTACTTACGTCACATTTCTTCCATGTTCTGTCATTTTGAGAATTACCACATTTGTTTCAACATTGAGTAAAAACGAAGCGGATGACTGGCTAATTGACACAGAGCGAGCCAATGTTTTCTCAAGGATAAATCGTGGCTGGCCAGCATCGTTTGGCTTTCAAAACACAAACATTAATTTAACATCTGGTATATGAACTGAGGACGGTATTAAAACAACAACATGTTTTTCTGTTTGCGTGTAGTTTTAAGATTTCTTTTTGCTTTGTTAAAGCGTCTCCTCAGCTGCTATCATTACCATCATTGAAGTTAAGATTTTTTATTCCTTATGATCAAAATGTAATCTTGCTTTCTTCTTGACTTACAATAATCAAACTTAGATGAGCGTAATGTCATTGATTGAGTGAAGATATCAAGAACAACGATATGTTTTCGAAAGAAACATGGATCATACTTCAATTGTGTAGACGTCTATATCCGCTTGACTTTCCGTAAAAGATAAGCTATCGGGACTCCATTGTACAGTCACCGTTTCCCCCCGTATCCACTCACCAACCAAGACTCGAACCAAACCAGGTTCGCTCAGCAATGGGTTCACTATATAATGGAGTAATAACAACAATGGTGTCATCATAACAATAACTAGTCCTAGTAAAAATGAGTCAGTATAACAGTTTTATTGATGTTACCGAAGACGTAGGGAGGGGACATTAGGTATATTTTCATCAACAGCTTATCGAGGTAATTATCTTGTTAGATAGCAAGCTTAGGTGAGCACAAAACCTGAATTTTGAGTACGGTTTTGTGAATACGGGCCCATGTAGTGTAGTCAGTATAACCATGTAGCTAGTATAACCATGTAGTTAGTCTAACCATGTAGTCAGTATCAGTTTAATATAACAATGAAGTCAGAATAAAACAAAGTGGAAACAATATTGATACATTGTAAACTTCTGAAACTTGTAAATGGAGAGAAAGATTTTTTTCCAGATAGTAACAGATATTCATTTTTAGATACATCGGTTCATCCTTCGATACACATTTCCTCGTGCACCCTTACAATGAATCGTAGCAAACGAAAATCACGAATTTATCAAATTGATACAACTACTGCTTCTGTGTTCAGATATAAAAAAATATTGCAACGGAGTCCTTTTAATCTTTATCAAAGTGATCAAACGTGCGCATGTTTACAAAACAGTCTCTCCACACCACAAACTTTTAAGGGATACAGATATTACAAGAAAATACCGACATGTGAACAGAATCATAATCAAAACTCAAATTGATTAAAACTGGGGAAAATATTAACAAAGATCTACACCTTGACTCTTGTAAAAGTAGAAGGATAATAGGACGAGATGTTTCGGAAGTGTAAGCGTCTCCTGCTTCATTGACGACATCCACCACCTTGGCCAATCCTAGTAATAATGTCACGTTTCCAAAGAAGAACAATATGTTCAACAGCGGAACCAATAAGAAACCTGACGAGCATTAAACACATCCTTCTTCATATCGCACAAAGAAATGTAAAAAAACGTAGCAAATGAAGCTATTCTAAAAGTCTTGTACTCACCGACTGTGCAGAATCCCATATAATAAGAATCTTGTCCGTCTGCAGTAATGATATGAATGTCAATGTTTATGACACCGGTGACATAAAACGTCGGTGTGAGGCACCTGACACTGAAATCTGACTTCCTCACGCATATTTGTCTGTCGCTGTTCGGGAAGGTAATCCACACCGTGTCATTAACGGTAAAACAGGGACCCGATACCGTGATCTCCTGGCCCCCATACATGGTGACGTAGAAGGGATACACAACGAACGTTCCTGAAATTACTGTCATGTCTCAATTCTGTTTAATGACTAGTGTTTGACTCGTCCGTATATATACAGCTATTAAGTGCTATTATCAGTATTTGTATTATTTGATAATTCCCACAGTTATAGTATTGTTAATCAAAAGGACACGTTACCGAACACTAAAGCATCCATTCATTAGAACAGTTCAGCAAATGTCATATCTTAGAGTTAAATTATTTTTTCCCATATTAATGGTGTCTTTATTCTTCAAATGCAGTAAATAAAACTAGGTAGGATAGATGGCATCACCTAAACGTTAAAGCTATATTTTAGTCAGTATCCATTTGTGAAAGTCATTCTTAAGAGTTAAAATCAGTGTCCTTCGTACCTCCTGTATTACAGCCACCCTCCTCTATCTTAGCTGTGTCAATCCTGAATACGAATTTACCATCCAACTCCACATTAGAAAGGTGGGCTACATTAATAATAGCAGGCGTTCGGGATTCGTTTAATGCGTAGAAATTAACACCATCTCCTCCGTTAAAACCAACCTGTAACATTACCGATTATCATTTCTGCACAAACCTATATTAAACAATCATCATCATCATCATCATCATCATCATCATCATCATCATCATTATATAACAATTGTGAAATGACAAACGATGTGAATTGTGATAACTTACCCTTCATTGGTCCACATATAACCTATTTTCAATAGCATACTTTTCACCGAATGACAGTAGAATGGTCCAGATTGTCACTACCTTCGTTATAACGTAATAACCACTTCCTCGTCTAGACTAACAAACAGTGAATTACCTGGGCTGGAATCCCTCCGAGTCCCGTGTCATTGTTACCACGACTGGCAGTCCCCGTGGTCCAGGTTATATTTGCATAGTTGAAAACAGTGAATGAGTGACGACCATTGGTTATTAGAACAGCCTGGAAAGTGTTCCTCTGTGAAAATGAAGTATTGCCACATTCAAACTTCTAAATAACCCAACAGAGGAAACAAATATCAAAAGTAAATAAAACACAAAAACTTTCAAATGATAAAATAAACAAGAAGAAAATCAATGCAGAGTTTGCAGCAGTATATATTTCGAGCGATCTTTGACTGTATGTGTGACGCAATCAAATATGGCCATTTCTCAACACAAAAGAAAGATACATCCATCGGATGTATCAATTGCCACATCATATTTTGATAATATATCTGAGAAAAATAGTATGACAAACGCAATATATGAGCAACACCATATGATTAATAAAAGATTTACTGAATTTTTCATTTAACTCAACTTTATTTTATGTATCGTGTGTGAAATAACATTTCTAGTGAGGATCCCTTTAAATCTATAGACCTTTTCGACACCTATGGAGGAAGCCCCATAAAACGCTACATCGTCCCATGTAGCTATGAACACCCAACTGGCATGGAAGTGAAGCTGGTCGGGATCATAGAGACGAATTTCGTCCGTGGCCCGCTGTAGAATGTCTGCAGCTGTGGTCTCGCGATACCACACAGTACCACCATTACGTATGTCTACGTCGGCCCAAAAAGGTGACACAATGCTGCGATTATCATGTAGTGGGAACGGATCCGGCGTGTATTGTCTCAGCGTTTTTTGAAAAGATATGGCGCCATTTGTATTAACCTAAAATAAACATTTTTAAGGTAAAACATTTCTGAATATCTGCGAAATTATTCAAGGGATTCTGAACTTACGATTCATTTGCACAAAACATGTCAAATGAGCATCTTTTTAGGGCCCTAACAGAGTTCTCCTAAACCTATTTACGTACGCGAATACGTGTGTTGTAATACTTTTTTTGAGGGAGTATTGATTTCGTATTATTTCAGGAAGTTTGGTTATTTTATAAATTGAAAGTTAAACAATTTCAGATAAAAACGTCAAAACAGTTTTGTTATACACGAGATACGTACTTCATCAACAGTGAGTATCGCTGTAATGCGTGGACAGATTACGGCGATTGGTGAGGTTTTACTTCATCTCAAATGTATGGTTGCTAATATGTCATTTCGGTACTTACGCTGATTTCGTTGCTCAGTTTAACATCACCCTTTCTTCATTGCAAGACATTGAAATACATTGACAAAACAAAACAAAAAACAAAAAACAAAACAAAAACAAAAAAACAAAACAAAAACAAAAAAACTCGAGTCTGTTGATCATCCCCAGAACGTTCTTCCGAAATGGTCGACGGATTTTTTTCAAATTTTTTTGTTTTAGCTTTAAGTTAATTATGCATTCAGTTTTTATGAAATAACTATGGTGCCCATACCATCTTTATGATGACTCACATTGGCGTCAGAGGGATATCTGACCTTCAGATAGAATTGTTATTTTGTTTACTTACGTAGATATCCTATTATTTTTTTTGTCCAGAAGAACATGTCATTCAATTGCTATGTTTTCTTTTTTATATATATAAGCTGGAACATGGCAATGATCTTTATTTTATGAATATGAATATATATCAAGAAAATAAGATATCTGAAGGATAGTGATTGACAAAACAAAGGAAATCAACGAGCATTAAGCAAGTATTACTTCATATCAAAAGCTTTGTGATTTTGTCTTCGTGATCCCCCGTCAGGTGTAAAATATGTGCCTTCATATCCTAAGTTCATCATATTCACATGGGCAGCGATTCAGCACGTGGTTGTAGTGTGTTATTCGTCAGGTAGCATATGTTACTAGGTCTATAAACATATTTATTTTTGATCATTACCTGTAATTATCTTCAAACACAGTTTGATCTTTTATTTAAAATACCTATTACATATACATGTACGTACAAGGTAGCAGCTTCTAATGTATACCTGTACAGTTATCAGGAGTTATAGTTATAAATAATTCTTATCTAACCTAACTACTTACGCATGCATTTACACGATACTGGAGACATTTTTTTATTTTACCGCATTTGATAGCATGTCTATACAGATAGTAGATGCTATTTTAAAGTAGATATAACATGTACATTACGATCTCAAAGAGATTGTGTTATGTGTTATCTTACGTTTGTTCACTTTGTCGATAACATACGCAGGATTCAAAGTACAAAAAGCGTTTCTGTAATTTTTGACCAGCTGTCTATTAAGTATAAAACTATATTTCTATTGCTAGAAACAGAGTCACTGTATATTTCAATAAAAACAGAACATTGACGATATATTCGTAAAAAACCTAATAAACCTCACAAGGACCAAAATGTGACTACCTTCCACTAACTTAATAGGGAAAATATAATTAAAGCTAAGATTTACACAAAGATCCTTGACAATTAAAACCATGTGTTCAGTATAGGTAAGCGTCTTCTACTTCAACGTCGACAGCCGTAATGTAAATCTTTGTTAATCCAATCGAAATAATGTCTCATTCTCATATTCTCATATTAGAACTATTTTTATAACAACGAAACCATAAGGCATAATAACGAACATCGAAATAATCAAATTTCATAAAAAAAATCGAAAACATATTGCTCTTTAGAATAAAATGTATTATGTTGTCTTCATCAACCTGTATCATTCGACTCCATACGTTTTAAGATATTCTGCCAGCTGTCGAAATTCATCAAGGCAAGTCTTAAAAAATCGAATAAACTGTGACAAGTAAATATGAATTATTAACAAAACTTTTTGATATTGTCACGCATTTTAAAGTTCCAACGCTGTAAAAAATAAAACTTAATATATACTCTTTTGACTAATACATATAAGACCAATACCTTTATCATGCAATATTTTAATTAGAAATACCTTTACATAGCTGAAACACGAAATGGATAGACAATTGATTGGCGATTATGTATACTTTTTCTAACGTTTTAAATTCTGCTTAGGTGGATCATACTGGCCATAAAGCACTCCTTGGCAATCTCAATTGAAAATATAATATTTTCTTGTGTGATATGAAGTTGAAAAAAGTCGTCAACTGATGGCAAACTCATAAAATAAGTTCCGATTGATGAAGGCTGATGAAAGTTAGGAGGAAGGTTTCCGGTCGTCATAGTGATCTCAATGAGAAATATTCAATTTCTTTGTGCAATATGAATCTAGACGTTGTTTATTTTCGTTAGTTTTCCCGTTGGTTCTGTACATCACTTTCCTCTGTGACATAACTTGATTGGATTGGCCAAGATTTACATGGCAGGTGCCTTTAATGAAGCAAAAATTGTTTACACTATGTCTTATTATCGTTGCATTTTTTCAGGTGTCTCTTGATTTTATTGGCCTAATCTTATGCACTTTGAGTTTGGATTATGGCTCTGTCCACATGTTAGTATATTTTCTTGTTGGTTTTGGACGTTTTTGATGCATGTTAGTATGACTGATATTTTTCATGTTTTTCACCTTGATATTATTAGGGATCACGAGTTACTTCATACAATTGACAAAAAATTATATGGAAGAGTGCCGTGAGTATTGACCACACTTACATCCTAGAGAGATACCTGGCCTAGACGTTTGTATATCAGCTATACCTATCCTACTTTAAGTGCTTAAGACAAAAGAAGTAGTGTTTGATATCGTTCAGACCATCGACAACATTCATACATACTTACATATAGTGAGTCGTGCTGACTGTTGAAGAAAGGGAAGAGAGTACTAATATTGACCCTAGGCGAACTTCCATCGTCATTCTTGGGGAAACTATGGTCATGAACAGTCTCTCCATAAGGATAAAACTGTGACACAGGAATACCGGAGGTAAGTTGTAAAATCAAGAAAGACAAAGAATAGGAATAAAGCGTCCTCATTGTGAAAAGTCGGACGAACGTGTGGACTATAAAATGATAACATAGTTTTATTTGTATGAGCGAGATAGTTTTGCTCCTTGAAGCATAACCCACGTGCCGAGTGCTGATAAGATAGCTCCTACTTATGATATATAGGATAATGTAACAGGCTTTCCAAGAAATTACACAGTTGTAAAAGTTCTATAATGTGTGTTTACATATATCACAAAAGACGATACGTCCATTTTAGTTTGAAATAGCATGTCTAAGTTGTGTTTGAAATGATAATAATGATATAACAATAATTTTTTACAAGTGGCGTCATAATTCTAGAAAGAGTACAAATGTCGTGATTTTAAAAAAATTATATATATATGTATATATATATATAACACACTATTAAGTGATAGAAGTCAAATATTGCAGATATTATTAAAAGATATTGGTGACGGGGAAAGTGCAATTCATACGGAATTAAAACACACGGGGAGATGTTTACAGATAAACATATAACACATGACTTTGGAAGAGGAAGCAATGTTTACAGATTAAGTTACGAAATACGATTAAATTACAGCGCATTGCTCAAGGAGGAAAAAACATTTTTTTTTTACAGATTTCATGTTCTACAATTCCAAGTGTGGCTTTTATATATTTTGATGTTATATAGTAGTTTGAACTGTGATACTCCTATCAATTACTTACCTGTTTGAAAGATTCATTAATGTTCGTATAAAATGAGTTGAAGTATGATGTGCATCAGTACGATATCAAAAGAAAATAAATTCAAGGTGTATGATGTACAAACAAGCGGATATGTGAGGAGGCAGTCTTTTCACAGAGTTCTTCCAGAGTTCAGCATAACAAAGGAGTAAACTCAACAAAAACATCATTGGCATAAGAGGCCATGTTTTAATCATATACAGAAACCCAACAAAGTGTACAATAAAAATAATCATAAGCCATATTCAAGGTCACAAGGGTCAACAATCCATTTGGTCTTTTGTTTGTGTTCAAAGTTACCAGTACAAGTTATTAAACACTAACGTTATCGTTTTCAGCAGACATGTTCCTGAGTCATATCATGCTACATAGCAAGATATTGACCATTTTTCATCAAATATACAAATATATATTATGTGCAGACAAATTGAAAATAATTAATTCACCGAATAGTGCACCGATTAGATACATGACCAATTATGACATTAAAGTTACGTGTTTGCATGTGCTTTACCATCGTTTTTAATCCACACTCATCACCTTTTTCCCTGCACTGCACTGTCCATTTGGTAAATGACCAGGAAAAAACAGTCAACAGTCAGCTTAATTTCGTCATGTTAGCTGTCTCACGGGAATGAGTGCATTTGGATTTTTTAAAAGACAAAAACCGAATATAGGGTTCTTTATATATGCTGATTTTCATATTTTAATGATTTAAAATTGCATATTAATATACAATAGCAAACATATATATGTTTATATTTGTATGTAAAGACTAGAATTACAAAACACTAGCGTATATTCTCAGAAAAACACAAAAGAATGTCTCTAAAAAACTATCAATGAAATGTAAATTGATGATGAGTAAGTGAAACTAAAATAAAAGTAAAACAAAAATCTCGTCAAAGAAATGAACTCTTCCATCGTGTATAAACTTCACAGAGTAGAAGTATTCCTTTCATGATGTTCCGGTGCAGCCGTAATGGGTAATGACTTTGAGTGTTTTCTACGATATCTCATGATTAATATTTTGCAAACCCAAAAAAGTATGACAGCAAGAATTCCGCCACTGGTGCCGCCAACTGTTTCTGTTATCAAGGAATGATTGGAGGCTGCAAATTAAGAGGACTATTATATCATACACAGCCAACAACTCGAAACCGGAAATATGGTTTTTTAGATGAATATTTCAATGTATTTAAAGGGAGAGCACTGTTAAAAGGAAAATTCGAAATGGAGAAGCAAAAACCCCAAGCAGACTAATTTTTACCTCAACATAGCTTATATATATTAAGACAAATTGAAAATAAATCTTTCACTTACTTCTCGTTTTCACTTTTTGAATTTCAATCAGGGTTCAGAAAGACTATGAAAACATTCCCTAACGGCCTGACACTGCTCCAGTGTACATTGTATATGGTTACATGCAACTGCTATCTACTTGTTGTGTTGCCATGATAATTCATCATGCTAAATTATCATAATGACACGACACGATGGCAGATTCATCCCACCATGAGAATGTTTATCTACGGTTCCTTTATCTTATGTGTAAGACGGCATGACGTTTGATGATTCATAAATGGTAAAACTATTATTCAGTTTTACCAATATTTTTGTTGTCATATATATTTTTATTCATTCATATATACACACATAAATATTACACAATGTAATGCTATGATGAAGTACATCCAAATCCAAAAATTAAGATTATTAGAAAGTGAGATAAAAGTTTAATTCGAAAAATAAAGTAATACCACCTATGATTTTTCAATGAATTTAATACCTTAACAATAGTGTGAAAATTACATTTCATAACCTAATTAAACATTTCATTTATAAAATTCCATTTTCTTTTGATTTTCTCGCTTTAATTAGGACTGTAATAGTACAACCCAATGTTTTACCAATATTTGATAAAGATAAGAAGTTATTGGCATGAAAATGAATTATGACGTCGGACGGTGGATGTCACCTTATTTGTACAGCGTATTGAGTTTTACCTGGACTTGGGTGACATTCGGCGTCTCTATTTGACCACTTGCCGTCTGCCAAACAGATAGCAGTGTCGTTTCCGGTAAGTATCTTCCCCTCCTTACATCCAAACTGGACAAGTGTGCCGTAGTAACAATACGTATCTCGGTCTGTACCATGAGATTCTTTTGTACAATTATCGGCATCTCCCGTCCCAACGTAGCCGTCTCTAACCGCTGTGGGTAATCTGCACCGGACTGCCAATATGAATATTGTTTCAAAATCCATGGCAATAACCAAATCGACGTTCATTATTGATAACGACAAAAGTATATTGGTTCTAATAGACGAAAATAATGTACTATCATTTTCACGATTTCTAAACGACATTGAACGTAATAGCATCAAAACTAATTATAAAGTTTTTCATTGAATCTATATAAAACATGCAAATATCGGACTGAAACATGGCATAGACAAATCAAAATTAGAAGCCATTCTGCCTTAATGTTAAGCCAGAGTTGTGTGGAATTTTCGCCTGCATTACTGTGTTAGAAGAAGTCCTGTTGAAGTGTTGTTTTTATATATGTATATTGTTCCCCTGGTACCAGGATATTTGTATTCGGGACCAAAAGTAACACACATGGGAAGGGAAGTAACTCTGTTTAGTCCCTGATGTCAATTCCCAAAATTCAATCTTTGAAAATTTATGCATAGGCGGATTACTAGAAAGATTTTACATACGGTACAGCCAAACACATGTCTTTCTATAAATTCTTCAGCGTACTTAATATTTAAGACAAATCCAGTGTAAAAAGGAATACAATTGTATTGCCCTTACAACATTTTACAATGTTAAGATACGATGCAACGAGTTATTTTATTGTGTATGCATAAAATATTAACTTTTAAGATTACTGACCATGAAACAGCTTACCAATAGAAAATTACAAACAGCATTAGTGTCTCGGTAAATTTTGACGTAAGCTTTAAGTGGATTATGTATGAGTAAGCGCAAACGTTTATTCATACTTATGAAGACTTCATTAAAAGAAACACTAAGCAACTTCCCTTAATGTCAAGCTCGAAAATTCATCTTATTTCCAAATCAATTTATCTCTTGTTGGTGACCTAGCGATGTTCCTATTTTCATGTTTGCGTTACATATACAATGCACGTTTTCTGCCAAGGGACTCATAAGGTATCATTTAAGCAACCATTTCCTTTCAGACGTGATCATGTGAGACATTTGATCTTTAACCTTGACCTATCAATAAACACACATATCTAATCATGTGCTCAACTTGTCAGTATGACCCTATGTTGTGAATGTGAATAAATTTGTTCCTCTGTACATGAAATACATTGTGATGAAAGCAGTCAAATGTGACATTTGCAATTTAAACTTGACTAATATCTACCAATATCTAATTAGCGGTATAATCCGAAGGTATGATGCTGCAGTATGAACAAGATCTAAATCTGAAGAGGGATTAATAAGATGTCTGGTATACAAATCTTACACGTCCATAAAAGATTAGGTGAAGGACGTTCACATGGCGGGGGTGTTTACTGTATATTTCAACAAAATACTTACATGTCAACAACATTTACTCGGACTGATATCAGAGCCAAAACAAAGATTTACCTGCAACCACTGAAGAGGGACATATATGGAATAGAACCATTACCTTTGACACACCTCTGCCCAACACTTGACCACTGTCCCAGGGCCGTGCAGTTGGCCGTGTCGTTACCATTGAGGATGCTGCCGATGTTACAGTACAGATGGACTATAGAGCCATAGGTATAAACTTCACCGGTCCACTGTCCATTGGTTACACTTTGTGGGGAACCACAACTGACTGTAAAGTTACACATCGAAAAACTGTAAATTGGATTTATTCTTCGTAACAACTATTACAAAATAACAATAGCATGGTGACACCTGCACTAGACATATCGTGATAATCTAAAGACTAATTGATTTGCATGAAGCCGTATGTCCAAACGTTATCACGTTGTCAACCTAACTGCCATGTGACAACAAAGGCAAATGACCACAATCAACTAAATTAATTATATCATATGTTTACGTGTAAGTATTGCGTTACGCATTACGTGCATTAATTACCTAGAGTTAAGTAGTTCACAAAATCATAACACAAGACAAAATATTTTGATGTCACAAAACACGCTGCATATGAATACGATAAATCACTTACTCAGAACACAGGCTTGCGAGCTGGTGTCCCATGTTCCGTCGGATCCACATGTAACGTCTATGTTCCCCCTGGGTTCGCTCCCCTCATCGCACACCAAAACGGCTTTACGGCCAAACGTAGTTCCATTGCTGACCCATTGTCCGTTCGACAAGGACGGGGGAATTCCACAATCAACTTCAGTCGTGAAGAAAAAAACATCGCATAATTACAAGCGTTCTTAATGCAATAAAATGTTTGATAAATAACAGAAATAATGTCCAAATGGAAGCCTGAAAGGTACACACTGATCTAAAAGCAACACATACTTATATCACATTTCTGGCCATCGAAATTCCACATGCCGTTTTCGTCACAAGTCATCTCACTAGATCCTTTTAACGTTGTTCCCGTATTACAGTGCAGAGTGGCATTTGTCCCAACGGTATAGCTTGTTGTCGACCAATATCCATATGGAATGTTGGGGAGGACTTCGCAACGGACTGTCAATTAGTTGTGATAAGGTATATTTTGCATTCATCGTATTCATGTTTACATGTGGAAGCTGATAATTATATTTTATCTCTGTCTAGGAAGACAGGTTTTATCTCCCTTGAATTAAAATTGTAATCCACCAATTTTACACCATTAAAGAATTTTATATCGTGTCTATGATCATTATAGCCACTAGTTTTGTATATAAGATTGAACAAAAGATTTACAAATTTATTATACTATACTTTCTGTGCATTCGTCACTGCTGTATTCCCATGTATTAATTACCTAGAGTTAAGTAGTTCACAAAATCAGAACACAAGACAAAATATTTTGATGTCATAAAACACGCTGCATATGAATACGATAAAACATTTACTCAGAACACAGGCTTGCGAGCTGGTGTCCCATGTTCCGTCGGATCCACATGTAACGTCTATGTTCCCCCTGGGTTCGCTCCCCTCATCGCACACCAAAACGGCTTTACGGCCAAACGTAGTTCCATTGCTGACCCATTGTCCGTTCGACAAGGACGGGGGAATTCCACAATCAACTTCAGTCGTGAACAAAATAACATCGCATAATTACAAGCGTTCTTAATGCAATAAAATGTTTGATAAATAACAGAAATAATGTCCAAATGGGAGCCTGAAAGATACATACTGATCCAAACGCAACACATACTTATATCACATTTCTGGCCATCGAAATTCCACATCCCGTTTTCGTCACAAGTTATCTCACTAGATCCTTTTAACGTTGTTCCCGTATTACAGTGCAGAGTGGCATTTGTCCCAACGGTATAGCTTGTTGTCGACCAATATCCATATGGAATGTTGGGGAGGACTTCGCAACGGACTGTCAATTAGTTGTGATAATGTATATTTTACATTCATCGTATCCACAATTTTTCATGTTAACATGTGGAAGCTCATAAACATATTTGATCTCTGTCTAGGAAGACAGGTTATATCTCCCTTGAATTAAAATTGTAATCCACCAATTTTACAGCATTAAAGAATTTTATATTGTGTCTATAATCACTATAGCCACTATTTGTTGTATATAAGATTGAACAAAAGATGTAATTAATTATACTGTACTTTCTGTGCATTCGTCACTGGTGTATTCCCATGTACCGTCAGCTGAACAGGATATGACGTCAGAGCTGTTGGGACGTCTGCCTTCCTCACAAATGAGAACAGCAGTCGAATTCACGACCAGACCAGTACTATTCCAGTATCCGTACGCGACATCCAGAGGGTGATTACAAGTAATGACTGTAAAGATATCATTACATAAGTAAAGATGAATAATAAGATTTTCACTTTGGTGCCTAAATACTATAATTTATGGTCTTAGAATTTAAGTTTGCGGACATAAATAATATTAGTGATGATAGAATGTTAGTGTTACCAAGCCATTTAGAATATTCATAAATATCGAATATCAATAGTGTAGTAGTTTGTACTATTAACAATTTTAACGAGATGATGTAGTATTGTATCCTACTTGAAGGACGAGGATTTATTAAAAGCTTCTCTTCGACATTGCCTGAAATTTAATTGAATTGTATTTCCACTAGGTTATTGATTGTATATCTATATATTGTATTGTATATATATATATTTTTCAAACTGGTCTGAGTAGAATTACAGTTCCATTTCGTGTTGTTTTGAGGAAAAGATTTTTCCACTTCTCAACCAACCTGGTTCCGCCTGTTGCTGAATATTGTCAAATGTCAGAGTAGCAGCCCTTGTTGCTCCCGCAATATCCGCCCGTCCGGTGGTGTGGTAGTCGTAAAGACAGAATTCATCATCGCCACATATAGTTCGTGCTTCCGGTGTGAAAGTCTGAGAAGGCTCCGGATAGACAGGCACGAAAGCGACATTCTGGAATGTCGCATAGTTCTTGCCGTCGGGATAGGTAAAGAGGGAAGTCTCTCTACTAACTCTCCCTGAAAATAGGTTAAGGAATATTAGATTTTTTTCTTCAGATTAAAGGGAACTCCATACTTATAGATAGTTTCTGTTATTCGTTTGAACGATATATTTGTCCTAAGTGTTTTTACGCAATGTAAATTGGTCTAGAACAAAGCCTGACTTTGTAGGCAATGCTTGCAAATGCAGAGTCATCAAAGATACGTGGACATGTAGACTAATTTGACATATGTACCCAGAGAAAATTCGAATAGATTCAACGAATAATTGAGAGAAAATCGATATTATTACAGTATTAACACTAAATATTTGTACTTAACTAACAAGGAATCGATGGCTACGTACGTGTATAACAAAATAACCTCATTCAATTAGCGTCCTTTGATCATTCATCATTTTAAGCAAGTAAATCAGCGAAAATTTATCGAAATTTATATTTCATACCGTATTTCAACCTGATAACACATTTGATAACCCCCCCCCCCCTGAAATAGCCCTCTACGAGAAATGTAAGCGTACAAGTTTTTCCAAAACCCTCGTGTATCTCCCTCGCCGTGCTGTTCGCGGAAAGAACATGGCCATCTTCTGCGGTAAGATCATCCTCCATATCACCGTTATAGTTCCCCAGAAGCCCTGTGATATTTCCTAAAACAGTGATATTACTAACAATGAACGTCGACTCTGTAACGTGTTTTATCTGTTTTTGATTCTCCGAATTTTTCATCAGAACCAAAGTATGGGTCTGAAGATATTTACACATTAACGATCTACCACACATTATGACGATCAAAGAGTTGGATTTTCAATTAAGTGTTATGCAGTCACAATTGTAAACATTTCATTCCCATGTTACTATTGCATCAGTATTAGCTATTTTTCTGTAACAGCCGACCGTCATAACCAATTGTAACCATTCATTTTAAAAGATGAACTTACCGGTATTCATTTTCGTTGATCATACTGTCTATTCTCATCATTGTCAACGCATTACATTTTGATTCAAACACTACTTCTATCGGGTATGTGTGACATAATTAAAGCTGAATGATATCTAAATTCATAATTACCATACAGATAATGAAATACAAATACAAAAACACACTATATGTATCTGTTCATAATGGCAATTAGTGCTAAGCCTCCAAATACACGGTGGATCTTACGAAAGTTCAATTCACATTCACAATACAAGTCCTAGATTTTTTTTTAATTCACCGAGCCTTTGGCAAGGTAACGTGAAAAATCCTTGACGAGTTTCATTAATCCAATAGGATAAGTAAACGAATGTAAGATTATGTTTATTGCATAACTGATATCATTTTGCAATCGGCGATACAAACTGAAAACGTAGATATCTTAGCGATGATATTTTTGATACGAAAGTTGAAATACAATTCTGCTAATTGCATTTTCTGTATGTTGCAATTGCTCGAAAATTTGACGGAGACAAACACACTACGTTTACAGTATCTCTTTCTTCGGTGACGCTATAAAGCATATGTAGCCATGATACTTTGATGTCACAAAGGGAAATCACAACTCAAGTAGATAATATAAGATGTATTATGAAATATGAGAGTTTTTAGGTGATATATATATATATATACAAAACGTACCTCTTAAGCTGTCCGACCCCGACACGACAACGACATTGAGTAGGGAAGGATAGGCGAGGATACGAAACGCCAGACTGGGTTCAGTAAATATGATGTTGATCTGCTTTAATGAACTGTCTGTACTATTGCGTTCTGTCATCGTTGTTGAAACGCCTAAGTCGAAAAGATTGATTTTCTTATTGCTCCATATCTCATATAACTTCTATTAACATAGAATCAAGCCAACAACAAATTGAAAAACAATGATAAAAAAGTGTGTAATTTTTTTTGTGGATTTAAAAGCGCCATGAATGAGGAAAAGAAATACTATCAGTTATATTTTTAATAACCGTTGACGATGTCGATATGTTGTCAATCAAATTATGTTTTATCAAATATATTTATATCGTTTCCATATATTAAGACAGATTTTGCAACAGTGATGTATAGTTACCAATAAAATGAAGAGAGCGGTAATGAGTGAAATCAACTATTTCACCATTTACTAGGACATCTGCAACCCTGATGGAGTTCAACCGAACCTCAACGGTATCCGAAATGTTCAGTCTTTTCGCCGAGAAAGCGGTTATCACACTCGCTTTACGTAACGTGCCTGTAGATGATGCACAAATAAACTGATAGCAACATCTCAACGAATAAAGCACTCAAGCTTGAACTATGAAAGGTGAAATTATACATGCGTAAATATTATACTGACACATGAGGACATATATATAAACATAAATAATTATTATTCTTGTTTACCATCAGGACCAGCCACCTGTTCCATTCTGACTTGAGCGAAGAAGGTATCGTTGATGTTCTTCAGTAGTGTGAATTCTCCAACACCATTGAACGTATACGACAATCCATCCAGTGTTGTAAAGTGAGGATCGCCACTCGATCGTGCTATTGATGAAGAGGTAAACGATGGATTTCTAAATTAACGGTTAATAATATGATCATTGTAATATAACAATGGTTAATAAGGTAACAGGTTAGTCTATATAAGTGTATAGCTAAAGAGTTTTGTCTGTTATCATATCAGATCAAAAACCAACTCAGTACTATCTCTGATGTCATTTTGATTTTTTTTTCATGAAACGTATATTTTCGTTGTTTGTAATGGTTACCATACAAACCTGGCCTGATCGGTTGATATTTCTTGCAGTCACCCTGTGGACGTCTTTGGAGTAGCCGCACACATGGAGCTATTCCCGCAGTGTTCCGCATGTATTTACAACAATAGAAGTAAGGAGACGTATCGAACACCAAAGTAGATAAGTAAGGTACGTTGCCAGGTCCCCCTAAGTAGTGGAATCGGTGAGCAGTCCCTCCCCCAGAGGGAGTCTTGGCATCCATCAGGTTACCAATGTAGTCGTAGCAACACAGACGACCTGAACCATTAGGCCTTCAACAGAATTTCAGTGGTTAAATTTTAGTAAACACTTCAATTAAAAAATAAAACATTGCATACAGGTTGTTTTATATCCTTGTTCATGGATTTACACGAGTAAATGTTAATCGAAAATCTTGTTTGACTTGATAACCGTTATAAGTCATGTATCAATGACCCCGAATTATTGTTTTTCTCAGCAGGTGACATTTGAACAATAAATATTTGATTGCTTCGTCGATTTATTCTATTAATTTTCATTTGAATTGAATCGCAAATTATCTACCCTGGATGGTTGAGTCTATAACACTGTTGGGCCTCAGCTTGCTGGCAGTTCCGGGAGGTTCGGAAATTTAACAGATCAAGAGACTTATCTTCACAAAGTGGGTCCTGATGAAATCTCGCAAGGTCTATCTCAATTTGCTCCGCCCTACATGGACATGTTTGGATGTCAAGGTCTGTCAAGGGAGGTAACTTGCTATCATCTCTCAGTTGCCCTTCACATGTATCAATGGCTTCTTGTTGTCCCCTCTTTGTTTTAAGATTGGGTTTGACAACAAAAGCGTCTGACCATGCGCTGTGACGTAACCTGTGTATGGCAATAACATGACTCTGATGTTTCTTTTGCAAATAATGGACACGGGGTACTGTGTATACAATTCCTTGGAATACCTTAATTCTACACACCTTATATGCTATTTCCAAAAAGGTCATTTTGCAAAAGAATTAAGAATGTAGCAAAGACAGGCACGTTTTTCAAAGGGGAGGTCAATGATGAAAAGGATACGGGATCCTATGATTATATTTGATTTTTAAACTTTACAAGAATCCATAAATACAAGTTCACAAATCAGGGTTCCAGTCTTATTGTGATACAGTTAAGTAAAGAAGCGGAAGGAATGGTAAGTGGATCTTAGAAACAGATTTTGCCCTCTATTAAATACCCTTTTCTATAAAACATTTCTGCTTTAAAACACTTGATTTTTCCACTCTAATCCACCATACACCATTCTCAAATGAAAAACAAACAAACAAACAAAAACAAAAAAACGCTATAGTTCTCCTGTTTGCCAAGGAAAGTGAATGACGTCCACAAACAATGAAGAAATATACGGAGGATGAAACCATAAAACTGTGAGTGCTTCAGGTTAACATCTTCGTCGAGTTTGGTTAGGTCGTGAAAAATACTATTGACATATGTATAGGAAATAATTGTTTCTAATTGTTTGTTGACTTGTTTTTGTTCTCAAACGATGCTAAATTAATCTAAGAGTTGATTAATCAGGTTACCAAGACATAGTAAAGTCCTTCCATTTCATTTTCAGATATATTGATGACGTCTTGTCTTTAAATAACATGTGATTCATTGACAACGTCAATCATATATACAAACCTGAATTATTAAAAATCATAGACACGACAGACTCATCATCAACTTATCTCGAATTTTTCCAACAATGAAGCCAATAGTTTTTCGCCAGGCTTTATGATAATAATGATAATTTAAATTACCATATCGTAATTTTTTCCTTTCAGGGTAACAATATTCTTGCATTCCAAACCTTTGGTGTCACATGTACAGGGCTTGTTCCCAATATCACGAGGTCAGAAAAATACAAACTCACAACACAGGATTTTGAGAGATGCAGGTTGATTAAAATATGAGGTTTTACCGGTGGTCATAGTGATCTCATTAAGAAATAATTCTATTTGTGCCATAGAAATATTGGCGTGTTTGGTGACCGTTAGTTTGAGTTTAATACTTTATTCTCGTTCGGGAACGTGACAATTTATTGACATGACGTTGTCGTCGGAAAAGCACGGACGCTTTTGAAACACCTGGTTTATTATCCTTGTACTTTTATCAGAAGTCGCCTTGTAAAATTTTCTTTTTATTCATATATAATGTATTTTGCGTTACTTTAATTGAATTCAAGTTCGGGATATGATTCTGTGCACAGGTTGGTATTTTATTGTTTTTGTAATCTTGGATGTCGTATGGTGATATAATTTCTTATGAATATGCTGTTTAACAACGAACTTTGGCAGTATTGATATAACAGAGGAGTGATCATTTTCATGCAATGCATAATTTATCTTTAATAGCTTAAATACAACAGGCGTTTTAAATTGATTTGTACTACTTCAGACAAGTCAAACATTTGTATGCCATAAGATAATTAATAACAATTAAATGCTGCTGACCACTTACGTCACATTTTGCCCAACTTCAGTCATTTTGAGAACTACAACATTTGTTTCAACATCCAGCAAAAACGATACCGATGCCTGGCTAATTAACACAGAGCGAGCCAATGTTCTCTCAGGGATAAATCGTGGCTGGCCAGCGTCGTTTGGCTTTACAAACATAAACATCATTTAAATATACTGTACAATAGTTTATATGAACTTAGGACAGTAATGAAAGTATGGGGCAGTGAATGCATACAACTCTCTGAAAAAGATTTGGTTTCTTGTTTGTGTAAGTTTGAGCTCTTTGAAGCCTATATTAAACTGTTGTTTTGTATCCTTGTCTGCTTAATGGTGTTCGTATTGTCATATTAATAGATATGTTAATACATGATTGTTGAAATATCTATATCCTTAAGGTAAAACCGAGAAGTATATTTTATGAAATAAGAAAGAAAGAATGATCTTACCTCAATTGTGTAGACGTCTATATCCGCTCGACTTTCCGTAAAAGATAAGTTATCGGGACTCCATTGTACAGTCACCCTTTCCCCCCGTATCCAGTCACCAACCAAAACTCGAACCAAACCAGGTTCGCTCAGCAATGGGTTCACTATATAATGGAGTAATGACAGCAATGGTGTCATCATAACAATAACTAGTCCTAGTAAAAATGAGTCAGTATAATAGCGCAGACAGTTTTATTGGCGTAACCGAAGACGGAGGGAGGAGACATAAGGTATATTTTCATCAAGTGCTTATCGATGTAAATATCTTGTTAGAGAGGATTATGGGTGTGAAAAGGAGGGAGGATTAGTGTTAGTGGTGTGAATCTTACTAATGTGAGAAGGAATTTCACTTGCAAATGTCGAGTAATATTCATTTTCAAATACAAATGTTTTAATATCGATAAACATGTTTTCGATGCATCCTTCAAACGTATCACAAGAAATTTGAAGTTTTAGATTTAGTTATCTGATTGATCATCTCTGCTTGACATGCATTTTTGCACTCTCAAAATATCTGTATCAAAATTACATCAAAAGATGGAGGGTAAAGAGTTCACTGCTTTGCCATGCCTGATTTTAGAGGTACATAGAAGATATGTAAAGTAAAAATTGGAGCTATTTACAAACAATCCACTTACCGATCGTGCAGAATCCCGTATAATGAGACACTTGTCCGTCTGCAGTAATGATATGAAGGTCAATGTTGATGACACCGGTGACGTAAAAAGTCGGTGTGATGCACCTGGTGCTGAAATCTGACTTCCTCACACACGTTTGGGTGTCGTTACTCGGGAAGGTGATCCTCACCGTATCATTAATGTTAAAACAGGGACCCGATACCGTGATCTCCTGGTTCCCAAACATGGTGACGTGGAAGGGATACACCACCAAAGATCCTAAGAATATTGGCATGTCTCAATTTGATTTTGCTTACAACATTACCTTGTTGTCTTCTGAACATCTTAAGACCATTAAAATCACAATTTACATGGAAACATTACTAAAGACTAAATCACATGCATTAGAATATCAGTATAACAGTCTCAACAGTCGGAACTTAGTTGTATCAGTTCAATTACAGTAGATAATTTTTCATGATAAATGACGTCATCTAAGCAGTAAAATATATCATTTTAATAATGATATAAAGATAAATAGTATAAGTATACATCTTAGTCAGTATCCATTTGTTAGCCATTCCTAAGAGCAAACATCAGTGTCCTTCTTACCTCCTGTATTACAGCCACCCTTCTCTATCTTAGCTGTGTCAATCCTGAATACGAATTTACCATCCATTTTCACATTAGATAAGTGAGCAAGGTTGACAATAGCAGGCGTTCGGGATTCATCTAATGCATGGAAATTTACGCCGTCTCCTCCGTTAAAACCAACCTGTAAGTCAAAAAGAAGCTAATCAGTACCACCTCAGTTAATAGACAGTAAGAAATAACAATAGCGGGGTGCCTGCCAAAGGGGGCAAGACTTTTAACAAAGCCATTTCATTTTTCAATAACTTTTCCTTTCCTTTGGCCTGGTTTTTTTTATCGTGAATATCGTGTAATATGCAGCTGACTTTACATCACTGATTGGCCGTTGAAATGCGCGACACCACCTTATAGTAAAATAACCTACAACTAATTTGATAACCATCCCCTTGTTAAAACTAAAGTATAGCTCATGCAGTGAAAGAGGTGAAACACAAAAATACAATCTCCATATTACCTGGGCGGGTATCCCTCCCAGTCCTGTGTCTTTGTTACCATTACTGGCAGTCCCCGTGGTCCAGGTAACTTTTGCGTAGTTGAAAACAGTGAATGAGTGAAGACCATTGGTTATAAGAACAGCCTGGAACGTGTTCCTCTGTGAAAATAAAGAACTGTAGCATTTATTCACACCTAATTGGCAGATTTTCTGGATGAAATTCGAAAATAAAATTGTAACCAGAATATGTTCTCTTTCTAAAGGAAAATTACACAAATGGTATATGAGTTTATAGTGATATATGTTTCGAGCAGCAATTATAGCCAGTATAAAACACAAATGATTGGACCAATACCTATTTCAGATTTGAAAGCTGTCCAGAAAAAAGAAGACAAATCAAAAGACCTTCAAATAAATGTTTAAGTTTTGAACTGTGCCACTTTTCGAATGAACTAAAACGTATCAAGTACGCTACAGTAATCCGCAGAGAATAAAAGTTCACCATTGGTGTCCACCACCTGCATGCTCGAAAATTGTACTAGATACAAACTAGGATAAGGTAGATTTGAGCCAGATAATAAATTAGACTGCATCGTATATTTGTTTCGTCTTTCTTGGATCTCAGAGACGACTGAAGAAAATCAAGTAAAACAAAAATGTCAAAATTCAGATTGGTGAGTTGCCATAGACACATAATTCCATTTAATTTGTATTTGATATATACCTGATAATCAAATCAAAACTAAATCTCGAGATCTAAAAACCAATCAGCAGCCTCTAACACCTGTAATTTCGAAATACAGGTTACGGCAAATCTCGAGGTCACCGGCAATGAAAATAAAAGGTTTATTTTTCGTAAAAAATGATTAAATAGTGTCTTAAAAAGTGATCGGTGTATTACTCGCTGTACATGTAGCACTATTTCAATCTGTAAACACCCGGGGAAGTTATCTACAGTTATTTCCCTTCTGAAAATCAAGGATTCGCATTGGTCGATAATTTGTGACGTCAATTCCGACACCAGAAACATATTAATTAGTAGTGTGTATGAAGACTGTGTACATTAAATCGACTATGTTTGATCAACTAAGCATGTCCAGCACCATGAAAACAACTAAAAAGTAAAGTTTGTTATTAGACCATAATAGTTTGAGCCTGAAAGTAGCTAAAAGATGTTTAGAATGATAATTCGGGCGATGAGTCGTTTTCTAACTTGGACAACGGCGCCAAAGAATCATAGGCATACAGTATTTTGATGAATGGTAAGGCAAATTTAACTTATTGAAACTTCTATGTGTTTACTGCACATCTATATTTACACATAAGTGATATATATGTTTGTTTTGCAATTTTCTTCTTTTCCTCACTTCAGTGATGATAATCGTCTTTTCACTTTTTTAAATATTTCGTTTTTAAAAGACATATCGTTTGAATCTTAATATAAAGTGTTTGTTAAATGAAACATTAATCACATTATTCATCGCTGTTAAGTGTCAAATGCCCTTGGCTAACTACGCACATACCTAGCAGCCGTGAAAGTGTCGGTCGGAGGGGATAAGTGATAGGGAAAGAACACTAATCAGTTAGTTGGACTGTGAATTTATCTGACAAAAGTCCCCGAACTCACTATTTCCTTACCAGTTTTATTGTTAAATGCGATATTTTGTGTTATTTTGCTAAAAGTTACACTTTTCTTATGTTTACTAGCAAATGCTGTGTTACATAAATATATTGCTATTTCAGCTTACGGTTTGCTTTCATCATACATTCCACGATGTATTTAATTTTTTTATGCTTTTCAGTAAAGACATAATGCATAGCTACTTTGATCTGCTTCTGAATTTTACCATGCTTGGTTATTTCGTTTGTGTTTTATCTATAACTTGTAAAACACGTTTGCTGATGAATTAGCTCTACAGGGCTAATGTTTTATCTGTACATAGACGATTGTCAGGAACTACAGAGCGAAAGCCACGATAGAAAAACACAGAGAAGGACTTTATCTTCATGAGAAGCATACAAATTGAACAGTAACCCATGCACACATGCTATACAGCATCATCAACTTCCCACAAGTGTGACAATATACGTGCAAATATATATTTATCATATAATTAATATTCGGTGTTTGCCTCTTGTTATCCTAGAACATGGAGACATAAATCAATAGCTATCGTGTGGTCTAGTATTTTTGTAGATATATATTTTCAAAGATAGCTTAGGATATTTCATGAATGCAACCAATGAGCAGGGTTCGACGTATACGTATTTTCTGTTCCTGCAATTAATTCAAATTGTACAATATCCACTCTCCAAGTCAGCTTAGACTTATTATGAAAATATACATGTAAATAACACGTTTTAGGATCAGGTGGTGACCATGGACACACACCTGTGCCCAGGTGTGTCAAGGTATTCACACAGGTATATTTCTAACATGAAAAGATGTCAGCACCAGTTGAAATTGACATGTGTCTGCCAATTTACAGATTGGGCAGATATTGAAGAGTTCATGCGATTGATTCGTTAGTTATTAAAAAGTTTACCTAAACTATTATGATTTTTCACCAGTTTTACAATACCTCTACACAAAACAGTGTACGATCACTGCTGAAATAAGACCGATTATGAAAGTACCATATTATGTGAAACCCCCACTGCCACTACTCTCTGGCGGAATTGACGCCACAGAGTTTGGATGCCGCAGGTTTCCGAAAGTTACCGAAGAAAGCCGAACCGCGGACAAGTAATCAAACTCACCTATAGCCGAACGCACCGGCTACAACCGTATCAAATGGTGAAAATCGATTCGGGGTACTACCTAGGTGATATCTATGTCAAAATATAGATATCTACAAAATATCGTTGCCGGTGACCTTTAAAGTCAACCAGCGCCTACCACATGCAATTTAAGTATACAGGTAGGACCGATTAACGAAACATTTCCAATTTTTTAAAAATAAGCTTGAATGGGTTTTATATATCATGAGTGAAATAAAACTATACCTTGCTGACACCATGGGATGATGCTCCAAAAAACGCTACATCGTCCCATGTGGCTATGAACACCCAGCTGGCATGGAAGTGAAGCTGGTCGGGATAATAGAGACGAATTTCGTCCGTGGCCCGCTGTAGAATATCTGCAGCTGTAGTCTCACGATACCACACGGTTCCACCATTTCGTATGTCTACGTCTGCCCAAAAAGGTGACACAATGCTGCGATGGTCTGACAACGGGAAAGGATCCGGCGTAAACTGGCTCAGTGTTTTTTGAAAAGATATGGCCCCATTTGTGTTAACCTAAAACAAACATTTTAAAGTCACGAGAAAAAAAAATTTTATGATATGACAAAAATAACAACACATTTTATAGTCATAAGTATGTCAGATCGTTGATAAATCATGATATCGTCCATAAGATTCCTGGGTTACTATTAAAATACACGAGATAAAAAGAACAAAAAAACCTTTGTCCTCATGTTGAATTACATACAATTTGTACAGTTATCACGATGTAATACCTGTAAGTAGATAAATGTACACAACAGAACTATTTGCACCTAATACCCCCTATTTTCCCGGCTGACAAGCAAGTTTATACAAATAGTTATTGTTTTATTTTTAGATATTATGAAAGCATTTGAGTCACTTTAGTTTATCACCATCAATAAACCTTACTGTGTGACATTAAAAACTTTCCATAATAGTACTCTTCACAGTGTAGAACTGTGTACTAGAATATAATTTTACAGTAACAAAAGATGATACTCACATTTCAACTAAATCTAAATTCAATATCAAAATCGGTGAAACGAAGGGAAAACATGAAGAAAAGCAACACAGGAAACACCGACAAGGCAACGGCATCTTTATTCAAACTCCATGCAACGTGGGCATATGAATAAAAAAAACAATAAGAAAATACCAACATGGCAACATAATCATAATTCAAACTCAAATTCTATAAAACTAGGGCAAAATATGAAAGATTTAGACTACTGAAAAGAACAAAGGGAATAAGACCGGGTGTTCCGGAAGAGTAAGCGTCTTCTATTTCATCGAAGTATACAGCAAGGAAACTAACGAGCATCAAGTACATCCAGCTTCTTGTCGCACAAAAAATTAGAATACTTCTTAGTGGGATCAATATGGCGACCATAAAACTTTCCCATAATTTTCATCAACTTGCATTTTTGTACCCTTGTGTTACGAGTTTGTCAGTAAGTTGTGGACTCCTTGCACGGAAATCGTGATAATGGGAACAGACCATTGAATATCGAATCAACTATAACATGTAAATACTATAGGACCGAGATGCAGGGATATTTCTATCCAGAAATGGAAAATTCACAATAGGGAAATTGAAATCATCACGTTTATCATACAACTTGATGGAAAACTGATGTAGAAAAGTCTGTCGTATCTTTGATTGCCTGTTCTGGTGAATATATACGATTGACGTAGTCAGTAAATTTAAAGACAAGACATCATCAATATATCTGAAAGTGAAATTTAACGACTTTGCAAGGTCTTTGTTGCCTGTCTTGATAAGTTCTTCAATAAAAAAAAAAGACAACAGAGGGACCAAGTAGGTATGTCAATAGTCTTTTGGAAGATCTTACTACCAAGATATACCAAGATTTTGTCTACCAAAAACTTTAATGATTTCGTCTCCCGTATAATTCTTTTTTGATTTGGATGTAAAGTTTACAAATTACGCTGCAGTATAGTTCACAACCATATACTTATATCGCCGTTCACCTCTCTTGGAGAAGAAAGCTCTCATAACATGAGAACGAGGGTGTTCCTTCAGTCTAGAATGAGGTATGTTGGTGTACAGTGTGGAAAAATCAAATGTTCTTATAGCAGAAACGTTTTCAGAAGAATGTGTTGAAGATTGGTCAAAAGCTCTATGGAGTTCTTCAATCCACATACTATTACTTCTACTTCTTGAGAAAACGGTATCACAATAACACTGTAACCTAGATTTCATAGTACTAAAAATGGTGGTTAGTAGTTTAGACAAAGCTTAGTTGAACAGTCAGACAAGCCAGCTATAAAAAGTTGTTTATATGGATTCTTGTGAAGTTTAGGGATCCAGTATAAACGGGGGAGGTCCGTATCCTTATCATTAATAGGCAATCAAAGATAGATTTGCTTGGAGACTCCTGAAAATGTACAAGAATAAGTCTACAAAGTTAAGATGAACACAATGTTCAGCTATAATAAGACACCGTATTAGATTTGGGTAAACGCCTTCTACTTCATCGTCGACAGCCGCCATGTAAATCTTAGTCAATCCAAGTAATGTCTCATTCTCATATTAGAACAATATATATATAACATCGAAAGCATAACACACATTAACAAACATCGAACACAAATTTCATAAAAAAAATATCGCACAAGAAAATATTATTCTCCTTATGAGATCAGGGCCTTAATTAACCTGCATCTCTCGAAACATTACATTGTCATATTTTCTGTCAATTGTCGGCAGTTTAAGCCTTTAGAAATCGAATCAACTGCGACATGTTAACATCAAATTCTGGTGAAGTAATAGAATTAGTGTCTAGTAACTGAAAATTCACGCAAGGGAAATTACAATTATCAAATTTATTACGCTGTTCAGTTTAAAGTGGTTCTTACGGGTTACATTATAAGTAAGGATCGAGTTATGCGCAGTTTGACATGTCCTTGATGTTATGTTATTTTAGGTATACCTGATGGACCTGGTCAATATGTTAATTTGACGATAATACAGTATCAATGTATGTAAAACTGAATTGTTGGAATAGCCTATTTTGTTCGATGAGTTTAACCTCGTATGAAAGCTCATTATAATCTGCAAGAACAATATATTCCCACGAGTATGTGACGTTTCGCTGACTTTGATTATCAAACACTAGCATCTTCGTTAGTTATGATATTTGAAAATCAATTTACATATATATACCTTTACTACCTGACGATATTGTTACATAGTATTTATAGAGGTCAGACGGGGACTACAACCCATCAGCAGTTAAAGTACCTACCAACATAAAGTATTTCCTAGGTGAGAGTTGAACTGTCGACATGAAGTTCTTTTCATTTCAGACTAGAAATCCTGTTGACACCATACAGTCAGCTTCCTGGTTTAGAAGTTTGAATATTAACCACATTCATCTCACTGAATACCCCTTGATGTAAACCTGAACATCATCCGTAATTGTATATACTTACAAACAATGAGTCGTGTTGACTGTTGAAGAAGGGAAAGAAAGTGCTGATATTGACTCTAGGCGAACTCCCATCGTCATTCTTGGGGAAATTATTGTCATGAACAGTCTCTCCATAAGGATAAAACTGTGACACAGGAATACCGGCGGTAAGTTGTAAAATCAAGCAGAACAAAGAATAGCTATAAACTGTCCTCATTGTGACGAGTTAAAGATGTCAATGTTTATGAAATGATAACTCGATTTCATTGCTTATATCAGAGAGATAAAACAATTTGTCGTGATAATTTTTGATAAGATAACACTCACAAATGATATATGTTATAGTGTGACATAAGCATTCAGTGAAATCATGTCGGGTATATAATGTTTTTTTTTACACGTTTCCTATCATTCTAGTATACATTAGTGACAAACTGTACAATGCGTCATACTTATCACAAAAAAGGTAATTAATAGTTATCTTATATGTAATGACTACGTCATATTTTAAACAATTATATGTGTATTAATTTAACCTTCCTCACGACGATACATGTATTCCCCCAGAATAAATAAATAAGTATTGAACATTATTTATAGAACATGATTTAAGAAAGAAAAACAAATGTTTACAGATAAAATTACAACACATTGCTTAGGGAGAGATATATTTTTACTGATAAAATTACAACACATGGTTAAGATGAGAAGTATTCTTTTTCAGATTAAACTGTAACACCCGATTTAGGGAGAGAAACAAAAGTAGGTCATCTATGTTCGTGATGATTTCCCGTTATCTGCATGATTTCCCGGGAGAATTTTACCTTTGATGAAGTGATATACAATATCGCTGATTTTATTATCAATTTAGTTTCCCTTATCAAGTACGTGGTCGTTATTCTATTTTATCCGTTCGGGAACTTGACATCGCATTCTGGAACACCCAGTCGTGCTTTGCTGGTAGTTTTAAGGATTAGTTTTTTATGCAATTTATGATATTTCCTGCATTTTTACATAGCCTTAATTTGATTTTTAGTCAGAGTTTAATATGAACAATATTTTTCGTCTTTCATATACATGCACTACCAGATATAAAAATTGGAAGTATTCTCAAAACTCTACAAAAATTGAATGAATTGATATAAACACAAGACTGGACATCGTATATACAAATATGTTGATGTATATGGGTTAGTGTTGAAAGTAATTATCATAAAATCTCCCCAAGCAGTTATTTACTAATTCCGGTTTTGAATCAATTCCCATAAGAACGTTCCTCAAACGGTAATAGTGACTCAGAAATTTGATAAATTCACTATACTACATATAAACATTTATCTTAAACAGTTAAGCTTCCAAAAGCTTGTGTATACGTAGATAAACATGCAAAGTATACCATTGCCATTTCCTGATAATATCGCGAGAATTTTCCCCGTAGTTGGTGCACAGTGTTATACTGAAAGCATGTCCGAGGAAATAACAGAAATAGGCCTGTATCACAGCTTATATACCACTAGGAATTACACACGTGTACACGTGTATGTAAGGCCCTTATAGACGTTACAGTTCAGTCGGTGGCCTATTGGGATATCATGTTTTATGTCTTCGTTAAGAAGAAAGTACGTGCATTAAATATACACAATACCTGGCTGACCACGGTATTGTATCTAGATAATCAGATAAACGGGACAATATTCATAACGCATAGTTAGCTTCATACAAAAAAGTCACGGACACATTTCAAAGCATCTGCTTTTAAATGTAACCTACTGAATGCAAATCATCCGCTTGTTTGACCTACTAGTAATATTACAAGCGTCCAATTGATGCATTTTTTCGGGGAAGGAGAAATGATTTGTAATTAAAGGATACAACATTCATATCCAATGTGTTAAGATAACGAAACTTTCGTTGGGCCAGGAATAATGTAACTTTAACCAACATTTACATGAAATAGATTATCACATTTGCTCCAATGGTTAAGGTACTTCGATACATGTATGGATCGGTTACGATTAACAGAGCGCAAAAGGGCATTTACTTGTAAACAAATTCAGGTGCGCAAGCACCGATAAGTAGTGACAAGCTGACAGCTGTACAATACACACGTACACACATATGTGTAACTACATTTCACTGACAGAGCTGGTAAATGTTCGATGCCTCTCATTTTTCTTGCTAAGTTAGCCATCTTTTACAAGATTGACTCGTCACAATCGATACAAGCCCCTGCCCGTGGCTCTTCAATAGCAGCAGACACAGACAAGGAAGGATGCTAAAGCAGACGATAGCTCTATAGCAGAAAATGGAGACGAAGGCTTCATTATTCTCCAGTTCGTATGTTAATAGGCCTCGGTGTGTACTCTACACTATCAGATGATCTAGTACTACAGGTAAGTCGATCAGTGTGTACCTGAAACATGTCGTCTGCTTTCGAAATATGGCTACAATGTTTGTTTATCTGCATACCACGATTTACTGGGGATACAGTACATCGTATTGTTCAGGTTTATAGAAAAAGGATCTTTCGAAACAGGAAGGACAAAAATCGTATCCGAGTGCATTTTACATGTTCGTCCGATATCCTACTGAAAAATTCCTACATAAAGATAATATCCGTAACGCCATTTTTTCCCGTTTCATCTATAACCCTTCGATAGCAAATTATCGCAGCATGAACCGTACATACATGTACGTGTATGAACTGTAACAAATTATCGGAACTTGGCAAAGATGGCTAAAATCGATTTATCGTTTATCGCTTAATTATCACCAGGAATAGACATTTGAAACTAAACTGCGTTTCACTCGACTATTTGCTGTTATAAAGGAAATGGAGTGTTGGCGGTAATATTTTTAGATAGTTGGTTAAACGCTCCATTTAACATATCGCTGGAATTACTGCAGTATTTCAATAAATCTCTTTGGTGGGTATTACATACGACGACATATATATATGTGAAATCTCACTCGGTTGACTAAGTGCTATATATATATGTGTGTGTGTATATGCTGTGACCCGTGTCGTGGTGAAAAGAACAATTTGTGACCCGTTTAAAAACAGCGGATCTGATATATCTCAATGGTAGCGTGGAAAATGTTTGTTCTATGTAAGAACTTGTACGCATTGTCCTTGTATTTAATTTTTAATTTTGCGTTTTACGTATGAAATGTACGCCTTGTGGCTGACAAAGCCTTAAATTGCATGAAATCCCATAGCAAATAAGAAACTTTTAACTTAAATGAAATCTTAATCATTTTTAGTCGAATATGAACGTTTAATGTTTATTCATTTTATTTTATTTGAAACAACAAGGTATAACACTCATTTTGTTGTGGTAGGTGTTTTAGTTGAAATACGATGCTGAATTATTTTCAAATAATTGGAATTTACACATTTATATTGTGTGTACGTCTTTTTCCAATTTCTTGTTATCCTTGTTGTCCGAAAGGTATTCACAATGCCGTCAACATTTTCCCATCAACTCGGAACATTACTGGAGTATTCGTATTTCTGTATAATGAAAATTACAGTCAGTGAATCTTAGATATCTTTCAAGTTCCGTGCAGAGGTATAGCCTATACATTTTTAGTACTGATATATATCTATAGGTATAAGAAACTGTGTCTTTCTATTGTTTAAGTTATAAATTCGTGCGCAAAATAATATGTTACATTTTGTAAAATATCTTTCTTTACAATGCGTTAAGGATCGGTCAATCGGGATTGAAATTTATAGCCATAGAAAGAAATGGGATCCAAGGACAGTTCCACAAGTTCAATACTGTGTACAGTACATATCCACTATTCACATCGATGCATGCCGCACATCTACGATGCATGGAACTGTTCATGCATGGGGAATTCTCCACCATATGCTTGGCAATTTTGTACGACGTACATTGGCTCATGACATAGACCTCTCACCATTTCAGACAAATCTGGTTGCACAGCGGGTCATGGTAACACGATGACGTTCTGCTGATGTTGATAAGTTCAAATAGCACGTGTCATATGATGATAGTTGATGTCCTGCTGTAAAATGACATAACGCTGGCTAGTACGGATAAAAGGAAGAATATGATGGCGTGTAATTTCGTAACGATTAGCACAAACTGACCGATCAAGTTGCATTTTACAATAACAGAAGGGTTCTTTCCATGCGTTTTAATGCCACTTCGGACCATAATGCTCCCTCCCCAAACTTTATTATACAAACGTCAATGTAACGTTCCCCCGGCCGGCGGTACACCCGAATAATACCGTCACTGCTATCAAGGTGAAATCAGAGCAGATCTGTGAATAGCGGGTTAGGTCATGATCAGCCTCTGTTGGTTAATCGCAGATGTCTGCTGCAACATGCTGAGCGTGCATCTCTGTTGGGTAATAGCACACTGGACGGATAGCTGGACGTCGCGGGCAGATGATGGCCTCTAGCAATGTTTCGCACGATTATGAAACTGATCCATCTTAGTACTGGAATGCTTTCAACATTAAATCAAGAGGAGGACTCGAACCGATTACGTAAAGACGACATATATTGCCTTTATGACGTCACAGATACACAGACTACTATCCTTAAATACAAGAACTTTTGACTACTCTTTTAGTGTTCGTTGCCTGGATTTGAAACTAAAAAAAAATAATAAGCTGACCAATAAAGCGTAACGAAAGCAAAGTTTGAAGTTATTACCAATCGATCAAGCTTTTGATACATAGAATATAATTTTTAAAATTATCGACGAGAAAAATATTCTGTTTATCTTCTCTTCAGATAGTTTCTTTTTTCTGTTCTTTTTAATATCGTTGACAATAAGACTACATACACTATGTTGATAAGGACAGTGAGACATATGTGTGTGTAGTGTTTGACATACTGTATTGTGATCTTAGCTCAATACGTTCAGCAATACTCTACGTATAATAGAGATATTATCAATCCATGTGGCAGATGTTTCTATAATTTCCGTCTTAAATAGCAACACAAATAATGTCAAACATGTTGGTTTAAATATACATAAATATATACACATAATTTTTACTGACGTTTTTGTTGCAGTTTCGGCGCTTACAATGGCAATGCTGACCAACGCCTTATCTTGGGTACGCTCCCTGCAGGTCCGACACTTTACCCATAGACAGGAGGTTCCAGAGAAATATCGCGAGGATGGCATCCTTACTGGCTACAGACTAGCCAATCAGCCATGGCGTTACTACATTGGCAGTTTGTTTCAAATCCATAACGAGACACTAAATGTATGGACACATTTGATTGGCTTGTTTGTAATTTGGTATGCTCTCGGGCAATATTTTTTGATCTACGATTGGTGGACAGACAAAGACTCTTGGCCGATGCTGACTTTCGGAATTTGTTGTAGCTTGACTCATTTTTTGAGTTCGGTGGCACATTTATTGCATTCGAAAAATCTGTATGTTCATCATTTGGTTTTTATGGTAGATTTTATCGGTGTAGTTTTGTTTGCATTTGGGACAGGGATTTTGGCAATGTACTCGTGTTCAGATAAGGAAATGTATGTTACTCTCAGTCCGATTTACCTGTATGTTCTCGCCTTCCTAACGTGGTTTAATCATGGATTTTTTTGTTTTGCACTACTTTGTTTTAGCGGAGGACCACAAGTAATAAAACGTCGAGCCCTACAGGTGGCAGCACTACTTGTGGAAGTAGTGCTTATATTTATACCATTCTTCCCGCGTTATATCAAGTGTTTTATAGACTCCGAATGTTCTATCCGTTCTTTTGATCACATCACGCTGACATTCCCAGCATTCGGTGCTCAGGCATTTTTCTTTTTGTCGCAAATTCCAGAGAGGTTTTTTCCTGGAAAATTCGACATTGTTGGTCACAGTCATCAACTGTTCCATATTAGTGCTACTATTGCCCAGCTCTTGCAGATGCGAGCCGTCCATCAAGATATACAGAATGGAGTCTCTAGACACGCTCAGCCGGACCTTTCGGCCATGCTATCAGTACTGGCGATACTTATATGCTGTTCCATTGGAAGTATTTGCGTTCTTCAAAAATACATTCCATGTAATGTGAAGAAGGTAAAGACTAAATGAGCACGAACAATAACAGTATTATTCAGTCTTGTTATTATTGTTGGAAATATCAATTATCGAAATGTTTACTTCTTACTTCTTATCTTGAAATCAAATTTTTTTATTTAAACATTTTAACATTTATCAATTTTACATCTTACGGTAACTGGCGGTGACATGGTGATGTACAATGTCTGTATTGTGTTTTGGTGAATATGTATTTTGTAGACGTATCTATATTCAACTTCTGGTGATTTTTATCTGTAGTCTTTTAATCACGGGCATGCGACACTGTTTCTGGGAGAGAGAAGCTGTATAATTAGTGAAGGGATCAACGAAACACTAGAGAGAAATCCCCGAGCCGTAGAAAAATAACCGGTATTCGGTCAAATATATTGTTTGATTTTTTTCACATCTTTGCTACCAATATGATCACAAGTGACATTTAATAAAAACACGACTTCAAATTTTGTAGACTACATTTACTAACTTTTCTTTAGTTGGTGATTCCAGTGTTCCGTCGGCCCCCTTTTCTAATTATAGCGTACGATAGAAGTCATTCTCCAAAGAAACCTTGTTACTACAAATCATGACAAGTAAAAGGTTCATTCAAGAAAGACCAATCTATTGGTGCTACCGGTACGTACATGCATGTATAATCATGGTTTGAGGACAAGGATATTTAAAGTGTTTTAATTTTACTTTGTGACTTTATATACATACTAATACTGCCTCCTACAGTAAATATGCATCATGTTTGTTCGATGTTTTATCAATGAGAGCGTTTCGCTGGTTTATTAGGGAAACGTTACAGTAATACATTTTCTCGTCTTATCGGCATTCATTGCCATTCTATGGATGTAAATCTCTACATACGGATCGAGTTTGGCATCACTGTTTTGTGTTCAAACTTCTTCAGTATTCTTAAGTTGTTCTGATTGAATAGCATTCTATATTCCACTGTTGTATTATATAATTATATATTGTTGTGTTATTGTCCTATGATATAAAATATTCAGGTGTTTCTTCTTGCCAATTTATTGTAATAGTTATTTACTGTAATATTAATGACATTTTACTTGGGTTTTTTTTATCTTAGGTAGACATCAGGCCTAAAGTCTTTATGATATTGATCATATCATGCATGCTATTTGATTAAAAATCAGGTGTTCCTTCTTGCCATTTAACTTGCATCTTTATATAGATTTATTTAGATTTTTCAATTTATAAAATATTTTCAATTAAATCACAGATCTAAATCTACAATGTGTATCTAAGTCTGCAATGAAAGAAATATAGTAGTCTTTACTATTTAGATAAATTTATTAGATAAATACCCTCAATAAAGTTCTTTATAAACCATTGGACTGTTCACGCATGGATGAGTACTAGAAAGCTAACAGCGTGACTTCGTTACGTTTCAGTTATGACCAAATTAAAGTTCTCATCACACAGTAATGGATTCTGAAATATTCCTGTACGGATTTCGTTCATGCCTAATAGCACGTTTGAAATGAATTTTAAAAAGGAATCAACTGAGATATGATAATTATGGCAAGGAAATTGTAAATAAATCTTGACGTTAATCGTGATACAAAACTTACTTCATATATTGAGCTAACATTTAAATTTAACAGCGCAACTTTAGAAACTCTTTAATCGGACAGGAATGTTTAAGCTATATGGTAATTTAACAAATTTGTTTTACTACTTAGATACCAGAATAAGGAGTCATCTGTACATCTGTAAAACCACTATACCATTATGTGGCTACATTAACTTTGTGTTGCTAAATTTCCAATCAATAAATCAATTTTCAATAGTTACCGATGAAAGAGTGTGTTTTAAAATTGAATAGAACGAGTGAGAGATGTTCAGGGTAAGCCGGGACTAAGTACATTGTTATGTTCATTACTCGACACATGTTTTACAGTTAATAAAAGTTATTAAGTACATATGTATTATTGTAAGCGGATTAAAGTAGACGACAGAATGTGGGATTAAAAACTTTATCAAATTAACTTGAACGGTGTTTTCCGTGTTTTTTGTTCACAGACAAACGAGTGGTAGGATTCTGTAATAAAATGTCAAAATGAATAATTCAGAAAAGTTAACACGTAAACGTGTCTAAAATGTTAACCTCTAGAAAATACAATCAATTTAATCCTTTTCCCAATTTTGAATTGATGATACCGCACAAATTGAGAAGATGAAGTTTATTAATCACTTCAGGAGAGTTGAAATGTTTGAACAGAATTACCCTGTTGGCCCCTCTCATAGGCTCGTGTCGTTGAATCGGACCGGTCGTCAATGTCATGGGGTTTTGTCAAATATTTCAATTTTCCAGACCACAGGGTAAGCTTTAATAGTTTTTGTTTTGCATAAACATTTGTTAGAAAAAAATTATTCTTGTATTTGCAAAATTTGAAAAAAAACCGCTAATTTTGACAAATCTTAAAACAACAAAGTCAATGTTCATTTCAAAGCACCGACAAAGTATTAGTGTTCTTTTAGTGATTTTTTCCTCAAAGATGGTCATCTGTTTTCTGATTGCTCGAAACGGTTAAACAGTTCAACATCTTAACTTTCACCAAATCGAATAAAAGCGTAAAAACATGTCTTCCATGTCATGTGACCAGCAATGTCAGATTTCACCGAGTGAAATAAAATTTCATTTCACATATACGTTAAGACCTATCATAAATACCTTTGATTAAAAATCAAAGAAATTCCCAGTCAAAAATCCTTGAACTACTGTTGAAAAGTGTTTAAACCTTCGACATTTTCTAAAATGCGTCTCTTAAGAGCAGTTATAACAAGAGATAGGTCTACATGTCAAGTTTTACAATGTTAGTGGTGTCTATACAGGCTTACTTTTGTGTAGGAAACGTGTTCTTTCGACCCAAATCTAATTGGTACTACATTGTGAATTATACAAAACATTAGCTCATTTCCGTGCACTGTAGTTGCTATTTCCCGATTAAGTATGAGGAAGAAGTTAACTATAAACCACTACACGGAATGTATATTATACGGCTAGATTTTACACATTTGTACGCTTCACCCGAACAAATAATCACTTTGAATTATATAGACCTTATTATCGCCAGCATCTTAATTTGCAAACTTTGCTCGTTGGTTTTTATCATAACTCGTTGAATTTGCGACGGAGAGGATGCTAATTCAGTTTTATTTTTCATGTTTATATTGGAATATTTCTTCATTTGCTATAAGCAAATAAGTCTCCATTGTATCTAACGAGAAAATAGATGATTTATTGTGAAATTCTTACAAATTTATCTCTCTACATCACAGCTATCTCTGGTTCCCCCGAGTCTTTATACCCAAGAGAGCTATTGGTATGGCTGTACTCAATATAGCTAATGGTATGGCACTCCAGCCGTCGTCCGTAAGCTTTAATTAGCTGATTTTGATGACCTTTCATGTTAAAGATCAGTACTAATCAATTTTGATGATTTTTAAGTGAAAATGAAACCAAGATGGCCAAAGTTTATCGATTGGTAACATAGAATTATTATATATTTGTTCTGTCCGACATTTGATGTCCTATATATTGAACTTTGATGTAACTTAATACTGTTTTAAGATATGCATTCGATCATATGTAAAGGATATTCAATATTGAAGACCTATTCGATCTTTGATGACCTAAAAATTGACCTTTCACATAACTTTGAACAGTGTCATAACATGTGCATGCGACACTGAAGAATCCTTTGGCCTTTAACCATTTTGTGACCTACATATGTAATCCGTAATTTTAGAAAATTTGCATTCAAAAACTATCATTATTGACTGCATCTTTGCCATGTAATTAAAAAGTAAGCATTGCTGACCTTTGTTGGACATTAACAATGTTACCTTCTCCTCCATAAAAGTTGACATATGGCTTCAGCGAGACCAACAGAATCGTTTTGTTACATATCCCCAGCGATAAACTGTCAGGGGTGAGCTTTCAGACTTTTTGGCTATTTTTTCATAACGTATTGGCCAATTCCCCTCTCTGTGTGAATCTTGAACTGTTTGTAGCAGTGTAGTGTAATAGCTGTCACGGAAAAGTGTACATTGTCAGTGAACGAGGTCGATGTATTTAAGTGTTAGGAAACAGGATCTGTGACTCCAATTTATACCAGTACAATGTTTGTTCTACTAGTGTCCGTTGTTCTGTTGGGAAGGACAGTAGAATGTTAATAGTATAAAGTACGTTACAAAATCTTACGGAGACATATAGACAGACAGTATGACGGACAGACGGACAGAGAGACAGACACACAGCCTGACAGACAGACAAAGTGAATTTGAATTTCTTAGCTAAGATAGTATTGTTAGCACATTCGAGGTATGTTTGGAGCAAAACATATATACAGAGAATAACATCAGGCTTTTTTTTATGTTGTTTATGATAGATTGCCATCCCTGTGATAGGGCCTACATGTCTCCAATCCAGATTATTGATAGGTGTGTTTCATGGGATCATCACGGCCTATGTATATGCATATCTCCAGGCAAAGTTGAGGTATAAAATGTACCAAGAGAACCAACACAGCCGTGCATATACGACAGATGATATATTTATGATAAATATTTAAAATGTAAAAAAAACTGACCAACATCAATGATATGATTTACAAAGCTCCGAATTGCAGTAAACACGACACTCAAAACTCGTTTCCAATATTCCTCTGATGTCTGGCGGTATCTGTGTTTGGAGAGATACAGGATAACGAGGTATGTGTGGACGACGTTTATGACAGGCATTGTGACCTAAGGGAAAACATATTTTCCAGTGATATGAAATTCGAGGAGTCCAATGCTAGCTCAGTAAGGGCTGGTTACACGTCAGCTCCTGACGACAAGGACACGGAATTTCAGTCCCACGGTCTGTATTGTATCTAGTTCCATGAAATAAAACTGCAAGCATACACATTCGCCGTCCTAGTGTGTCTGTGCATTAGCAGCGGATATACGATGCATGTCAGAATTTTCGCTCTTAATTACTACTACACTGTACTGATATTGGTGTACACTACGACCAACAAACTATCCATCAGGCGTCCAGAAACCTCCCACCCCCGCAAAATAAATAAATAAATAAAAAGAGATAACCCTAGGGAATCTGTATGCAAAGGGAGCTAAACTATTATATCGAAACAGGTGGACATAGAGGTAACATTAAACACGTTTTTTTCCAAATATGAACAGTGAAATAATCGCTTCTATCATACAAAACACGTTCTAGTGTACGTAAACGTGTTCCCGCGGACACAACAAATAAAAAGGTGCCCGATACCTAATTCAATTTAGTATCTGACCAGATAGCTATCACTTAATCACCGTGTGTCTAATGGACGATGGTGGGAAGAAAAATAATTTTCGAAAATTGAATTGAAGCCACAATACAGGGCATAGTTGATGGTCCCTTGTTAAGAGGATAAATGGAAACCTTGTGGATTCATATCACAAATATGGTAAATAAGATGCCCATAGGGCTTGTATCGCTCTAGTGGCTTTGCAAAAGGAAAAAAAAAAAAATTCTATACGTTTTTATTTATCTCCCAATATGGCCATTCCTCTGTCCTGGGGTGTCAGTCAAACCATTTACACAAAAAGCATCTTCACCAAAGGATAGTTCAGATCAAATTCTGACAAAATCATGACGATCTTCTAGCAGAAGGATTTAAAAAAAAAAGATTCACCCTTTTGCGCCCCGCTCCGGATGGCCGAATCCCACCGTTTATGCAAAATTGATTCCCATGTACCCAAGGATGCTTCAGACTAAATTGGGACAGAATTTTAGCATTCCTACTGAGGGATTCCAAAGCAATTTCCCTTTTTTAGTCCTATCTCTCTGGTTCAAAGGTAGGTCATACCCATTGTTAATACAAAATTGTGTCCTTTTCACCCAGGGATATTCCAGACCGAATAGGAAGATGGTCAAGACATTCATACTGAAGGAGGGTTTCGAGGAATGTGCTGTATTTCTCCTATTTGTCCATGCTCCTCCCACCCAGCACCCCCTCCTACACTGAGACCACCATTTATACAAAATTAATTCCCTGTCACAAAAGAATGCTTCAAACCAACATGGAGAAAAAATATTAAAGAATTTTGCACTATTTTTCCCTATTTGGCCCTGCCCTTCTTCATATCTTAGGGGTGGATACCCTCTCCCTCTCACATGCCCCCTTCCCTACCCTAAGGGAAAGAGACCCACAATTAATACAAAATTGATTCACTTCACCAATAGGTTTTTGAGTCCAAATTAGAACAGAATCCAGACATTCTTACAGAAGAAGAAAAAGGATTTATTAATTTTTTTCCAATTTCCTCCTTTTGGGTACCACTCCTCTAGCCACCAAGGGGCCAAGACCACTTTACCAAAGGATTTTTCATATCAAATTGGAAGAGAATTCAGGAATTCCTACAGAAGAAAAAGAATTTAAAAGCCCTATTGGGCCCCAGCCATCTAGCATCCAGGGGGTCAGTATCTATTGTGATTACAAAAACGATTCCCCTTCACCAAAGGATGTTCCAGATCAAATTCAAACATTAATCATTTATACAAATCAAATCCAATTCACCCAGTCATGCTTCAGACTAAATTAAGACAAAACCTAGTGGGCATTCCTAGATAAGAAGGATTTTAAAGAATTTGTTTCATTATCCTTATTGAGCCTCACTTCTCTAGCCTACAGGGGGCCCAGACAAGCTATTATTATAAAAATGATTCCCTTTAACCAAAGGATTCTTCAGACCGAATTGGGACCGAGTCCGAAGATTAATACAGAATAAGGATTTTCGATAATCCCTTTTTTCCCACATTGGGTTAAGCCCTTCTTGCCAAATGGGGTAGAGATACACTGTTTATGCAAAAATACGCCTTTATCTAAGGGTGCATCATACCATATTGGTACAGAATCTTAGCAATCCTACAGAAGAAGGATTAACACAGTCCTACAAGAGAAGAACAATCTTTATTATTGACACATTGTCAACATGTTTCGACCGCTAGGCGGCCGTCATCAGGTCCAAAGTTTGATTCAGAACGAAGTTTGACAAAATCTTAACATCTGTCACCAGGTGTATAAGCCAGAGGAAACCTGGACCAAACATCTGTAAGACAAAATGTCTAATGTTGGGTTTAGGAGCCAGAGGACAGACAAGTGCATACACATGTAGCAAGATGCTTTCACTATTAATGTATAAATATAGGAGGAGGAGGAGGCAGCGAGGAAGTTGTCACTATCACACATGCTGTCTGTGTGTCAAGCCATGAATAATAGCCTCATTTGTAGTTGAAACTGAGTACTAAGATTGTTTGTTGTAGATTATCATAATATTAACTGGTAAAATCCTTGACAAGATCAACTAATGAATATAACTCATTACGATACCACACAACCTTATCTGTACAGGTGTACAATAGTACAAACTGTTGTATTCAGTTCTTCAGTGTTATTTTGTTTTCGGTAGCTACATTAGCTTGCCATAAGGTGGCTACCAACATTTTGGATATCTTTTATTTCCTATTGAATTGCTATAATTTTAGAGCAAACACTATATGTATAAGAGACCAGGGGGAATCTACAAATCAAATATGAGAAAGTTCCTTCCAGATCCACTAAAAAAATGCACAACTACGGACCATGAAGGACCTACACATAAAATCAACCACAACTCACCAAGAAATAATGATAAACTCATTTTCAAAAAATCTCACAGCCAGTTTTCCTCCCAATCAGTCCAAAAACTAAGCTAATTAAAGACAAGTAGTGACAATGGGGGGTACACATAACTAATCACAGAAATAGGAATAACAAGGATTGTTTAATAGATGAAGGATTGTTGATGGACCCTCAACAAAGCATGATTTGAACTGCCCACCTTCTGATGACAGTATTACGATGTCACCAGAACACTGACGTTCATTGATGAGATTATACCTGGCAATGGGAGGAGTCTTAGATATGGAAAACCTGTAACTAACTAACGAAATAAATTCTTTCTTTGGTGACTTTAAGAGAACAGTCCCCATCATTATCTAAATATACATGCAGTTCTTACTTGTCTGTTTTATATCAAGGTCTCTTTCTAATTAGTGTAGGTAGTTATAAAGTAGAAAAACAAATACCCGAGTAGTATTAACCTCCGTGACATTTTATTGAGTCCATCACAGCTGTCATTACATCTCCAAATATAGAATCTCTGTTTGACTGGGACAACTGTAAACAAAACAAAAGATAATTAATTTGTTGCAGTCATCAACAATACAAAACTTACTGGGACACATGTAAACAAACAGGCTATATAAACAGTGTTGTCCCTGTCATCAACAATACAAAACTAACTGGGACACTTGTAAACAAAACAGGAGATAAATAGTGTTGTCCCAGTCATCAACAATACAAAACTAACTGGGACACATGTAAACAAACAGGCTATATAAACAGTGTTGTCTCAGTCATCAACTATACAAAACTAACTAGGACACATGTTAACAAAACAGGATATAAACAGTGTTGTCCCAGTCATCAACAATAGAAAACTAACTGGGACACCTGTTAACAAAACAGGATATAAACAGTGTTGTCCCAGTCATCAACAATACAAATCTAACTGGGACACCTATAAACAAAACAGGAGATAAACAGTGTTGTCCCAGTTATCAACAATACAAAACTAACTGGGACACCTGTAAACAAACAGGCTATATAAACAGTGTTGTCCCAGTCATCAACAATATAAAACTAACTGGGACACATGTAAATAAACAGGCTATATAAACAGTGTTGTCCCAGTCATCAACAATACAAAACTAACTGGAACATCTGTAAACAAAACAGGAGATAACAGTGTTGTCCCAGTCATCAACAATACAAAACTAACTGGGACACCTATAAACAAACAGGCTATATAAACAGTGTTGTCCCAGTCATCAACAATAGAAAACTAACTGGGACACCTGTAAACAAACAGGATATAAACAGTGTTGTCCCAGTCAAGAACCACAAAAGATTTCTTCTAAGCAATCAAAATATATATGGTTTGATTTATTCAATGGTTCATTGGACAGCTTTGCAATGATTTCATTCAAAATAAATATACCAAAGTGTTTGATATTATATTCATATAGTGTCAACTTTATATAAAATCATGTTACTTTGTATTGCTTTATTATTGTTATGTTTAACTCAAGTTATATATAAACATATACTCACTGTAAAAAGAACAGCATCTGACCGCTGCCGGACCTCCTCCACTAGAGGTATAGGTCTTCCTTTGGCTATAGGGATGGTAGCAATCACTGTTGTGTTTGCAGAACTTAATAAATCCCGAACAACCCTCACAAATGTCTGACTAAACAACTCCATCTTCCCGATTTCATCAATCACAAAAATGTTGTGCTGACCTTCCTGAAATATAATAGAGTAATATCTATGTATCAAAAGACTGGTGTAAAAACAAAAAAAACCTATTTCATCCAAGTTCAATTCTTTGACCACTCCAGTGTGAACTAACAATGTATTAGGAAAAAGAGTTTTACATATGGAAATGTGTGCATACCTTTCTTTTCAGTGTAGGTAGTGCTGTTGTCTCAAAGGTGTGTAACTGGACCACATATTTCCCCACAGTGTGTTGCCTCCCAACAGGTACATCACTGAGGAGAAAACATCAGACTATAATAATGATAAACATGCATTGCCTCCCGACAGGTACATCACTGAGGAGAAAACATCAGACTATGATAATGATAAACATGCATTGTCTTTCTACAGGTACATCACTGAGGAGTAAACATCAGACTATAATAATGATAAACATGCATGGTCTTCCCACAGGTACACCAATAAGGAGTAAACATCAAACTATTGTAATTATAAGAAATCAGTGTATATTATTATACATTTTTGTTAAAGACACATGTCTCCACTGGAGTACACCTGGAGATGCATTAACTAATCACAAAAATCACTGAAACAGCTAAAGATGAAGGCAGGTAAAGTGTAACAGGGTTGTTGTATTGCATGTGATTTGCATTAAACACTGTACATACAAAAATTTTGATAAACTTTTAAAATGCATTCAATAGATGTAGCATTACAAGTGGAAGAAACTTGATAATTCTCCATCAAAGCTTGCTGCAGGGCCAATATCTAGCCAACATCTCATTTGAACGATGTCAGCCATTGATCTTGACCATGTGTTAAGTTTATTCATTACTCTTACAAATGATCCTTAATCTGGAGTTAACTGAAGCCTTTGCCTCCATGTGGTACCTGGTGTTAGCTGAGGGGAGTGGTGCTCTCTTTCCAGACCATGTGAAGTATTACAATGTACCCCGAGTTAACTGAAGCCAGTGGTGCTCTCCTCCCTGACCATGTGACTCATAACCTAGTGATGTTTTACCTAGTGTTAACTGAAACCAGTAGTGCTCTCCTCCCTGACCATGTGACACATAACCTAGTGTTAACTGAAACCAGTAGTGCTCTCCTCCCTGACCATGTGACACATAACCTAGTGTTAACTGAAGCCAGTTGTGCTCTCTTCCCTGACCATGTGATGTATAAACTAGTGTTAACTGAAGCCAATGATTATCATTTTCCCCTGGCCATGTGGTGTATTACCTGGTGTTAACTGAAAGCAGTAGAGCTCTCTCATCTGACCACGTGGTCTATTACCTGGTGTTAACTGTGGTGTATTACCTGGTGTTAAAGGAAGCCAACAGTGCTCTCTCTTCCCTGACCATGTGATGTGTTACCTGGTGTTACCTGGTGTTAACTGAAGCCAACAGTGCTCTCTCTTCCCTGACCATGTGATGTGTTACCTGGTATTTACAGAAGCTAATGGTGCTCTTTCCCCTGACAATGTGACAACATCAAATCCAACTCTCTGTCTGCCTTCCCTTCTCTCCTCTGTATAAAACCCTCTACACTCCACTCCAGATTTTACCAGATGATCACAAACTTTGTGTATCAATGTTGTTTTTCCTATCCCTATGGAAAATAAAATCCACATAGGAGTGATTCAATAGGCAATAAGATTGAATAAGAGATATATTTTGTATGGTATGTACCAATAACTCTTTAATACTAAAGTCACTCTTCAACATTGATTATACTTGCTCTAATTCAGTGGTATAATAAAAGTTAAAAGGCTAATGTTGTTTTAAAGTTCAATATTTCAGTCTTTTTCATTCTTACTTTTATTTTTAATGTTTTAATCAACTTAATTAGAATGGATTCAATATGAATTATGAGTACTTTAACATAGGGATAATAATTTCACACCATGTCTTGGAACCTGAGAGCAGGATGTGCCTACCCGTCTAGTCTACATGTAATTAATTGATCTGTGATGAAGACACGTCTTCTTGGCAGATCTACATACAGTGGTACTTCATTTTACCTGGGGGACCTGTGAGGAGGACGTGTCTTGCAACATTTCCTGTTGTCATGGTACAATCTGTTCGTCAATCTGGTAAAAAGAATTCGAGATACCAACGTGTGTTTTGATTATTAGAACAGCTTTCGTAGAAAAGTGGCTTACATCGCAGTTTTTACGAACCATCACATCAAATCAACAGCTCGGATCGAATGCGCCCAGTGCAATCTACATCATCTAAACGTTTTGAAGACAAGCCAATCTTGACTCAAAAGTGAAGCGTATTTTTTACTAAGACAATAATGAAAAACTGTCAAAATGGGAAATTCTAATATAAAACAACATATTGACACAGCACAGAAAACTGGAGCTTGCCAACTATGTAAACTCGGACTAAAGGAGGTAATAACGAGTTGAGAGTCGAATTTCTTTAGACGAAACATGGTGATTATTTACGTGTATGCAATGATCATGACACTAACACCGTAAGTCATGACGGACCACAATTACCTCAATGATCTGCACGAAAAAAAGAGACAAACTTATAGATATTTCAGAAAGAAAATGATCAAATTTACCCCTGGCCGAGAAGTATATACATAAATACTTATACTAGTGAGACGAAATTAGATTGTTATATTTGAATTGTAATGTGGCTTTCGAGATTAAGATATTTCGTCCACAACGTCGAGGTTTAAACTAACGAGGTCACAGTTTTTGTTGTTTTTTTCCCTTTCCTTTTGATGGATTTCCCTCCATTTGGGTATCTGTTAAGCTCCATGTGTAATATACTCATTTATGTTTCAGCCCCAATATATATGCAACTTTGACTAAGACATAGAAGAGAAGAACGAATTTTTTGCCTGTACTGCAAGGATAAAGAAACGCAACTTCATTAATTGTAAAAATGTTTTGTATTGAAATACAGTGTAGTATAAAAAGTGAAAGGAATATCATGGCACCCTACCTAATCCCCTGATAAATGTTAAAATCCATCATCCATGACAGAAAACGTATCCACATCATGTGTGCCTTAATTACCAATATACTGTGACTGTACAAATGCTCTTTTCCATTCTGTTTCTGACTACCATCAGGTTTGACATGAAAGATTTGGGGATGGATTGGTTATTTAACATCTGTACGCTATCGAGATGAGATCATGAGGCCTCATGTTTTGCCTTTCATTACATTATACCATTTAACCTTTCAGCATGATAATACTAAGCCACATGTTGTAAAAGTTTGTAGGGACTTTATTGAAATCTAGATCATTGTCCTGATAAGTTGGCCTTCATATAGCCCTGAAGTGTCTCAAATCGAACACTTGTTGGATGAGTAAGAAAAAAAAGAACTTCAGAATTGAGAAACTTCCTAAATAACCTCTGCTAATTGGCAGACACACTTACGGAGGAATGAATTAACATTCCTCTAAGGACAGAAAATGCCATAATGAACTTAATGCCATGCAGAATTTGTTTGGGAAGGACACACAACTACTGTTATTTCAACTTTATTTACATTAGGGTACCCTAATTCATGACAGCCTAATGAATTCCTCATTTGTTAAAACTGAACTTGCCTAAAGATGGTATCATTTTTTGGTATTGATATAAAAGTGGTTAAAATTCAATCTTTGCAAATAGATTTTTGCTATGTTATCTTTAAAGTACTTTCAAGTAAATTTTCCAAATGATGCATATATTTAGGCTTTAATGCATGGCATTGGTAATAAAATGACCTAAACTACATGTACAGTATTTCAACTTCTTAAGCATACATGTACTTAGAATTTGCAAGACATTCTTGTTCATAGCTTTTGCTAGCCTAGATATGTTTTCACAACATTTAGTTGTGATTAGGATTGAATGCTGTGGCAGAGTGCTAATAATTTGACACATTATTCATCTTTATAAATCAGCTCTGTCATTTCCTGAGTACCCAAGGAACAAAAATCCTTGGTTATTACAATGCTTCAGCCCAGGAGATACTAGACTGATATTTCAAAATAAAGAAATTCTGAAGGAAATGTCTTTAAATTTAACACCACAATGTAATATATTTCATTTAAATTTCAAGCGATTTCATGTTAAGGCAGTTACTTGTCCAAGCCCCTATATAGAGATTTTTGAAATAGATAAGTTTGTTTGAGGGTAAAATGAAGTACTAATGGATTTCAGAGTTCTGGATTTGTGAATAAATCTGCATGCTAATTCCAAGCAATTAACTGATCGAAGCGTTAGGATATTTAAAATACATGCATGTGTGTTGGTGAAACCCACCGAAGCATACTGTTTTCCATTAATGGGAACACAAGTGTTGTCCAATTAAGAAATAGAAATGAACCTCATGATCTTATTGCAAAAATATTGGAAAGGTGCCAAGCTAGATGCCATCACAACAAATTAAATGCTGTGGTCGATCGTCTGAAAGGATGCATTTCAATTTATGTATATTTACAGTTTCAACACTGAAATAAGCCCAGGGGGCAAAAACATTACTTCTGACATGAATGATAGTCTGGTCTTACTGAATTGTAAATATTTTAGCAGTATCTGCTAATCTTTTTCTAGCACACTATTTGTGTTGCCTCTGATTTTACAACAAAAAATTGACAGTTTCCATATGTTAGTGTTTATCAATCATTGTGGATACAAAAAATAATTACTGCACTCATTTGACAAAAATTGATTATGCTTTGAAATTGATTTTGCCAAATTAAGGACATTTACACTGCATAATTCTGTGTAGTTTACAGAAGACTGATATACCAGGTATACTATATATAGTGTAGAATTTAATTTGTTGGGATTACTACTGAAATTGTAACAGATATATGTAGGCTTATTACAAGTTTATTGCCAAATACATACACGTATAGTAAGTAAAGCATTCCCAATTTTTCAATGATAATTACGACCTGAAATTCCTATAAAACTATACATCATATAGTCCTCATTTTTAATGTTCAAAACTACTTGGGTGATGGATACTAACATTTGCAATGCAAGTATATCTTTGCTGACTGCAACATGGTATAATGTCTATGCCATTGTTTTTCCTCACTTGACTTTACAACAGCATGTGCTTTCATGAACTCGGAAAATGCTGTAAGGTTTAAAAGGAAATGATAAATTATTGTGGATTTTTCACAAAATAACACATTTTAGGGATGGGAACCCAACATTTTTTCAACTGTAAAACAGGGGAAAAAGAACTACCCGTACATTAAGTCATAACAATCTATTTATTTTAAATTTCATTGTATTTTTTTTTACTGTTTTGTTGTAGTTTCCTGAAGATCTACAAAGGCTGACCAAAAATCTTAGAACACTTGATTTGTCAGAAAATAAAATACCTTTGATACCACCAGTTATTGGATCATTCTCCTTGTTAAAAAATGTCAACTTAAGCAAAAATAGATTGGGTAAGTAGAGGTGTTTTTATTTTTCAAACATATGATTGGCTTGATGTAAAATCTATAAATGATTATTATTTCCATAGTAATGCTTTTGTTTTTAGTATAATTAACTTTGAATATTAGAATAGATGAAAAATAAATCATACTTGCATTAAATAATAGTCATGGACAAGACATTTAATCTTCTATTCTTATATGTACTAGATCATTTCTGATAAGTACACTTTAAAACATTGAAGTTTAAATGAAATATTTTCATGTGACAAAAATATTAGTGAATTGGGCATTAATTTATCCACTTTTTCATCGGTTTGTCCATCTATGATACATCATAATTTTTTTTACTTTACATTATAAACTGTACTTATATGATAAATGATTTACCATACATGATTTGACAAATTTTGCAGCATGTGAAAAGTTGCTAGTCTCAAGGAAAAAAATTTAAGTGATAAATGTTTTCGTAGTAACTTGACAATATGATCATATGGTACATCAATTGGTACATGAATGAAATGACATATTTATTTTCTTTCTTCTAGAATCACTTCCAGCTGAATTTGGGAATTTGAAAAAGCTGGAATCTTTGTCATTGGAAAGCAATTGCCTAACGTCAATTCCAGAATCCCTAACAAAACTTGCTAGTTTACGTACACTGAATTTATCAGACAATAGATTGAAATCATTTCCTAAACAAGTGTGTGTACTGAGACAGTTGGATGCGTTAGATCTGTCTAAGAACAAAATTACAGTTTTGCCTGATGATTTGGAACAGTGTCAAGCTATAGAACTCAATCTCAACCAGAACCAGGTCAGTAAATTTGTCTGTACCATAGTTATAGAAATACATGTATCTCCAAAATGTTAAAGACCAGTTTGTTGAGGAATCGGCGATGATCAGACAACAGGTGCTTAAAATCTCTCTGAAGATGATTAGAAATAACAGTATCAGTGGTGTTTAATTTGACACTTACAAGAAATATAAAATGTGTTTGGAATGAAGAAAAGATATGACCATTTTAGTCTCAGTTATCTCCCTTCCGGAATATATTCATGAAAAATGTTTAAGCAATTTTGAAAAAGAGAGTTGGAAAATATATTGCTATGCTAGAAGGGTTTGCTCCGTGTGAAATTTAAATCAGCTTTTAAAGAAAATATGAATTATTCAATTATGTTCATTACAATTTTTCTTGCTGTATTCAGAAATGAGAAGTTCATTTTTAGAAAAATAAAATTTCATACTTTAATAATTTTGTTTTGAAAATTGATAAATCTGTTGTGGTAAAGGGAGTCTAGATATAACCACTTTCATCTGTAATATTGAAACTATTGATGCCATGTTTTTGAATGTTATAGATTTCTGGTCTGCCTGAAAGCTTAACGTCATGTCCTCGATTGAAAGTATTAAGAGTTGAAGAAAATTGTCTGGAGATCTCTGCCTTTTCTCCACGGATAATGAAGGAGTCCAACATTGCACTGTTAGCAGTAGAAGGCAACGTATTTGATATGAAGGCCTTTAATAATCTGGATGGCTATGATGAGGTAACTTGTTTGTTGGGTCTATAGTCCTCACTTTTATATAAATCTTATTGTTAGACAGATGATATGTCTTGTACTGTTCCTTGCCAACCCAGTTCACAAATTTACACTATTTTTATCTTTTATATACTCTTGCAAGGTATGCAGTTACATAACTTAATTACCAATTAAAATTTTACACTTTTAATTCACTAGCATGACAAAAGTTACACAAACTACACATCTGAGAGTTGTTTCTCTTAAATCTTTAAAGTTATTTTTTTTAATTTAAGCACTTTCAGTCAGACACCCTGTATGAATCACAGACAGTGATAATAATGATATGGTTTCTTTGACGAAAATAGACTTATTTACAGAATGATGTTGTGAATAAATGATATGTACCATGCATAAACATAGTCCTGTTTTGGAATGGAGATGATACCTTAGAACTGTATAAGAATGCACAGCTACAACTGTGATATGTTGCTACAGTGACATCCCTAAACATGTTAAAGTTTTCTTCATTTTCTTTATTTCAGTATATGGAAAGATACACAGCAACAAAGAAAAAATTCAACTGAAGAATAACATGAGTCTGGATTTAAATGGATTCTGTTTAAGTCACCATAACATATATACTTTGTATAAACATGTATTTTAAAGTCACACCATATATGGTGAGCATATAAGTTTTGATGCTTCAGATTAAGTGCATCATTAAATTAAACTTTAAACACATGACAAATAGAATATTGGCTTCAAACAATGTAATTAAAAGGTAATTAGCACACTCTTATTTAAGTAAAATCAAAAAAATTATATCTAATCATGAATTTTTATAGTGTGCGATACTAAAACTTTTAAAAGGATCACAGTGTAGTTACTCAGTGCAAGAAATTGATAATTTTGAAAACAGTGATACCCGACTCTGATATTTATTGATTTTGTAAAGATCCAATCCATATGTTTTTTTTTTCCTAAAGCAGATTTTACAGAAAAAGGTTGTGTAAAAAACTTTTATTTAAGAAGTTTTGTTAAAGTAGATTGTACCACTGTGTTTCAAGTTATTCCCACATCATACTTCATGTATGTATTAAAAAATGTATTATGCACATGTTAAAGTTATGAAGAAAGAAGTGGAATATGTCAAATATAAGTAAAGTCTTTTTCCCCAGTTACATGTGTATTTCATGAGAACATAGTATAACTGTTACATATGTATTAAGTTATTTCTCCCGTATCTGCACAAGTTTGTGGATTAGAAACCCTAGCTGTAATTATACATACATTGTAAGTGCACTTATTGACCCCTTTCTACATTTTGTTTTTTGAGGCAAAAATGTTCTGTAAGAAATCTATTGACATTCGCAAATGTAACTTTGTGTTAAGGATGCCATTATATTGATATTTTTATCAGCTGAAGAATTTCAAACCACAAATCTGGTATATTTTATGTGATGGAGGTAAAGATATTGAACAAACTCCCTGTGATACTTTTCCAATAAGCTTTATTCTAAAGTACTCATTACTGTATTTTTTCTGCTCTTTATATATATGTTCTTCATAAATACATGTTTTACCTAGGAAACTGACATTTTTTTTCCGGTGTTTTGTTATTAACGGTTTTAACCAGATTTTTATAGAAGCAAGAGTATGGCACAATTACCTTAGTATATGGGATAGTAAAAGTCAACCCTCAGGCAAAAATGTTTGGCAGAAGTCATTTTAAAGCCTTGGTTTTGACCCACATTTTACCCCTTAACAATCCCTCCTATCCACATGTGGGAAACTTATAAGACTTGTATATATCTTACATAAAGTTATACATGTATCGTTGATGACTGTATATGTCTGCAACATGTTGAAATTTCAGCACTTTCTCAACCATGAATGGGGTATCTTAAGCAAAATTTAATAACTGGTATGGTGATGAATAAAGATACTTTAAAACTAAAGGAGAAAAACGACTTAGTTTTGGAACAACAATAGTGGAACCAGTGTATTATATGCAGTGTACATATGTATATAAATGGATGTCAAGGTATATGTACCCTTATCATTCCCATAATAAATGTCAGGTCAGAATTCATTATACCTTTAGAAGAATAATGTATGCTGATGTATGTTGTATGTTACTATTAAGTATGTCTGTGCAATATATATGTATATGTTGTCTTATGTCTACAGTGTTCTGTTTACATGTGTAAAGACTGTTGATTGTGTAAATTCATTTAAGTTCATTTGTAAAATGTTTCTACGTACATGTATATTTCCCCCCTCCCCCAACACGCACCATTTTTTTTACTTTTATATTTTTGAAAAACATTTTTTTTTCAGTAACTGACAACATTAAACATATTTTTCAATGTATAAAACTTTTGGCATGCAATTAATTATATACCAGATATGTTATCCTGAGCTATATTGTGGAATATGTTGAAAGAACTCAAATTTACTTCATTGTAAAGAGGAACACTTGAAATACAGAGATTAAGTGATTGATATGTCAATGACAGGTATAGAATGGTGTGATGGTGCTATTGCTGATAAACTCACTAAACCCAAAAGGACTTTTCAAATAAGTTTGTTAATTTAAATAAATGTAGCAATGTTTGATAAAACAATAATCAATTATGATTAAATTTTATTATTTTCCCCAAATATTTTTTGGGGAGCACATAGTTGCCATTTTATCTGTTTGTCCATCCTTCTTTCATTTACTTTGTTAGTCTAACCATCAGTTCTTTTGTTTATGGAGAATAATTTTGTCCACAGTTAAGTAAGGATCATGAGTCAAGTATCAAATCCAGGGTCCACATTCCTTTAGTTATAAAGTTAGTGCCTTGTGTTCATTTCCAGAGTATAATTCTGGGGTTGCACGTGTATATGTGTATACATTGATCGTACTAAGACAATGTGCAGCGAACAACAGTCAAGGCCCACAACCTCTTTATTACAGAGTTACTTCCCTTTGCTAAAATCTTTTGTCACAGCATAACTTTGCTTTTGCATGTAAACCAGGATAATAAGTTTTGGTGTATTCATTTGTCATACTAAGATGATGTGCAGTGTACCAATGTCAGAGCCAGGAACCCCTTAATGATGTAATTATTGCCCTTTGTTAAACTTTTATTTCCAATAAAGTTCTTGGAGAGCATTCATCAGTTTCACTGTTACTCTCGTTTCATAAATTATTTATTCATTATGTCAAGCCATTTTTTTCTCGCGTTAACTTTAGACGTCACAATAATTGTCACATGATTGAATGATATTGTAGTCTTAGAAAAAAAAATTCATTTTATTTCTATACCATGTAATGCAGAGATGCAGGGCACGTTTAAATGTTTATTGTATGCACTACTGGTCAGCAGGATAACAGTTAATCACCTAGGGATATTTCTAGAACTGATTTCTGTATGTGTATGTTATTGTTGTCATAATGCTATCAAATGTCATTTTGTAGAACATTTGGTCTTAGTTGTAAACAACCCTGTGTATTAGTACTCGTCTTAATGGGACTGAAATCAAAGAAAAATTCCCGGTATAGAATACATTCATTCTCCGATTATTCGGAGTCAGGCCAAGCGTTTTGCAGAAGTCGAAACATATTTTCTATGACAGGTCTTGATTAGCTAAACTATAAGTATTTTTTTCTTAGTCATAATAACTAGAAATAAATTGGTTTGATGCCTTAAGTTCTCTTTAAAGAGAAGTTTTGAAGTAAGATGACTTTGTATATATATATATATATATATATATGTTTAAAATGCTATAAGCTATAATTATTAAACATCAGATAGTTGTTTTGTAGGCCATAATTTAGTATTTTGTTATAAAATTGAACAACACACCGCAACAATAGCACATATTGTGCGGGGATAAAAATCGTCAAGATTACTAGAGGTGATGGTCTACAATGTTTTATGTCAAAGTCAGATATGTCCCTTGAACGTCATTTTAGGCGGATTTTTTCATTACAAGCCATATTTCCTTGTATAATCATAGATTCATTGTGTCATTGATATAACCTATATGAAAACATTAAAACTAATATGTCCCAGTATATTGTGTATTATGTTATTTGTATAACTCAACATCATTGTTTTTTGTTAGATATTCTGTAGCAGGAATGAAAATCTGATGTTATTAGACACCAATCTGTCTGGGATTTTCAGATCTCAAGTTTATTAATTAAACATATTCCAAACGCACTGAATGCCAAGAATGTTGTATTGGGCTATGGCAAATATCTTATTTATAGATGAAATTTAAGTGTGACATTAGGACGGTAATGTGCTATTCAAATCGCGTTTCAGCTGTCGTCCGTCCGTAAACAATTCTTTTTACTGCTATTTCTCCAGTAGAGCTGGATGTATTTTTCACATAAAGTTCCCTTTTGTCCCAGTTTGAATTATTTTTCATTTTGGTAATGACCAGGGAAAAATGTCTGACGGGCGGCCATTTTGAATTTTGACAGAAAGTTTATTTTTCATTCATTGCAAGTACATTCTTTAAATAACCATCAAAAACTATGAAGAAAGAAACAAATCTAAAATTTTCACATGTATTCTTTTTTTAAAAAGTAAACTGCAACATGGACGGCCTCATATACGCAAACTTATTACATAGGCGAATTAATTGGAAAACAAACTGATTGCGCGATAAAATCTTAAAGAAGCAGTCTTGTGGATGTAATACTTCGTTGTTGTATTTTAAATGTCCCATATATTCATCCCATTAACAATGACGTAGGATCGTGCTTGTTGGACATGCGTAGAGCGTGTCACTTGACGAGTCACTAGTGTTTATGACAGTTGGTCTGAAATCATTACATTGAGAATGTCTTTTATCTCTATTACTACTAAGTTAAGGCTATTGCGGGTCACAATTACCGGATTTGGTCAATACACATTAACTACGATTACAGCCAAATTGGTAGAACGTGACACGTGGACAATAGATCACAACACATGTATCTTGGAACAATTTCATAAAATCTCATCGTAGTTTGATTTATTGTCTGTACAATTATTGATAATTTAGATATTTCAATGAAAATATCTATGACTATCGTTTTAATATTGATATGGTTTTTGCTATATCTGTAAGGTATATCACCGACACATTTCGTGTTTGGCATGACCAGGGACATGTGGCCACAAGCAGTCCAAGTCTTTGCCTGTCTAATTACTCAATAAATATCATTTGTTATTTCTTAATTCATTATTGCCATTGTTTTTTAAAGAATCTAACTTTAGTGTCTACGATAGTAGAAGACTGATAAAAATTATCTACATCAACTAAATTAACTAATACTAGAACCCAGATTTTAAAACCGCTATAAGATAACGCAACGATAACAATTCATTTTTCGAATTAAAGATAAGTTTACTGATGGAATTGTGAGAAATGTTAAAATTTTTACGACCATATTAAGTGCATTATTACCGATGTACATACTGTTCATAACAAATAAAACGGTTGGGAGGTCTTGTTAACAGTTCGTCACATCGGTTTATATTCACGTGTGGGTTTTATACACAAACAGAATTGACATATCAGACACATTAATTATCAGAATTGTCTGATCACAGTCTAACACTCCGTGGTCAAAGAACTCCTACTATCCTATCTGATTAGAGATCTATATTTATGTACTGAGCCTCAGTAACATGGTTGACTAAATACATTAGTTCGATACCGGGCAAGTCTTATGCATTGTCTTTGCCCTTTTTTTTATTGATGTTGAAAAATAGCGTAAAAGAACAATTACCATAAGAATAATAATTATGAAATGAAAATATTTTCAATTACGTATCGCTTTCCTATCAAACATTCATTTATCATTACATATCACATTCGTGAGAATTCGACTTTAAAAGTACGGAATCTTGGGAGGAGACAGTGCAGTGCTAAATGACCCCCGTTCACTGCACACAATCACGTTATCAGTTTGATCAATTTTCATCATCGATTCCAAACAGTATACTACGTTGTATCTTTATTTCTTCTTGTGTTATCATATCAATTCTTGAAGAAGAAAAGATATGACACAAATGTGAGCGTTTTGAATTTAGAAAGTGATGTCTCGTTTTTCTCCCACTGAAACCATTTAATATCTTTGTGTTAAATAAAATACAAGATACCAACATGCCTTCTTGTTAAAGTATAAGATACAATCGACCAACTATAGACACTACGATAACGTGCTGCTATTTGTAGATATTCAACCTTGTTCTTATTTTAATTAAATCAGTTGAAAGACCCACAAGTATGTTCAGGCCAATGTGTTATTCAACAATTAACAGAATACAAACATTCATTGACGAATGTGCAACATGAGTATAAAATTGATATTTTAACATTTGACGCTCAGTGATGATTCAGTTAAACGGCATTTCCTTCTTGTAAGTTTTCTTATTTTATTTTAGATCTAAGGGTCAGTTTTTTTATAGTTTCCTATTTCAACAAGTCCAAGAACTTGTTATTGTTAACGTTGTTGACAGTTTGTTACGCTGCTTTGATAAGTGTGTGCAATGTTTCCATTTGACTTCAAGCATCTGTCGATGATGACGTCACAATAAGCACTAAATCGCCATACCGAGCTTAAAACTAAGAAAGATCTCTTTCTATGACAGCGAGTGTTGGTAATGCTACGTAACATAATCACTCAATGGCTTCATGCAATTCACTTCTGTATATGCGTTTTTGTGATCTACTTTCAAAGAAAATATTTTTTTTTCATGATTTACAAATCATGAATGCACTACCAAAATGGCTTCCATGCGTGTAAGGTTGTACATCAGAATGAATACCAATATCGAAAGATTTGAAAAGAACGTTCTGAACCATTTTACCATTGGAATAATTTTTCTTGATATCTGACACTCAGACATATTCTAAAAGGCCTCCGTAGTTTATGTCCACACCTATATCCTTAACGGCCTCCGTAGTTTACGTCCACACTTGTATCCTTAACGGCTTCCGTAGTTCATGTCCACACTTATATCCTTAACGGCCTCCGTAGTTCATGTCCACACCTATATCCTTAACGGCCTCCGTAGTTCATGTCCACACCTATATCCTTCACGGCCTCCGTAGTTTACGTCCACACCTATATCAAATATATTCAAGACAATAGTGTACATTGTTTATACGGGAATAGACGGGAACAGACACCAGCCATGTTCGACACAAAAGGAAATGTCTTTATTGGTGAGAATTTGAATTTTTATTTAAGCCACACAAATTCATGATGATAATAATTTATCAGTTTGGTTTTCCCTGTTTGACAGATAACTTACTTGTGTTGTCAGTATTTATTATATCTTACATTCCGAAAGAAAAAAAAGTTCCAGTTATGTGTACTTGGAAAAGAGATTTAAATATGAACTATTCATATAAATTATTAATTATTCATTATTATTATCGTCAATGGTAACGTTGATAATCTGGACACGTTTAGAAGTATTTATATTTATAAGTGTAAGGCTGTCATGAAATAGTTTTCACTCAACATGTTTCTTGATTTACTCAGTTTTCAAAACGGTTCCTCTATATACATGTATTTTCTACAGATAATGCTCTGACTTGTCAACTATATCTAAGCTAGTGGATTGCACTTGCATTCGAAGCCATACATTGCGTAAATGTTTTACCTTTTTTAAATCTCAAGAAAAAAAAACCATTTTAGTATTTTGTATGCAAATGAAAATGCTTAAGTTTCGTTATCTTATGAAAAGTATTAATATGACGGAATGCTCTCTCTTGAAAAATCACGATCATCCGCAAAGTACAAGGTCCGTAGACTTTTCTGTATGATAAAGTTTAATCTTTCTTGCTGGTTAACAGTTTTGAAAGAAAATAGTTCTGTATTACAAAGTTGTTTTTTTTTCTCATTACCGACCGTCTAGTTTGAAGAAAATATCTTTAAGTAATAGACCAATATTTTTGTGGATATGAATTTTGCAGTGGATATTTGTTTGCGATAAAATTTTGTGCCCCTCAGCGGGCGTCAAAAGACGTTGATAGTGTATTTTAATAGTAGAGTAAAACAAGGAATAAAACCACATCTAGGACTCGTCAGTAATGTTAACTTTCTGTAATATATCCGCTTGGTGATTGTTTAAGGGGTTGTCAAATTTGTATGTGGATATCCATTTTCAATCTAATGTTAGTTAAATTGTTTTGCACAAAATGTTCTTGGCTAAAATTGATGTTACCTTAGTGGATACAAATTTCACTTGAAAATAACAGCATGGGGCACACTTTTGATGTCTTTAACAGATAACATTTTGTATGATATTTTTTTTTTTATTTATTAGGAGATATAAGTAACTGACTTGTTTTGCGAACATTGTATTACAATTGTTTAAAATTATATCAATACAGTCTGAATATAGCGACGCCTGCATTTTGGTATTGTTTATAAGGTATGGCCAACTATAGCTCAAAATGCATTTGGTAGTCATCTGCGTGAATTTAAGAGATTATTGGCTAATGTTTCATGATTACAAACTGTAACTGTCAGAGTAAAAATGATATAAAGATAAAACATAATGTTAAAAATTGTAGTTCTGGTGATGAATTGATTTGTTTTAAAAGTGCGTATACACAGACAAAACCTTAAGTGTTGAGATGGATATCATCAGCCTATAGTGGCAGGTCATCTGATCCTACTGCCCAGTCTATCATGTAACACAATTAACTGGGATTTTATCAGGTTCCGCCTTATACACTAGATACTATGATCTACCCTCTCGAGAAAACAATATATAACAAATTAAGGTAGTTGTATGCGGGAATCAACCCGAACTCGATAATGAGAACATCTACTACTTATACAATAGTTTACAACAAAATTGACAAAAATGAAATGAGTTACTATTGAACCATTAGTTTTCTTTTGGGGATTATTTCGTTAATTCATTTACCCGTGACATTAAACAGTATAGGTTACACATTGTCTTAGCCATAAATGTTTTTTTAGATTACTATTTATTTACGAAAATGTCAGAGAATGATTTATTTACGGAAAACCACGAAATCTAAACTCCATCTATAAACATGATTTTTTGATTAACTTTTTATTTGGAGTTCATTAACTTGCTATGCTTTTAAAAGCAATGCAATCATTCGAAAATAAATATATGCTTTTATAGAATTGTCTTGAACGTTTTTGAAAATTGTTGACGTAATTATAATTATCTACATTGGCAGTAGGCAAATTGTCTTTCTGCTTTAGTAACATATAGCAATTATATGGTGACAATTTCTTTAGTATAAGCTTTTAACTAAACAATTTACAGTGCTGTACAAGTATGACTGTTTTAAACACGCGAAATCTTTGACAATTTCAAACTTCACAAATATTTTTGTAGTCACAAGTATAAAGTCAACGACTCCACGGGATTACGATCACATTGACTTGGCATAATTTCCAAACCCACAGTCTACGGTATATTATTGTCACAAAAATACGTATATATGGACTGTGGACTGGAAAATCGTGACAAGTTCCTCTGAGTATAACAGCATAAAGGGAAAGCATGGTAATCTATGTACTGCAAAATCATATATTTTCGTGGATAAACCTTGCTCACAAAATCTACTTTAGTAAAAAAATAAACTTTTAATTGTTTATCATTTCGTGGACATATACATTCAGATTTAGATTTAGAAATTAGAATAGATTAGAGATTTAAATAGCACACGAATTCAACGAAAATTAATTCCCCGCGAAAATGAATGGTCGTACAGTACTCATTAATTTAGGCGAATATTCCACTTCTGATTTCATTTTCTTAAATAGAATTATGAATGATAAAATTAATATGTATAATATCCCCTTTTTTAGACTGAAAAAAGTTGATTTCCCCACTTCGTTCACTTTTAGGTAAATGTATTCGACTTCTAAAATGTGATCCTACCTCTGGTTTCTAACTATTTGTGACAATCGTTTTAATTCAGTTTTGGCTATATCAGGCGCCTCATTGGCTTCGATAAATGTTTGTCTTTAGTGTCAGTGATGATTTCTAGAATGTCATCATTTTGCTATACTGTATCTAATTAATTTGTATTGAAATATATTATTCATATGTGTGACTTCTCTCAAATATAGGAAAAAAATGCAAGTGAAAAACCCTGCTTTTGGACTTGAGTTATGCTATAACCTGCACATTCTTTTCAAATCATTCAATGTAGGAAATTTGTAATGAGTAAAATGTTGGGGTAGATGTACCTCTATATCTAGATTGTGTCATTGATTTCTGTAGACTGTGATATTGACTTCAAGCAGAAAAGAGCGAAACAATTTAACATTGCAGTTTAATTAACTATTAGGCTAATTTGTATCTATTTTTCCCTTAATTTGTTTTGGTTAAAAACTACATCGAATATCTAAAGCAGTTTTATTTGTTGCCAAAAGCAAATTATGATTTGTAATATGAGGTAGTTTTTTTTAGCACAGTGCGCGCTTTAACATAAATTAACTTCTTAGTACAACGTTCATGTATATATCGTTTTGGCCTGATCTGCATATGATAAGCCTTCAACAAAAAAATAATAATTTGGAAGAAGGAATAGGGCTGTTCTGGTTTAGGAAATGAGTGAAGGGAAACAGGGTGGGAGCTTTTGTGGCTTCTGAAAAAAACCCACCTGGATGAGCACTGCAATGAATTGACTCCCGCGGTTACTATGAATACAAAGTATATGGAAATGTAAACTACGCACAGTTTTTCCCTATTTGTAGTTGTGTTGCAGGCATATATGTACACCGCACACAGTAAGTGTGTATTAGCACCAATGGTGGTCTGTGTAACCTGTGATCTGCTGGTAATATGTTATAACGATAAAATCAATAACTGATAGGGCCACTAATTAACTTCTGAGTTTGGTGTGGTATCATAATTTGACCTAATAGAAGACGAGTTAATCTGGCGAATGATTTTGACGAAGTACCACACAATTCTCGGTTATTAACCACTGTCTGACCGAATCTTTATCCTCGAATATCCGTCATAATTTAATAACCAAGAAACCATAGATCATACTTGTTACTTCCTACATGCCAAAAATTTAAATTAAATATATAACAGACATATATGCCAGTGATTCTACTTTATGACGTACATACTATATAATTATAAAGGTCTACATCACACAGGGTTAAGTTTGGTAATATATAAATTTTACCTTTTACAGAAGTGGTAGTAAACATGAAATTCATTCATTCTTACAAGTGTAAGTCAGAAAATCATAACTACTAAACCTATGTTTATCTAATGTAATTTGTCACTTTTTTTTGTTACTTGAAGCTTTGCTATTACATTTTCGCATGAATTATATTGATAACAAATACGAGACAGGTTTTATCAGTTATATTAAGCGTTCTTACTGACAGAGGGTATTAACAATGTATTATACATTATCCTGCACTTGGCACTGCCATTGCCAGAATACGCCGAAAGCTGCTGTATTTTAGCATGTGCATTAATTTGCCGAAATATTTTTTTACATGATTTCCTGCAATTGGCACTGCAATTTATTGCGAAATTAATAAAAGCTGATAAAATATATATGTGCATTCATTTGCCGAAATATTTTTTCAGGCAAAATTCAAACTAAAGTTGAACAATAACCTGATGAAATTATATTAGTCTGAATTTTAAAATAAATTTTGCCTGATAAATAGAAAACATAAAAAAAACTTCTTGAAACATTAAGCTGTATTTTAGCTCTGGAAACAAAAACATAATTGGTCATCACTTTTACCTTTCTTCATTCTCTCCTAAATACAGCTGATATTTTAGATACTAACTATGTATTCTCTATTTACATCGACGGAAAATAGAGTAGTGGAATGATAGCCCACTCGTCTCGATTGTAATGTGGATATGTTATTCAGACATCTTTGGTCGAAATTGAGGTTCACTGTACATTTGTTAACCAAACAGACATTAATGCTGATTTCGTTTAATGTAATGAGGGGATTCATTTCAGGTGCTGTCAGTATTACAGAGACAGGAACATGTCACTGTATCTTAAATGTGTGGTGTACTTGATTGTTTATTTATCTCATTAAAATCCACATTGTTTTCTGTTCTCTCGGAATTTCTGTCCATATTTCATTTACGTTGCTAAACCATTGAGGTCTGTACCATGTTTTTATTTGCCTAATTGTTTATTAATTGATTGATTGATTGATTGATTAACGAAGGACTATTCATTTTTAAAAGATACGATAATAGACAACTATAGGATTTTCAAAGTAAAGCATTCTCTAAATACATTTTCCATTATAGGATGCATGATCGAAAGTTATATTTCTCTTGAAATCAATAATGAAATGTAAAGTTGTTCTCTGCTGAAATAAGGAACCGGAAATCTTTATATTTATATGTTATGTTGAAGGCCTGGTATTGTGTGTCGTCTTGCAATTTTCCGACGTCCAAGGTCCCCCTCCTCCAGGGGGTCCGTCTCCGTACAGCCGAGCTCTCGAAGAGACTCTCAGGACCGAACTGTTCACAACCAATAACTATCAGGTCTTACAGCGACCGTCAGAGAGAGTCGAGGTACAGGTGTCTCTCAGTTTGCTCACAGTCAACGATCTGGTCAGTATTTTATTAACGATCAGAAAATATCATTTATGTATCATATGATAAAACATATGCCATGTGATAGCATATATTAAATGAACCATATGATAACATATTCTATTCATCATTTGGTGACATATTGTACCATTGGATAAAATATTCTAAATGTCAGCTGATAACATAATCAGTGTACTATCTGAAAACGTAATCTATGAAGCAAAAGCCAACATATTCTATAAACTACATGATAATATATTCTGTATAGTATCTGATATAACATTCGATGTTCAGAATAACAGCGTTTAATAAATTTGTAGAATGTAGACTATTTTTTATTGTTAATACAGCATTTGATTCATAGCATTCGGAGAATCACCATAGAAATAAATAACTGATAAACGAGAATAAAAATATTAATATATCTAAGTGATTCAAATAGAAAAATAATTAAATGTCCAATGAGTTATTATAAAACTAGTAAATACTTAAAAGGAAACAAAAACATTCTAATTCTCATACCTAAACTATTCACTATTTTAGGACATTCGGGACCAAACGTTGTCACTGACAGGATTTTTCACATTTGTAAGTACAGTCATCTTATTTATCATTATATAGTACTAACATCACCACTACATCCGTAAAAGTACTATAATCATCATTCTATCACCTATTTAGTATTCACTAGTACTCAAGTTCTCTCTGATTGTCTCCAGTTCTGACGTCATTTTATCACCTATTTAGTAGTCACTAGTACTCAAGTTCTCTCTGATTGTCTCCAGTTCTGACGTCATTTTATCACCTATTTAGTAGTCACTAGTACTCAAGTTCTCTCTGATTGTCTCCAGTTCTGACGTCATTTTATCACCTATTTAGTAGTCACTAGTACTCAAGTTCTCTCTGATTGTCTCCAGTTCTGACGTCATTTTATCACCTATTTAGTAGTCACTAGTACTCAAGTTCTCTCTGATTGTCTCCAGTTCTGACGTCATTTTATCACCTATTTAGTAGTCACTAGTACTCAAGTTCTCTCTGATTGTCTCCAGTTCTGACGTCATTTTATCACCTATTTAGTAGTCACCAGTACTCAAGTTCTCTCTGATTGTCGCCAGTTCTGACGTCATTTTATCACCTATTTAGTAGTCACTATTGCCCAAATTCTCTCTGATTGTCTCCAGCTCTGACGTCATTTCATCACCTATTTAGTTGTCATTATTGCCCAAATTCTCTCTGATTGTCTCCAGCTCTGACGTCATTTTATCACCTAATTAGTAGTCACTAGTGCCCAAGTTGTCTCTGTCTCCAGCTCTGACGTCATTTTATCACCTGTTTAGTAGTCACTAGTACTCAAGTTCTCTCTGATTGTCTCCAGTTCTGACGTCATTTTATCACCTATTTAGTAGTCACTATTGCCCAAGTTCTCTCTGATTGTCTCCAGCTCTGACGTCATTTTATCACATATCTAGTAATCACTACTTTCCTTGTACTCGATGCCTGGTTAGTTCCAGTTCTCATGAAAAGTCAGATATTGAAAACTGAGATGGTCACTCAGGTCATTGACAGTCATTCTTGGCATCCAATAAGTTTGCATTAAAAACAAAACATAGCATAATATATTTTGGAATTTACCTTGATTTGAAATAAAGAGAACACTTTAGTGTTATAATTAACTTGAAGTTTATGTTTAACTCGGTCACGTGACAGTACTGGGAAGATGAAAGACTTGAGTGGGCCTCGGATTCCACATATGACAACATCAGGTTCCTGTTCAGTTCGGAGACGTATGTCTGGCGCCCACCACTGCTGATAGAGAACTCGTGAGTTGGTTTTTTGTTTCTGGAAAATACATCTGGATAAAGAGAATAAATTAAAATATTTTTTTCTTTATATCTCCGAGATACTTATGTACAGTTATTGGCATATTATTATTTTAATATCAATAAGCACTGGAAAAGATTAATGATAAATAATTTAATACCTGAGAAATTAATCACGTGATGTTTACAAAATATATATTTTTTGATATTTATATCCACAACAAGTGCCATTAACATTCATGATAGAAATAAAATATGCAAAGGGATATCAGTTGCTGAGTATCAACAGGTAAGTTTTACATGTAAATTTACCTGTTGGAATTGACATTACTTTAAGGCAAAAGGCTATAGTCTCTATGAAAACAAATTGCTCTGTAGGGAAATTGAAAATGTAGGTGTTCAGAGATACCCCCGCGAAATACTGTAAAGCACTTAAACTTCGTGTGTGATTTATCTTCGCGTTATTATGCGAGGAAAGTCATTCGAGCAATTCGGTGATTTGTATGAAATTAACAACTCTGAGTGGTATCCATCTGATTCCGTCTTCATTATAACTTGATTTTATTTAGTCACAAGAGCTGTAAGACACATTATTACCTTACAGTCAAGGCATCTTCAGGGTCAGAGAGGGTTTGTAATTCTATAGACAGAATGGTCCACGTCTCTAACAGGTCATCAAGCGAATTGAAAGTCATTTCTAGATCAGCGTGCGCGAAATCATATATTTGCGAATACGTCTGAAGTGATTTGTTCGCGAAATCTTAGTAATTAGCCCCGCAAAATTAAACAACTATACAGTATATATATTTCTTTGAAAATGGCTAATCATCGGTTTCATGTATTCTATATGTCCTTCTCAGCTTTAGTACTGTTACTGAATATATCTATACGAATATATTCGTTATATTCACATTTTAACAGAGTTGAAGATGTATCCATCATTAGTGACAAAAATGTGCCAATGAGATTCAACAACAGAGGTCGCGTCACGTGGAATCCGGCAGGGATTTACAAGGTTGCGTGTGAGGCAGATACACGGTACTATCCCATGGATATACAAACTTGTAATATCACCGTCACAGTCTGGGCATATACCCAAAACGAAATCAACCTTCGCTTCAAGGAAGATCCATTCGATTTAACATTCTATTCTACCAATGGTGAATGGCAACTGATAGCCACAGAAACTATTCTCCCTGAAGCAGTAGCACGAGGAGGGCAGAGCTTTTCCGGACTTGATTTTCAGATCAAACTGAGACGGCGACCAATGTTTCACATCCTCAACACACTGTTTCCAGTAGCATTGATGGCAGTTTTAAGCGTCATGGTATTCAAACTTCCGGCAGATTCTGGAGAAAAGATAGGATTTTCTCTGACAATATTACTGGCCTACACTGTGTATCTGACACTGATATCGGAAAACATCCCTAGTACTTCTGTAACTGTTTGTTACCTGTGTAAGTATATTTTACTCAATATCAAACATCTATTTCATAAAACAATTAATTGTATTACCAGAAATTGTACTGCTTGTAACAGTATAAAATCAGCTTTATTTATAAATCTTTCCAATATTTGAAAAAGTTGTTGATACACAAACAACAACCATTTTCTCTTCTTATAACATCCATTAAACGATATAAATGGTATTCACAGTAAGTTAAGTCCTTAAGTCTATGTGACAGGTAGATAAAAATAAAATTAAAAAAAATCAGATGAACAATGATAAGTTTCACTGTCATTCTCTGTCTCTCTTAACAACACTCCGCATTTTTTCACAGAAAATAATTTTTTTCCGAAACATTTCCAGGAAATGAGACTTATTGCTATTTTTCTGCTTATTTCTACCCTTGGTGTTGCAGCCCTGTATCTCGCCCTCACACTTAGTCTTGGCTCTTTGAGCGTCCTGTGCACCATCTTTGTACTGAACATCTACTTTCGGTCGGACGAAGAGGAACCCATCCCAAAGTGGTTGAAACAACTGACAACGAAAGTAATAGCGCGAGTGGTTTGTTACAAAAACAGATGTTGCTGTGTCACACATAAGGATATTCGGATACACCCTACAAGTGAAACGCCCTCTACGGAACCGGAAAACATAACTTTGCAAGATGTTGAAAAGACTGATATAACAACGAAAAATGTGAGAAAGAGAAATAAAAAGAATGACGAAGTTCCTCTAGAACCTGCATCACCCACCCCTTCGTCGTCGTCCGGAACCTTACTCGTGGTCCAGGAGGACTTTGATGAACACAATCTGACATGGCAAGAACTCTCTGTCATTTTAGATAGATTGTTTTTTGTCATATTCATGTCAACTATCATTGTGTCGACTGCTGTTTTGTTCTACCTTATCCTTAGGGAGTGGATAAATGCTGAAGTGTCTGAAAGCGCTACCGATTGACGAGATTCTGTTGAGTACAATATATCCAGACGTGCAGTAATCATGTCCCGTTTCTTGTTTTTAAACTTTGCACTGTAAATATCAGAGTAGAACTCTCAGAGTGAAAAGATTTATTATTTTTTATTTAGTTATGGCGTCATGAATTTTCTATGTGTTGACAATAATTATGATATCCGACACGACACACTTTTGTTAGTCATGAAGTATTTATCACTTTTCTCCATCGAAGCATGTACTTATGTTTTCATTTTTCTGTATATGACAATGTTAATCATAATCACCATTTCAATATAAGAGCCTGATTTGACTTTTAAAAACAGACGTTTAAAAGTCATAACTTGTTATCATCCTGTGAAATAGTCAAAATATTTGAAGGGAGACAACTCTCATTCGATACAAAATCGCCCCTAGTTAACATTATATCATGTCTCATGTTTGGACTTTGTGATCAGATAGACCTATCTATTCACACATTTCATAGACAATCTCTTAAAACTGTGTTTGATATATTTTTTGATAATGGATACAAATCAAAATATTTCTTGAGTCCATTTGCAATGTGGGCAAAATTTCATCGAAAAAAACAAAAACAAAACAAAAACAAAACAAAAAAACGGACAATGTAACAACATAAAAATATAACATCATTAAAAAGGAAAACTCTCAAGTATATTTATCGAAGAAAATTAACTTACTTTGCATGGACATTGTGCTTGCAGTATTTGAAGCTGTAGAAACAGATTCACGCATATACAGTAATTATACAGTTCAATATAAAAGCAACACGATACACACAGCCTGAAAAAAATGACGTCATCTTTACATAAAAACACTGTATACATAATATATAAATGACGTCATTGTTATCAAGCCAACATTACATAAATGACGTCATTTTTAGTACATGCCGACGCTATTTATTAGTATTTTCGCTTCTGATATTCCAACTTCATTCGTACAAGACAGTCTGTATCCGCGACCGATTAACACATATTAAAATATAGAGCATTCTTTAAATATTTTATGTAGGGTGATCTTGTACAAGTGTGTTTATATGGTTTATGTACACGTCTAGTACACATGTGAATTGTAACAGGTATCGTACACAGGTGTTTCATTTGGGTATCTTGGACTGGTATATGTGGGTAAACTAGTTCACGTGTTTCTGCTTGATAATAGGTTCTGCAAAACAGTTTGATAAAATACTATTTACATGTATGATCCTAGTTTTAAAATATTCATTACATTAACATACAACACACAGGTAATTATTTCTATTTTTTCCTTATTTCCACAAGGTATAATATCTGTGAATATGATGTTGGAAAGGGAGATAATTCTCACAAATTATGGTTGAATTTATCAAGTAAAATCATTCGGTGTAGAAATAAGATACAATAGTCTAGTAGGTAAGTCAGTAAGCCTCACACTCAGCATTTCTGGAAAAAAAAAACATTGATTACACTACCTGTGAATCAATGATACAGATTAATAATCTGGAACATCGCGATACTTCTAACAGAGTCCAGAAATTTCTTCATTAAATTATCATGGGACCAGGTACGACATAAAGATTAATGAATTCGAACTCAGACTGTCGGCACCAAATCACACGAGAAAATATTTTCAGCTCTGATCCATATTTCATTACCTTAGTAACAATGACAACAGTCTTCAATATAACACACAATCAAAACATCCTCCTCATCCTCTTCCTCCTCCATATCATCATCATCATCATCATCATCATCATCATCATCATCATCATCATCATCATCATCATCATCATCATCATCATCATGAATTAATGAGTAATAAATGGACTTTTAGATATAAAATATAAATAGATATAAATACGTTTAATTTTGTATGTTGATTAACAAAATGATAATTACATTGACAAGGCTGGTGGTCTGATAATTATCGATACAAAAACTTACTAAAAAGGATATATGAATAAATGAGATTGGTATCTTGATAATTAGACATTACCATCTGAGTTGGCAACCATTTCAATCTCGATTGGAGAATCGGCATAAATGATTCTTCAGATTGTAAGACTTTGTGCAATACAGTTTATCTTTGCCCTGATAGAATGCGCCTGGCCGGGCCTCCCGCGTGTTGTCTAGTGAGGTAGTAACCAGCTGCTACAAAGGAACCCCGCATTAAAATATCCCATACTGTTTACAGGATGCTAACCCCAACAAACAAACAAATCGTCGGATTAACGATAATTGTTAGACCGCAAGAGTACCTGTAAACACTCGCAGTAAATAAAGTACGATGTGACTGGTTATTGAATTGATTTCTAGTACATAACACTACTACAGTTTATGGAGCAAGACATATGCCTCATGGATTATATATAAACAAACCAGTCAGGTAAGACGTTAGTACTCGTGTAATTACACTCGTCAACATATCGAACGGTGTTCCCGTCACAATCGTGTGAAGGAGGATTCTTACACCTATGTACCACGATGTCCACCTTTAGAATAGCCGTACTTTGTAAGTATTCAACTTAACTGTATGTAAAAATCACGTTTGAAAAAAAATCAGCAATTTAATTTAACATTAAATTTATTACGAGTGCGTTGTTTAAGTCGTAGTCGAAAGACGTTTTCTTTATTTACAAGCTGACACCAAATACCAAAGTTCAGTACAAGCATAAACATCCTTGCGCACGTCAGTAGCAGGAAGCTTGTATTTATCTTACACTGCATCACACTATCCAGTTCTACAGCTGATTTGGCCGTCGTCGACCAAGCCATTTAAAAAGTTGAAGATCACACCTGACAATATTCTTTTGAAAAGAAAAGAAAATATCATGTTAGGTTAACCATAGGAAATATTTCGAAAATCAAAGAATATTTTTCAAGTTTATTAAATAACAAAAAAGTATTTCGATCTAAAGGGGTGATGGACATCGAAATGGTTAAGATTTTTGTAACATGACCTCATAACACAACTGACAGAAAATTCCCATTAGAAAGTATTTTTTTGCCTCAAAAACTGAGATTTTTTGTAAACAGATAAACGTGAGAGTTTTCATCGTCCACTTCTAGCGTTTATTTTTTCTTCGTCACAATTTTTAACTGCATTGAATCGAATGAGAAGCATCTCTCTAATTATTGTGTTTTCTTTTCTACCTTCACTCAGACAAATGAGAAAATTGTTTTCCATTAGATTCGAAGTAGAGCTGTCTTGTAAAAGTGATTTGTTAATCTGTTGAACATATTTTCTGTATTTCACAGGATAGTAAGATGATTATAGTTATGTTAGTTATGAACTCGTAAAATGATACTAGAAATGAGCAGGAATGTGTTTTGGGGTAACATATATATATATATTTTGTGTTTTTTGTTTTTTGTTTTTTCTCGTTTTTGTTGTTTGTTTTTATTTTTATGTTTGTTTGCTGTTTTTTTGTTTGTATTTGTTATTAATTGTTGTAAGCATTGCTTAATCTACATGAACCTTGTAGATGTTTCTCTAACATCTGTTTGTCACTCTCTTGTCCATCTCTCTTCTTTTATTATTTTCTTCTTTGTCATTCTGCATGAAAGTTATAAAGTACATGAATATGGGAACCATAGGCCTTATACTATGCTGTGAATAAAGAATCTGAAACCACAAAACCTCATCACGTTTCTCTCTACCTACAATCAAAAGGTAAAATAATGTCCTGTTCAAGATACTGAATGGTGACACTGAGCATTTTTATCATGCGAATTCACTGAATACATATCTGTAAATAAGAGAATAAGGAAATAATTTTCTTAAAGATAAATATAACAATATTTTGAAGTAAGTATCTAAGATACTGATATATTTTCATAGCAACATTCTCCTGGCGGCTTCAGGACGCCGACGATAGTATGGTTCGGTGCTTTGTAATCTAAAGCATGCTTGAAGAGACTACACTGCTTCAGTAAACTCCAAGGATGTTTATTGTGAGGTTTTCACCTGGCCCCACTTGTATAAAACATCTCAACTTGAGATTTTCCTTAGCTGATATCTCCTCAAAAACGGCTTGTATAAAATTTTCTCAAGGAACAGGAGGAAGTCATCGGCTAGGATGGCTGGAAATTCCTTGCGGAATTTTCATACAAGACATTTTCAAGGAGATATTAGCTGAGGAAAATCTAGACTTGGGGAACTCATGTTCAGATGTTCTATACAAGCGGGGACTGTTAATGTAGGCTAACATTGAGATTATTGAGGCAAGTTCAACTAACCTAGTAGTTTAACTCGCCTTTCAAAAACTACTTCTTCTTACCATACCGGTATTACATTTATAAATATAAATAAATCCTTGTTAAATTATAAAAGCCTGAAGGAGTAAATAAGATAATATTTTACAGATTGAAATTTTATTTTATATCTTATTTCACAAATAATATGTAAAATGTTATAAATATTAAACATAAATTTAAATTACATACATATAATGACAGCTTTATTCAAAACTAGACAAAACTATAATATTTTAATCTATATATCAAGGGCAGCAACTCTTAATGTGCACAGATCACGTCGATTAACCTCGTGGGCTGATGTGATATGTGTAATGCACATTTTATAAATACCTTTTGATTTGCGTTATTTTTATCTTTTAATTTGCATTATACTTGCATAAAACGGAGTGTCCACAAGCTTTACGAAATCATATCTTTATTGGGAATCACTGTTGTAACATACATATTCAGGAGAAATAACTCTTTATGTCCTTTCTCTTGTCAACAGTCGAAATTGTTACAGCTGTTACTGGTTGGGAAACCATGAAAAAATGCATCATTTATGACGGATTTGTCAAATTGGTGTATTAAATATAAGATTTTTGTAGTTCATGTAAATTATGTAGGTCTTGATTGGTATTTATACCTGACAGCTTACCGTATGGACTGTGACTAACCAGTAGCGAGAATCAAGCTCACCCTCGCTTCTGGTACTATCAGTATTAGTTCAATAATTGGTTGATAGGTTTTACGTCCGATTTCACCGGACGCGATGGGATGACTTTAATCTCCGCTGCAGTAGAGTCTTAAATACTGTTTATCGAGTAGGATGTCAGAATCAGGCCATGACTCAAGATCTTATTGGAGCAAAAAGTATTAAACCTATTTGTATACAATGCAGGCCTCAATACGGATGTTAGTGTGTCTATTATTATCTTTGAATATATACTGACAGGCAAATCACCTGTCATCAATATCTAAAAAGTACTTCTTCTTACAGAAAGTTGTGTTTTTTTTGTATATGAAGGATAATTTTTATATGAAGTGTTGGGTATTTAAAATTTAATAATAATTTAAGCAAACAAAAATTCTTAATATTTATTAATTCTTGTAGCACTTTATGTATTTTTATATTTTAAACAAAATAAAATGTTAAACATATGAATTTAGGTTATTTAAATATATAATTTTGAAATATAAAAATCATTCTTCAAATTAAGTAGGGGAGGTAACTCTTAATACACATCTTACTGAGAACGCGTTTACTAAAATATATATTTACAGTACAGTAGAGAAATGAGAAATAAAATATATCCGCGAGGCCGTTTACTATCGACTACTTTACCTTACGATTTCAACAATGACCATTTTTTTTTTCATATTTCATATTTGAAAACCTCTTATTTCAACTGAAGTGTATATCGCAAATTTCGTACCACTGAACCGTGTTACGATGGGACTTATCAGTGATTCCTATTGTTGTGTTTCCTACGGTATTATTCGGTTAGAGAGAAAAAATATATATATACATACAATATATAACAAAGAGGATTCTAAAAAATACGGATACACTTATTTTAATCTGGTGGTCGGAGATTTGATGGAAATATAGCTTCTTCTTTAAAAAATGATCACATTTAAATCAATGATATATTTGTCAAATGTTTTACTTTAATTTTTTCAGGAAAAATAACTGATTACTTAAAAGAAATTTCATAATCTTCATAAGTTGAAATACATTTGAATTACCTCAGTTATTTTGTTCAGCAACAACTTATATGAAACGCTATATCTATTTATATATTTACACCATGAAATGATATTTATGATTTTATTTCATTGTGTATATATATGTAGTCCAGCGTTTCGTGGCCTCAGAATGCTTCTACAGATACTCCTCTTTTGTTCCAACTAATGGATTCGATTTATGATGAGAGACATACAAAAAATAAAACGCAGAAATGTTACAATTTGATGGTCCTAGAGAACATCTTTTATGACATCCATATTTGTAAGTATCATCTACAATGTATATATATCGGAGATAAGGACACTAGTTACGTTGTTATATATAGAAGACTTATGTTCTATCAATATCTGGTCACGCTGAGAGGAGTATGTATTCCGAGTAAAATGAATTATATTCAATCTATTCTGTAGCTAGTCTGTGGGTAATAAATCTTCATGTCTCCCCAGCTTATGTGTACCCATCTCGTTTTCACAATTCTGTAAAGTATTTTGACAGTAATATCAGCACGAGAGCATTATACTATTGAATCCATTTGAGTGATACAAGCAAGCTTCATTGTGAAGTAGATACCTGATTTTGAAGATTTGCCCATGGACTGACTTGACGATAGACCGTACCGGATAAACTCGAGGAAGACAAGTTAAGAAGTAAATAACACTACAAATGTACTTTTGTCATTAATCATTTAGAGTCCGTGGAGACAAATAGTGTAGCAAAATCGGACATTAACACGTCTCGCAATCAATAGTGAGATGTAAAGAAAAATCACTTTCTGAAAAATATTGCTTTTGTGTGAATAAATAATTTCAAAAATGTGATTCAGTGAAAAGGTTTGACACGGCGGAGTGCAAACATGTATAAAGTCCAGTTCCTTCCGGATGTTCAAAAAGATATTCTTAAAGTAAAAATTAAGGTACTCTCTAAACCGTCACAAAAATGGTGATTTGATAAAAAATACTATGATACATTCCACAGACTAGTGACGTATTAGTGGCTGCGCATTGTAAATGTCTTTCATCATTTGAAGATCATTTTATATGTAAACAAGCTTTACATCATTTTTATCTCAATATATTTTTAGCTCACGATCTCAATGGTTTCGTATACTTCAAAAACCCCAACCAAACAAAAACCAAAAATCAAAACAAAAAATTTATCACTCCAGTAGAGCCCAACTTTAAACAAATAAATCAACAATTACTGCTTACATTGGATATCGTGCTTTTCACTCTCAAGTAGTAGTAATAATTATGCCTACACCAACATTTATCTTGATAATCACATTAATTTTCTTTAAAAGTGTTAATGTGTCGGAACGGAAGTTTGTGTTTACGTGGTATTACTACGTATGCTACATAATCCTACTGTCATTTGACGATCGGAGTCAGAACTGGGACACACAAATTTACGATATAAACAGTTTTCAAATCTACTGCTCGATGTATTCTACCATTTAAAATAATCAATTTCAAATATCGATTTATTATTTTCTATAATTAAATTTCTACTGATTTCGCCAAGTGAGTTTGAATACAAACACTTATAACTTTGTACACATGTACACACACAAACACACACATATATAATTCAAAACATACTGACAGAAAATGTTGTAAGGAACATATCACGGTAGTTTGATAATTTGTCCTGATGTCTATCGCTGTATTTTGATTTCATGGTATTCATGAAGACATGTTTTAACAAATGATAACATCTATCGGAAATCAATAAGAAAAACACCATATACATGTAATAAAGAGAGGAGTGAAATGATTTAAATACATATATAGTTTCAACTGATTGCTGTATAACTAATTTGTCTGTACTTATATACTTACTGAAACAAGCCTCAGGTGTGTGAAGACATGTGTCTGATTAGTGTGACAGTAAACAAACTATACTTAAAATATTAAAAAAGAATTTTTCAATTTTTTTTTTCATCTCCGGCCTATACCTCTGTATCATACCTTACACACATACGTTATTAGTCACTTTCCCTGTTGTCTCACCACCAGATAGTATCTCTGTATCGTACCTACCATATAGAAATTATAACGTGATTTTACCTGTTGTCTGACCAATGCCACAGTGAATACATCTGTATCATACTGACATTATCACGTGTCTTTCCCTGTTCTCTCACCAACTGCTAATTCCTCTATATTGTACCTTACATACAGATGTTATACATTGTAAAGTGAATGTCCTTGTTCTCTCATCACCGGACAGTTTCTCTGTATCATACATTACAAACATCATCCATTTTATTCTTGACAGTGTGTGTTTCTGTATACCAATCCGTGCAGATCCCCTTTCCGCTGACTGCGCCGGACTATTCCACAGATCTTGAATCCCAGCTCCGCTCTAGTCTGTTTTCAGGATACGAGGTGCTACAGCGACCAGACAAGAATGTACAGGTTCGGGTCTCCATCACTCTCCTGACCGTTAACGAACTGGTAAGTAACTACTATAGAAAATCCTGAGAAATGGATTTGTAATAAAAAAAAATGATTAAATCGATTTACTGACGGGTTAAAACTACTTGTAAATCTACGTGTACAATTTTCTAATTTATTGATATATTTTATATGTAACTATCTGAAACTTACGACTTCCAGCATGTGTTTGCTGCACGCGTTTCACTAACTGGTTTGACAAAATTATATATATATATATATTTATGAATGGTGTCCTGTTGTTAAAGAGAGTTACTTCCCTTAGTATTATCGGTTGCAAGTTCTACCAGGTTTTCGGTAAACTTAGTGTCTGGATTGTCATTTATTCGGTTTTAAACATTTGGAATTTTGTAATTACCATGTGAGATTACCACACGGGCAGATGACCTGATCACGTGATGTGATTGCCTGGCCTGTCACATGACTTTCTTTTTATTCCAGAACATCAAAGACCAGGCGCTGTCAATCACTGCCTACTTTTCAGTGGTAAGCATTGATTATGCTTTTAGCTCAAGTCTGTAAGTTTTGAAATCTTTAAAATGAAAATGAGTTTTGACATAGGTGTTTCATCGTGTAGCAGCTGTGTTAAGTATTTGTTATTTTTGCCGATGTCAGATTCACTAAACATCCCCAGGGCTATAATTTCATTTGAAGCATCCAGAAATCTGTCAAAATCTATCTCATTTCATGTAAGTAATATTCAGTCGGGTGCTAAATTACAGACAGCCATAATAAAATAAAATAAAATAAAATAGAAGCATACATTTGTCGTGTCATATACGTTTTCGAAGTAAGTAAGCTACTTCGGTTACGTGAACCAATTACCTTCATTTTCTTCAAACTGATCTTGTCCCTTTGCTCTTACAGTCATGGAAGGACTCACGTTTGATGTGGGTCACCAATTCCAACTACAGCAACGTAATGTTCCTCTTCAGTTCAGAGACCTATGTATGGAGGCCCGCTCTCATCATAGACAACGCGTGAGTATTTTATGGAGGCCCTCTCTCAACATAGATTATGTGTGAGCATGTATGGAGACCCTCTCTCAACAAAGATTATGAGTGAGTATGTATGGAGAGCGTATCTCAACATAGATAGGTATGATGATAGCAATCTATGTACGGAGGCCCTTTCTCGTCATAGATAACGCGTATGATTATGGATATTATGTATGGTGGATATCTCTTATCAATGATATGCGTTAATGAAAAAGGGGCGTACTTAGTTTTCTGGTAGTAATATGTTGAAAATATTTCTTCAATGAAAATGATATATGCTATATACATGGAAACATTAAGTTCTGTACACGTAAGAGGATGTATGCTTTTTTAAAAGAGATAATCGGACGCAATGGCTACATATAATAACAAGAACAAGCTGTAAGTATATTCACTTATTTTATATCCAAGTTTGCCTCGTGATGAGATGATGAGATACGTATTGTATATTTAGCTGGTATGTCGTGGGTGGTTGTCATGGTGATGTCCGTCACCTGTCACATCCTCCTAGGACTAGAGTTAACTATAAAACTTAAGGAGTGATCTCTTCATCCAAGATTCGATAATCAACACGAAGGCTTTACTTTCAATAATTGATGTCACAGATAAACATTAAAGAAAATTCACTTTACTTTTAGGCAATCAACTCGATAACTCCCTTGTGTGTTCCTGACGAGATTTAACGAGATTATAATCGCATACATTAGTACATAATTTTAGCGTGAAAAAAAAAAAAATAGCAGCTACTGTGTGAGATATGAATAAATCACGTGCTACCACAGCCCAATGCACACCTATCCCCTTTCATGGGTAATCATTGTGCATTGGACTGTGTTAACAAATCCATAAGAAAAGGAGAGACAATTAAAAATTATTGATGATTCTATCGATAATACAGATGAAAAGATCCATTCTAATTATTAATACAAGTGTAAAACGAAACGAATTAAAAAAAAAAAAATACTTAGGAACATGCCTTGAAGAAGTTAGGGACACGTATTCTTCAGTCCGTGAACTTTGTTAATCTGCTTGCAGAACATTAACTGCATTGGTTGTGAAGTACTCGCATGGTGAAATTTTTTTTCTTTTTTTTTTTGTTTGTTTTTATTTTTGTTTTTGTCTTATTTTTGTAAAATCATACAACTCTTTACTTGACCATGTACTAATTTTCTGTAATGGTATCGACAGTATAAGGACGTGGCATATAGATACATTTTGGGTGCTTCAACGAGTAGCATTAAGAAGTGATAGGTATTGGATTCCTGTAATGTCAATCATACAGTTTATACTGTCCAATTTTTGAGTTTTGAGAGTAATGGTAACGGATTAGTTAATAAGGTATATAACTGGATCCGAAACTTTAGGAAATCTTTGGAATCTAGTGTTGTTAAAGAAAAGTTTTCACATAATGTTGTTTATTCTTATAACAAACAACATAAACAAAAACAGAATAAAAAGCTATACAGCAGTAAAACATGGTGCCATCTTCTCTGGGTGGAGCTTAGAATTGAATCACAGGCCTGACCTTACGTCCAAGGCAAAAACAAGAGCGCTCTTAAGTGTTTGATAGAAGTGGCTTTATTACCTTAGCCACTGAAACTGGTACATATTCAAAACCCATGGTTTCTATAGAACAGCATACTTATAAATATTATGAACTATATCTTCCACACACATTTTTATAAAAGAGCCCGAATAGTTTGTTCTTAATAGAGATATCAGCCGATGCGCATACTTATTTTGAAAACAATTTGGAATGTAATCAGAGTGCATGCAATTTTTAATGAGTTTCTCTGCCAAACAAGAGCATAATGATCATAGTATAAAGAGAAAACTGTTTCTTCAGCATTTACAGATCGTTGGTGACTAGGTAGTCCCATTGGCAGAGCGTCTGTATAAAGTTTGGACGGTCTCGGGTTGGAATCCCGGTCTTGCCGTGCAATTCCCGCTCCTATTACATTTGCTGCTTGTGACCAACCATTGTTTTAAGTAGGTGAATGATTGACAAGAGGATACCCGGACCTTGGTTGTAATAGATTATGTCTTTATCTCGATGAAATTACGCTGTTGTTGCTATATTGCATGTACTGCAAACTTATCTGAACATTTACTTCTGTTCTTTTATTTCTAGGGTAGATGACCTAATGGTCATAAGTGACCGAAACATACCTATCCGGATTACATCATTGGGCCTCTTGCATTGGAACCCAGCAGGCGTGTATACTGTAGAATGTAACTCGGATATCACTTACTATCCTCTTGACATTCAGACGTGCACATTGTCTCTCAGCTCTTGGGGATACACAAGCAACGAGATAAGTTTAGTGTATGACACTGATTATGGGCCTGGCATAGACATCGACTCCTACAGTGAAAATGGCGAGTGGGATCTCGTCTCCAGTTACGCGGAATCGAATGTTGAAAGCAAAACACGTGGATCACAAACATTCTCAAACGTGAAGTTTTCCATCGTTCTGAGGCGCAAACCGCTCTTTCATCTTCTCAACACGATATTTCCTGTTGCATTGATGGCGTTCTTAAGTGCAATGGTGTTTAAGTTACCACCCGACTCCGGAGAGAAGATCGGCTTTTCTCTCACCGTATTATTAGCGTATGCTGTGTACTTGACTTTGATCTCCGACAACATCCCAAGTACTTCTGTAACCGTCTGCTACTTGTGTGAGTATTCGTATATTAAATGAAATGAGGACTTTAGGATGTCAATCAATAATATGACATTCTGACTATAGTATTATATTTTTCTATAAAATATAAATCTAATTGGATTAACCGAGAGGTCTTATTACTTGCTTTTAAGGTTTCACTTTTTGTCCGTATTCTTCTCTTTCTCTTTCATAAGTTTTGAATGGAAACGTTATCGTTTTTGCTTTTTGCTTAATCTACAGCTATCTACTTGGCGATGATCTTGACCTTTGGGTCTATCTCTGTGATTTGTACAATCCTAGTCCTTAACTTCCACCACCGCTCCAACGAGACAGAACCCATTCCGAGATGGCTGCAGATGTTTGTCTTCTGCGTGGTTGCTAAGGTCGTTTGCTGGAAGGGGCATTGCTGCTGTCGAAAAAGAAGTGTTGGTCCTCTCTCCGAAAGCACCGAGGCCCAAGCTACACCAATAAAACATATCAATATCGAAGGCAACGAGAATGTCAATACTGTCGCAAAAATCTCCAAGGAAAACGACGACGACTTCGACGAGATTGATGATGTCACCTGGCAAGATATTGCCGGAATCTTGGACAAGTTTTTCTTTTTCGTATTCATGGTGTCAATTGGTCTGTCCACCATCATCATCTTCTCACTGCTGATGAACAACTACTTGGAAGCTTATTGAACAGATCTGATTTAATAGAACAGAATCTGAAAGAACGAGTGCCTTTAAATGGTTTGAAATCAAAATTTTAGACAGATTATTGTAAAAGTCATTCAAATGGAGGTACATTCTACCAAGCGATGTGTTTGGGAGAGAACATGTTGGTTGAGGGTAAATCATGCAAATTCTTCTTGTCTTGGTGAAAATAATATGAAAAATACGAATGCAACAACAATATCAAATTTATCAGACAGGCGATACTTATTCAGAGAGAGTTGAAAAGAGACATGATCAATAAGAATCATAATAACTGTGACGTAAAAGCTGTGTTCATGAGGTGATGTAAGTTGCCTATATCAAGATCATTGAAGACAGTTAATGATGTTTACATTGGATCAAATTAATCATCCATTTCATTCTTGAACGTGAAGAGAATTTCAGCACAAGATGGATATACTTCACGTGGAAACACGAAGTTCTCTCAGTGTATGACTTCTTAAGAACCTTACTCCCAAGATAACTGATAACGAGTCTATTGTCATGTTTCTTATCTGTTCATTATATTGTTGAGTTGACATGCATTTATGATGTCCATGCTCTTGTACAATTGTTGTGACGTCGGAATCCACTCACCTCTATGGATAAACATGTTCGGAATAAAGGCAGGAGTCATATGTGATATGACAATAACAGGTGCATTTTGTCACGGCATGTTTTCAATCATAAAATATACGACAAATAACTTAGTATTTCGGGTATTGTATAATCAATTATTTTCATGGGGAAGACATTTTTGCTTTTTAAAATTTTTGATGTAAATCGTGAAAATTTTGATCCGTGAAAATTACCACCTGAACATTTGCTTTGTATTGTTATGGTGAAATTTTGTGATTCTTTAAGATGAATTTTGTAAAATATTTTATTAAATGAAAGGTTATAGTAAAAATCACGATGTTATGGGGTCGAAAGATTCGGATCCATTTCTGAACTTTGTTAAACATTGGTAATTCATACAAACACCTACCCACCCTAACACACATATAGACTCATTTATGTATTCGTTATTTGTAACATTCGGTATCATATATATATGCGTGTGTGTGTATTTTGTGATATTTGTACGTGTATAGGGAAACACTTTCTAATTTTTGTCTAATCTGTTTGAATGTTGAAAAATCCTCAGCATACAGGGGTCTTTTTATACATTATATTTGCGCTATATAAACCATAGATGTTTGTTAAAGAAGATAGCTTATTATATGAACTTTTATTTTATGTTTACAATAATTGTGAAATAATTCTTGTTGGCCAGGATGGAAGCACTTGAGTAGTCTTACTGTGGGAGGAAACCGAACCTGGGGAAAATCCACATGGTCGAGCATGTGACCCCATACCTTTTCACGTCCATTCCGGGAATTGAACCCCGGAGGGCTAGGTGAAAGGCGAGTGGGTTACCACGTCGCCGCCCGACCACCTTTATTAAATCTTATGGAAAAAGTAAATTGCAAAGACAAAGTGTGCATATGAAGTAACTCTATGCGTTAATCCCTTAGCATTCATCCTAATGCTTACCCTGTTGATGTAGATTTCCCGTGAACATTCAGTCAGCGACACTTCAAAGAATACCGGTATTTAACGTTCATTAAGAAAGCATAATTTAATCCAGATATTTATTGGAAAGGTTTCTTATTTAATTTATTGTTATTGATTACTATGTCCCACATCACCAATTGTTAACGTCATGTGTTACACAAGCAGAGGTATACTTTTGTGGATTAAGGTCTGCAATCGATCAATAGCGACATCTAGGTGAATGTTAATCTTAATAACTTATCTCAACGTGTTATCTACTTCTCCCGTCATGCGAATATATGCCATATTAAAAAAATCGTGTTAAAAATATCAGTATTTTAAAAGCGTTTCCAAGTCATTGCTAACTAATATATGAGTTGTGATGCTTAACACCGCTGACTGACTCCGCGTGTAAATGCAATTTCTAAACAGTCTTCATTAATGAGTTCTGAGAATCGACACTTCATAAGAAAACATTTTTCCTAATAAGTATATATTATCCTTGCAGTCATTTAGAGAGTAGCAGAATTTTCCTCATCTTTGTTAAAATTTTGCAACCACTCTAACGAATCTAAAATTTGAACTTATTTGTGCAAAAGATAAACAAATATGAATTACAATTTTGAATATAGTGATAATGTTTTTGAAAGAATTGGTAAAGCATAAAAAGTGTATTTTGAACCTAGAACTTAAACTTCGGACGCAAGACTTAATTTTTTTTTATTCAGGTACTGTTTTGCTCTTTGCTATATCTAAAGTTTCGTGATTTTAGGATTAACACTTCAGATATGAATTTTAATGTCTATCATGGTTTAAATGTTTGCCATTTAGTCACACTGTTTCTCCATATATTGTATTTCCCAATCTCTATTTTTCTCATTTATGCATATATCCTCGAAATTGAATTGGTTTGTTATAATGTTTAATTGTTAACCATAGATGGAGGCATTTCAATATCACAGCTACATTCATCAGGTCATTTCAATCATTATTGAATAATATTTTGTTTACAATATTAGATCATAGTACCTAAATGATCCCTCCAATAGTTGTTTGTTAACAGGAAACCCTAAACGTCATCAACATCATCAAAACAACATGAACGTAGTTGTCATTGTTAAATGATTATTGATTTTGATGTTTCATCGATTTATTTTATTTCAATTCCGTCATAAACTGGTTACCTGTAACGCTTTGTATTGATCCACACAGAGGAGTAGGTAACAGCTTCAATAGCTTCTAACTGAAAAGCAACATTTCTATTTAAGGGGAGGTAACCTCTTCTCGTCTGAGGAATACATCAAACTGACGGGAACATAGCTACCAGCCTCTCCCACGCCATTCTACATTTTATCAATAAGATAATAAAGAAAGCAAACATCCAGAATATATAGATTTATTATCTAATCGTGCTTTTTTCTACTGAATTCACCCATGCAATATTTTTGCATATGTCACTCGTGGCGTCATAATATGGACAATGGATTTGGCGCAACAAAATGTCTACCGTGGTTTGATTAAGTCCTCGACATCTCGACTATAAACCTATTAAAATATAGTTTTTCTGAGTTATATGATTAAAAATATATTGTGTGTTTTTTTTTTAACGAAAATCTATTTTTTCTCATCAAGGCTCGCAAATTGAAAACGTAGTCTCTGGTTATACAATTTAAAATGGATTCGAAATGAAAACAATGCCCAGACCCTACATTTATACAGTTCACTTTTAATGCAACATGTTTAAAATGAAGACTGTAGTTTTTTTTTATTCTAAATAATCCAAAATGCCATCTATTTTATTGTTATTCCGCTGAAACTTAAGCTACACCTTTTTTTATTTGTCACTGTTCATCATTCTCTATACATAATCGTTTTATGTATGTTTTTATAAACATCCCATAATTGTATATCATCTATTGGGTACATGTGCAATATAACATATTGTGATGTCGTAAGTTGACTGTCACATATTACTGAGGAATACATAATCAGTATGACAACTTTCTGAATTTTGTAATTAAACGTGCCATATTTCTTTCAACTAAGATCGTTGATAAATATTACAAGCTCGATGCGATACATATGTTAATTATAATTGGAATTAATTCAAATTCGATATTTACTGTATGAAAACGCTATCACTTATTCATAATGTGGGAAAGTGGAAAAGAGTCCCTTTTATTTTTTTTTCTAAACATGTGGTCAATACTGGATATAGGTAAGAAGATGCCCCATTGTTTTACAGTCAAAATAACAATTTTAGATCAGGTCACGTATCGCTCTTGTTAGAATCTACAGGAATCTGATTGTGTTTTCTTTCTGAAACGGTATGATTTTCAGCATCTTCATTTTTCATAAAATAAATAAATATGCGTTTCGTATATCGTTTGTTTTGTATATCAGTGGAGAATAGAATTAGACATTTTATTAAAGTAAGAGTTAATTATACTTTCAACAATGTCTTATCTTATAACATATTTATGTATCAAAGTACTATTTATAAAAAAAATATTCCTCCTATGTGTAGCACGTTTTGCACTGCACAAAAAATTATTCCTACGAATATTGAGATACATGATGTACCTAAAATATAAGTTAAAAAAATGTATAAAAGACAAAGAAGTGAATAAAACATTTTAATGCCAGTCAAAGTTCCCCATTACACTCCAAAATCAAGATATCATGTAACAAACAAGCCAAGATATCTCGACTGAGATATTGGCATGTGACGCACTTTGATTACAGATAATGTAGCGAGGCTGGAGAAAATCAATTAACAATATGTATAAGGTTATTGATATTAAGAGATAATATATACATTAGACCAAACATACATAATAAAATGTAAACAAAAATCAAAACAAAAAAAAAAGAACAAAAAAACCCCAAAAATATTCATGTTTAAGTTAAGGAACAAAAAAGCCATGAAGCCAACGGTAAGTGGTGATCAGCTGGAAAAGGTTATTGTGGAATGTGTGTTAATGGCCATGAAAGTAGGCTGGTCCTGAAAATATTGATATCAATTTCTTGTTGAGAATTATTTGTCATTCACTGCTAATAATTGTGATAAGTTACTTATCAATATTATCTTTATTACCTTTAGGTTTCGATAATTTCTAGGATATACATTGTATTTATAAATGAGAAAAATAAATACTTTTGGAAAAATGACAAGGGATAGTGTTTGATATGGAATTATCACTCTCCTCCGAAATAGCACATTGCAATGAAATCAAAACAAACACAAAAGAAAATAAACCACACAAACACTGTTAACGGTTAAATAGTGGGTACATATTAACGGTATTGTATACTTAATTTCTTGTAGAACAAATCTAAAAAATACAAGAAAAAATGTATCATTATATATCTTTAACAGCTAACTTACGAAATCCGATCAAAACAATTAAACTGCATGTGTCTGTTTTTAATCTCATCAACACAAATATAACATAATGTATTTAGGTATTTGATTACTATGATTTATCTACTCAATAACAAATATGCAATACATTTACAGTTTATATATATCTTGACTAGTAAGATGGAATTTTTGATAAAAACACCCTCATCTAAAACAATGTATTACTCAGTGCACATTGCATAGGGGATTTTATCTGTATAAACTGGACCTAAATGGATAGCCGCGAAATGTTTGCCCCATAAAGTTAAACAACAATACAGGATGGCACTGTGTGACATTTCGCATGTTTGAATATGCCTAAAAATGAATTCTTATCTCTTTATAATCACCTGTGACGTTTAATGTACCTCACTATACAAGGAGTAAGTTACACTTACCCTCTTCCAAAATATATGATTAACATACTGGCTAAGTAAACCATCTACCTGTTGTCCTCGCTATACTACGTATACAATGGTGAATTTAAATGATTCAGTATTTGTTATTCTGGGGGGAGATTTTGATCAATTGTTTCTTTAACACTACCAATAGTACGATGCCCTTTACCTGGTCGTGATGTTTGTAAAGCTACCTTAATCGCATTAAGTCTGAATGATGAATCAAGGATCGTTCAAGATAGCTGTCCCACGTATTCAAGTACTTGTTATTCGTGTTTACTTTAAGAATCTCCGGTTGAGTTCAATATAACAAATATATAATTCGAACAGCTATGCTAACTAGCCAACGCTTTTGCCAAAGCTTATAAAGTGAGCGACAAAGTTAGAACCATGCAATTTGCTAATATTGCCTACTCGAGTAAAAATGTGGCATATTCATTTTGTAATGAAATGAACTTTGTAATATGACTGAAATATATTTGTAAATCAATTGTTTTTGGGATGTTAATATTTTTGAAAAAAGATGTCACGAATACTTGTTTTCAACCGGCATACTAATATAACATTAATTTACGTCTGTGAAAATGATCATGCATCATAACAATTATTTGGTGTTTCTACCAAAGATTGGATAATAAACTGTTAAATACCAAAAAGTGACTGGATTTTGAATCCGTTGATTGCAATAATTTGTTATATATGATGAAGATATATTTACTGATTTTGTTAGAGTGATAATTAAGTTAACTTACGATAATGTCTCTAACTGAAGAACGTTATCATACAAAATGAATTTAAGTATACGGGATCACAAATACTTCCACATAAATCATCTGTGTACTAGTTGCAAGCTTTACTTCTCTCTGTATTTCCTCCTTTTGTATACTACCATTATCCGGCAGAGCATGCAAAGAACGTTCTCTCTTTTAATACACAAAGCACCTGTACTAACACAGGGTATTTAAATGTGGTCGGTTATTACATTTGTAAATAATTGGTATATCGCCTTTCAAGAAAGATCACATTTTCTGTGGCTTGGCTGCGATTTTAAGACTTTCATTTTTCAGATTTGAAACATAGAGAACGTGCTCAGTGCCAGTTTATTGTCAGAATACTCTGTAGATTTCGACATTAGAAGGTGTGACATCTGTCAATTTCAACGCAATGATATCTAGGTAAAAATACGTGTTCTTAATAACAGGATTGAAGGTAACAAAAGTACAACCTGTCTACTACCGGAAAGAAAACATTTCTGGAAAACTTTGCGAAAATGAACCGAATTTATTTTACAGGTGAGTGATTGATCTTTTTATTATCTTTCGTATCATGTCATCTGGAGTGATAATAATTAGATTTATATGTTCGTACTCTATGATGTATTTAATTAGTGTCTCCAGTCAGAAGAATGTTAATTGTTTGTCTTTGATTATTTCTTATCTGTCTTCATATAAGCATGCTCATTTGATCCTTAACAAATCATGCAACACACAACCATAAGTTAATAAGAAATTACTTCACCACACAAATTTCGTTTAACTGCTTATTTTTCTCATGTTCCTTAACTCTCAAAGATGAGGAAATATCCAAATTACATCATAATCTAAATCTCGACACGGCCCTGTAAGCACAGATAAGAGAAAAACACAAGACAAAATAAATATTTCTTTTTATCTTTTTATTCTGAAGCTAATAATGGGGATATTTTGTTAATTTTTTTATTCAATCAGCTATACTTAATACCTCCACTTTCTCATGAGACAATTATCATTAACGTTGGTTATCAATAAGACAATTTTTAAACTACTTTGACCATTATATATTGAAGAAGGACATGTACACGAACGTTCATTGGAATAAAACTGAAAACTCTTTGTCTTTGCATATTACTGACGGAACATTAAAAGCCTGACCATGTTGGTTATACAACATTTAAAAGTCAAAAACGTTAACGAACGCCGAATCATAACATAAGCTAACTTGCTCGTCGGACAGGTGATATGAAGTTTGGTACTATCGAATATCAATAAAAGATCAATATCTAATATATATATAAAAGGTATTAAGATATATAATATATATATATATATAATATATATTTCATATCGAATAAGTTTTTCTCATATCACCTGTATCATATACATCTTTCATTTAAATATTTTTATCAAATTGCTTTTTACTGTAACTACACATACATTTATTATTTATTCACAATAAATTTTCTTGTTTGTTTTTAACCAAAAGATTCATCATTTTTCAATTCTATAGGGCTTTTTTGTTCTTTGGACGAGTTGACAATTTTCGGGACTATTTGACCATATTCAAAGTTATATTTTTATATAGATATACATGGTTTTTTTTTTATCAAAATGCTTTTTATTGTAACTTAACATACATTTAACATTATTTTTTACAATAAAATATTTCTTATTTTTAATCAAACAATTCCTCATTCAGAATGTGGCCGAGATGTACCGATGAACTACTTTCCTCGGAGTGTGACGTGCAATTGTTTTCGTTGCGGTCAAATATATACGCTCAGTGTCTAGAGTGAAAAACATGTTCTATGTATGTGATGTAATTTATGTAATATTTGTGTCTTGATAAAGGGCAGGTTGCCTCGAATATTTGACAATTCGCTTGTCTGAACTGTTGCTATTACTCCATAGATCATATATCTATCCCAGTAATACGCATCCAACGAACATTTGTGTGTTAGGATCCAGAACCAATATTGGACCATACCGTCGATATATATATATATATATATGCAACTATTTCACATGAATTTACGAACACATTTACTCGGTATTTGTAACAACAGTAATGAAGTCACTATAAAGTCTTTCAACGCTTCATTTTTCATATAAATTCGGAAACACATTAACTCTATCAGTGTATCACTCAGTACAACACAATTTTTCTTTTTACTTAAGAAAAGAAGAGTCCAGTGCACAATGTTGCGAAGAGCTAAGGATCTGGACAGCCTCCTCTTCCATACGTCCTTTTTACCGATCGCGATAGCTCCTTTCGTTTACGTGGTTTCGTAATTGCTTGATAAAGTTCAACGGAGTTTTGTGACAGAGAAAATATGTCGTAAAACATTTGAAACACAAATGTTTTTTTTATTGTTCAAACGATGTCGAGAGTGTAATATTGCTACAAAAACAGTTAAAAACCCTCGACAACGTGTGCGCGTGCAAGCAAAGGAATATCGGCCGAAAAGACTACATAATTCACTTTTGGGTATGCAGGGCTTCTAAGGTGTTTAACAGCACACCTACCAATCTATCAATATATAATTAACAAACAATAGATCGCTATTAAAACGTGTCTAGCACGCGGTTTCTGACGGGTAGGCCAAGTTAATCTGATAATGATGTTGACTTCGTGTAACGCCACCTGATGACAAGTTCGGCAAGCCGTGACGAAAACAATGGTCGTGACCGACACACATGTTCGCGGTTCACTGCCCACCAGGTAAACTTTAATCACTGGTCAGAACTTGGTAGTAATTGTGAGGTCAATTATCGTTAATAAGTGGTCGTTGGGACTGTAAGAAGTGGTCGTAATACGGAATAGCGAGGTGGTCGTAATACTGAAGCGAACAATACAAAGATATATAGTGGAAAAAACGGGACTGAAAAAAGTGCCCGTAATAGGTGGTCGTAATTTTGATGTGGTCGTTAGGTGAGGTTTCACTGTATATTATTAGTAATGGATTTCAAGAGTATATATGATCAAAAATGTAAGTTTTCAAGACTCAGAAAGACGAGACAGATATGATACACGGGTTTTCATGTAAATGGTTAGTACTGTTCATATATTTCAGTCTTGCTGGTTTTGATTTTTTGTCAAAACGTCCGTGGCGCATCTTCTCCGGCTGCCTATTCAACGGCTTTAGAATCTAGCCTAAGGACGGAACTGTTCTCAGGTTACGAGAGACTACAGAGACCTTCCAAAAATGTCCCAGTGCACGTGACCTTTATTGTCCTCACTGTTAACGATCTGGTAAGTAAGCTTGTCGGCAGCACATCAATGTTCGCTGAATCAAATACCATTTCGTAGGTATCTTGTTTGTTTTGAATTGAATTTTCATCGTAAACAGCAATACGACAGAAATTTTCTCATCAATTTATTTTGTCTTGTTTTGCAAAATAACTTACGATAACTTATAACTGTCATATATAAAGAAAAAAACATACATATAATATTTTGTCTTCTTTCATTTCAGGACATAAAAGACCAGTTCATGTCTATAACAGGCTATTTTGAATTGGTAAGAAGTATTTACAAGAATATTCCTTGTAATTTAAGGCATTTGGGCGATCATTCATTCGGTTTTTGTTTTGCCATGACAACCTATGCGTAAAATGGTGTTGGGCCATCTGCCGATCACCATGGAGTTCCATAAAGAGATTCATCGTGCGAATCTATCTCATTGTAGAAGCCAGTGGTTAACTCACTGAGAAATAGAGGCTCTTATTTGGAACTTTGAATTTGCAAACAAAACTTACATTGAATCATTATGAGATTGTCATGGGCGTTTTTGTGTTACAGAAATGGGAAGATCAGCGACTTGCTTGGGACGATACCACCTCCACATCACAAGATTATTCGTCCGTGGAATTTCTCTTTTCAACTGAGGAATACGTCTGGAGGCCTTCCCTCGTAGTTGACAACACGTATGTCTTGAAGGCGACTCTTATATAATTACGTCAAATAAATAATAACAATAATAAAAAAAATGATATTATTTCTATTTTAAAGCTCCATTTACCAAGCAATGCAATTCTAGTTTTCTCTTAATTCAAATAATTCTCTTTTCCCTTTCAAAATCTTTTGATTCCTTTGTTGTTTTTTCACTTTTAAGAATCGACGACTTTTCTATCATCAACGATAAACACAACCCAATGCGAATTATATCTGCTGGTTATGTGTCATGGAATCCTGCTGGGATATATACAATCGCCTGTTCGTCTGACATCACCTACTACCCATTAGATATTCAATCTTGTACACTCTCTTTGAGTTCATGGGCTTACACAAGTTCTGAAATCAGTCTCGTGATCGACACCATACTACCAATTGATTTCTCCTACTACTCAGAAAATGGAGAATGGGAGATGGTCACGTCGTCGGCTTCTTCAGGTATTGCCATGCAACGGGGCGATTATTCATTTTCCAAAGTGGAATTCACACTAACAATGCGGAGACGACCCCTCTTCCATGTGTTGAACACGCTTTTCCCTGTTGCAATGATGTCTGTGCTTAGTGCTTTGGTGTTCAAACTTCCAGCTGACTCTGGAGAGAAGATGGGATTTTCCTTGACTGTCCTTCTGGCGTATGCCGTTTATCTGACGCTCATTTCCGACAATATACCGAGTACTTCTTTAACGGCTTGCTACCTATGTAAGATTTTTTACTTGTGATATTTGTTTCCGGTTGTTCTATGACTTGTGTAAGCAATATCATTAAATGAAGGTTAAAATCTAGCCTCTGTAAAAACCCATATGTAATTACAAGAAACTATCGCGAATACAAAATATAAAAATATTATTGTTAATATGCACATTTTTTTTTACTTTTAGCTATCTACCTTGCCATGATTCTGGTTTTCGGGACTATGGCGGTTATGTGCTCCATTCTCGTTCTTAACGTTTACTTTCGCCCAGAAGAAATGGAAATCCCTAAAGCATGGAGGTTGGCTACTAAAATAATGGCGGTTATAGTGAGGTGGGAACAGCCTTGTATTCCCAAGTGTTGTAAAACCAAACATAACCGGAGTGAAGAGAAAGGAAACAAAGTTGGATCCTTGCCATCGCAGAAAGTCCCTATTTCTACTGATAATGATATCACAACAAATCAACAAGAAATGGATATAGACGATGTCGGAAAGGACTGTTTTGAAATTAGCTGGAAGATCATAAGCTGCATTCTGGATAATTTTTTCTTTATTCTCTTCATTTTTGCGATTGCTATTTCTACCATAGTGTTCTTCAGTCTCATATTCTCAAACTTTAACACAGAGTGAGGAGTGTTTGGAAAATTTTGGTGGAAGTAATTACGTTACCCAACTAACTAATACAACCTGTTCGTGTCGTGGTCTTGAATACGGGCCTACTAAGACAATATTTGATAGGTTTGACCGGGATACAGTAGTTCAATGCTTGGTAAGAGACAAGCTATGGTTAGTAAAAATGTGTAATTGATATGAGCCAAAAACGCAAAATTGAATAGCACCTTTTTATTACAACTTTAGAGTTAGATACAGTATAGCCACACAATGAGTTACACTACTTCATACAGTTATTTCATTCTCCTTAGACTTGTCTGAGATGCCTAGGGGGCGAATGAAGAAGATCAAAAGTGACAAAAGAAAAGTCAAAATCAAGTTGAGAAGGCACACTTGCCCAATCAGTTCATACATTTACTATTTTTCACATATCTGATAATTAAAAAAAAACAACGTCAAGCCCATATGTATACTTTGGGACCATGTCACTGTACGAATGACTTAGAACGTGGTATGCTGGTTCAGGCAAACGTCAGGACTAAAAGTTCACCAGCAGTGTCCTCCACCTGCAATTTCGGAGATGTACAAAATACACACAATTCAATAGCACCTTTTAATTCAGTTGGAAGAAATCTTTCTGACTTCAAAGCTGTAGATATATTGAGACAGTGTCAGTTTTGCTTTGAAAATCCTTGACTTGATTTTAACTTTCAAACTTGTTGCTGGTAAAATCTCTCTGACCGAGCTTTAAAGAATCAGGACCATCGTTCATTTCACCTAAATGACCACCGACGTCAACAACGTCATGATTTGTGAGTAAAATACTTACCACAAGGTTTGATTAATCGCAGAGTGATAGGGAGTTAGTGAAACATTTTCGTTATATTCATGAACATCTCCTTAGTGAACATTGCGCGTACATGGAAAAAAATCATATAATATTTGTTAGTAATTATTTTCCTAAGAAGAACTGTTTATGTTTAGCTTACACTACACATTATATATTTCTGTTAATGTATAGTTGAATCTATGTCAACACAAATCTGAGATTACTTATTAATAAGACTACAGATTAAAGATTCCTTTCATATTGAAGTTGGTTTATAAAATATGCCTTTGAGATATGACGACTCAAAGGTGTTTTTATTTCCTGATTTATGGAAGTGAACAGTTTAAAATAACATTGATTTAAACTGTATTTTGTAGTGTCAATAGTTGCCGTATTCTATAGTTATACTTAATGTAAATATATATACTAGTACCACATGAACATAACATACAGAACTGTATTCTTTAACGAACCCTGAAGGGTATAGATACAATCAATACGGATGAAAACAAATTTACCAGGACGGAATAAGATATTTTACTCTATTAGACTGTGTGTGAAAATATTATAATTATCTTATATAGAGTTCCGTTTTTATTTTTTTTTTCAAAAAACACAATCGAAAAGAGTACAATTTGAGAAAGATAATATAGTTCGCCTGTCATATAGACAGTTTTTGAAGTGTTGCACGTGGTATGTAGTTAGGTGTTAGCTATTGCGACCAGTAAGTTGTTGTGTACAGTGATAAAGGAGACACTTATCCTCCTTTATGTATATATCCTGACTACATCTTTTGTCTAATATTTTCTATAAAAAAATCGTGATGATAAGCATTTAAAACAGTTATTTTAAGCCAATACTGTTGAGGTGAAATAAAAGAAGATGTGAGAACAATTATTTTAAAATGTCAATGAATATTACATCACAATACTATATCCATATTGAAATTATGCATTATTTACTTGAACAAGCATTTTGATAGTTTAAAATAATCACGGGTCTACAATTAGTTTATGATACACTCAATGTAGTTAAATTCTAAACAGTAACTCATAAAATTGCTGATGATGCGATATGGAAAATGATGAGAAAAAATCTGTTTTTCTTTCCTTTAAAAAAATTGCTTTTTCAAATAACCGAACTAGCAACGATATTGTTGTCTTTCTCTTTTTTCTTTCAATTCTTACTCATTTAATCAGTCAGATTAAAAACAAAACTTCTAAGTTCAGAAAACCAAATTTTAATTAAGGACATTCCAAAACAATTACTATGACGCCAATTTTGCTGTATCCTTCCAGGGAAACCATAAACAATTAGAAATGTTTTCATTGCAATCTTCATTTCGTCATTGATAAATATATCACTACATATCAAATAAATTTTAAAAATCGGTGAATTTTGAAAATTAAGAAATGTAGAAATTTTGAAAATGTGTAAATGGTGAGATTCTACAAATAGAAGATGAAATAAAACACGTTTTATTTTATATTAAATCTTTAAATTCGATATCCCTGAACGATTACGATGAAAAGAACCAACATACTAAAATGCAAGCGGAAAATTGAAACTTAGGAATCTGATTTTGAAAGGGCATTTATCAGAATTTAGAAATGCATTCTGCTTCTGCAACTTACAAACTTTAATTCTGTAACATTAATCATACATGTTATTTCCCGATAACATATAGTTGTAGATGAAAGGTTAAATGGTAAGGGAGTTCAAAGAACAATGGTAAGCCAATTTAAGGAAAATTACAAGGTATTTTATGTCGTTTGGTGAAACATGTTTTCTCAGGAATGTAATACTATATTCAAAATTTACAAAGTGTCACATGGATCATTTATACCCGGTACCCAAATATATTGTTGTCTTCTTCTCTTTCAAAAGCAAAACATTTATTTACCAATACATGTACCCACCAGAATCGTATATCAAGGACATGACATGTTGGTATTTTCCTGTTGTTTCTAATACGAGAATGATTGCCATCTCGATTTCTATAAATATTTAAATGAAGATCAAAAGTCTAATGAAAGATCTTATTTTGATATCAATGGATGCTTGAATGTGATATTATGATAACTTAATAGTTGACACTGATTAAACTCCAGAAACATAAGTGTTAACTCGTGAGATGACATGACAACCCAACATTTAGTTTTGCTCTGTGATACTGTTATTGCACTGTTGTTATAACAGGTATAGCTGGTAGATTATAATGAACCAATTATGATTCGATCGTTATAAACGGTACACTTCTCGGTTCCTTTCATCTAACATTACAATAGGTTCCCATAGACAATACGTATCAGGCTTTAATTGGATTCCACCCCAATGAACCATCATATCAAAGTAGGATTTCATGTTCGACCCGGAGTAAAGTTTACTTTGAACATTTCGTTTATCATTGAGAATACAGAATTCTTAATAAACAATCCTTCGGTACTTTTCCCCGTATCAGATATTCACTTTCCCGGTTTATATTTGTTTTTCCTTAACTAAGATAATTTATAGAGGGAAACCAACGGGTCAAACAAAATAGAAAATATTCTTATCGAAAGTATTGTGATATATGATAATCTATTACTAAGTGTATTGATAGGAATGATGCTAGATAAAGTGTTGAGTAGATTTTCTCTTTCAGAACGTGTTCTTCAACATAATTAGATAGAGGCAGTTAGATAGAGAGATATGATACAATTTGGCTTCAAAGGTGGCACTACTTAACGATTTTATAAGCTTTTTAATATATGTAAACTCTTCTTCGGCGTGTGAATGTGGTATTGTGAACTTCGAGGGTCACTTATTTGTTGTTTGTTCAACTCTATCGACCCCATTTGTTCTCTAGATTGCAAAGGCTTTATACATATCACTGAATGAAAATCGTGACATCTCGTATTTCAAGGTATTATAAAGACATTTGTGTTGACACGTTATAAAAATAATACTACAAAAAAGAGATTTGAAAAGTATACTTATTTTAATCTTTTCTTAAACGACTTGTCGTTTTGCTTTTTGTCTGTGACCTATTGATTTTCTGTATACTTACTCTTTGACTGAAAAAGGGACAAAGTGTAGAGTATTTGTCTTTTAGGCCACCACTGAAAATGAAAATTATACCACATATATTTTTTTGTACTTGTTTGGTCTGTATAATACTAGAACCCAATAAACTCTTTTTTGATAATTTAGGTTAAGTGCTATATTGGTTTTGTTTGTTGAAATCAGAGCAGTTCATTATTTGTTAAAATATTTCATTTCATGAATGGTTTATAAGTTTTAACATTTTATTCACTGTAACATATTCATTTATCTAAAACATACATAGAGAGGATATTTAATGGTTTCCATTTCACATTATATATATTTCATGAATACGACAGACTTTTTTACGAGTATGAAGCACGTTTTCTACCGTATGAATAAAACATATTCAACAGGAAAGCATTGGATGGCAAAAGTAATAAATTCGATTCAAACACCAAACGCGCCTTTGTTCGAAGAAGGGGCGGGAAACGTTATCATATTGTTTGATATCGGATGGTTATGACGTTATGAAGTAATGTCATTTTGAACTGTAACAAGATAAGAATTTGAAGAAAGACCGCAGCATACACAGCGAAGATTTAGTGAAAATTTAGTAGGCCATTTTTAATTAATTTAATAGAAAACACAGATCCGATTGGTCAAAACTTAAAAAGATATCATTAGATTTTATAGATAGTATTACTTTCATAGTAATCTGTAAATATATATTCTGTTATGATTCAATAGAACTATGAAAAAAGTAATATCCTTCGTAAGGCGACATCGTATAACATAAATACAAGTTTACCAATGTAGAAATGACATTTTCACGTGTCTTTGTCATCTTTGAATCTACAGTAGCTATCACACCGTTTCAGTGGTAGGTCTTTTCAAAACTAAGTATCCAATGCTATTGTTTACCATATCTGATTTTAAATCGGAGAGCAACCCTTTTAACCGTCTTATACACTAGTCGAAACTTTCTTGTATTCAATTACTTAGCTTATATATAACTTTCAACTTGAACAGTTACGGTATCTAATATAATGGATTTTTTACTACTGCATTGTCCTGACATGAAATTCGAAATGCCCCACTTCTCTAGATATTTTTAAAGGGCGTTTCTGAATATTCAATCGGCATTGCTTATTTTGCATCATGTCATTATACGTACATCATGGTAGAAAATATTTCAACTTTGTTTTATCTTAACTTTTAGTTTATATGTCGATTCGCCATGAAGAGATTGTTTCTAGTGAAACTATCGATTTTATTGTGCACCGAGAATATATCTTGATATCCGCAGCGCTTGGTCTGAAGGATGTAAAAATATACAAGCTAACACACTTGCTTACCAGCAATGGATCCGCATTCACGTTAGATATCTTTAATGTTAAAAAAACATTATTTTTCCAAACAATATGGAGTACAAATAGTTTCAATCTAATATTTTGTTCAATGTTCAAAATAAAGGCTAGAATAATAAACTATGAAATAATACATGAAAACACTGTATAAAATATTATTACCGATTACTTCTATCTAGAATCAGTAATATAATAATAGTAAATACAAATAGACATGGTCAATTGTGTTTCCGCATTACATATCTAATTAACTAGTAAAATAGTTTGTACCATAATGTAAACACATTGTTTGAATAACATGATTTAATATGGCATGGAATACAATAATGCTTGAACACTTAAGTAGTATCTGGAAGATTTCTTTTCAAGAGACAAGAAGCACGTCTATCATTATGCAGTAATAGTATGATGCTGACCATACCTACAGAGAGAGAATAGATTAACTCTACATACTAAGATTAATCTTATTTACATGAATCATGATTCGAAAAAAATCATCTTTATGGCAAAAATAATTACTAAATCAGACAAGCTGGCCATCAAGAGGACAGCAAATGCATTTAATATTGCCATTTGATGTGATTGATATTTGGAACGTTCCGTTAATCTTGTCCAATCTCGATAATGGGTCTTTCACTAATAACAGAATGCAGAATGCCACACATCAATCTGCGATAACTCAGACAATAATCAATCTTCACAAACATGGTTCTCGTATCATTAAAAAAAATTCTGCAGAAGCCATTGACTGATTATCCCACCATTAAGCCTCGGTTATCCAGCAATTTATTTAATTTTTCACCATTCAGTCTCGGAAATCCAACCACTAGTATTCTGGTTGCATCATCATCATCATCATCATCATCCAACTAAGGTAATCAAACGAACACTCATATCGTGGTCTCATAGTTTTTCCTCGGTAAATCGGCCCTCACTGACCTCGTCATTTAATTTCTCAATTAATCTGCCATTAATATGCTAACTCAGGATCTAGTATTATTGCTGCAACCACACCGTGTCTGGTTGTTTCTCCATCCACTCTCACAAGGTGAATCATCATAATTTCTATGTCACAATAATCACACGTTTGGAAGTAACCACTGCTCTGGTGGTTATCACTTAAGTCGCCACTAATTTATGGCCCTTAGCAACAGTGACACTGTCTACCCTGGTTAATTCACTCATTACTTATGACTTGTTTATCCAGTAACCACTTATTTGGTTATCACACTACTGCAGCGTAGTTAATCCAGCCACCACTTATCTGGTTATCACACTATCTAGCCCTGTTAACCCATTTATCCCTTGTTTGGTGATCACACTATCTAGCTCTATCTGTGCTAAATTAGTCTCGTTAATCCTGCTAATTTTGTTATCGGACTATACAGCCGCATTAATCCAACGAATATTTAATGTCTTATCCCATTATCTACCCTTATCAATCCAGCCACATTGTATATGGATAAAGCAGTCGCAATCTGGTCACGACAAATCCATTTTCGTTAACACAGTGTTCAGCATCCTTTATCCATAATAATGACATGTCGTCATTTTGGTCAGCAAAAACGTGTTATCGAGACTAAACCGGACAGGTTACGTCAAAACCTGACGTGATACTCATAATAATTGTAAAACGGATGTATCTATTATTAAAAGCAAAAGACCGTTTTCTGATTTCGTTGAATAGTGCAAGATTCGGTATCCTAAGCTTGAAATGGTGTTAATACAATATGGCATCTAACTGCTAATAACGCTACACGTCTATATATTGGCGTATTCGCCTGCCAGAATGGCGAAGAAAACGATTGAGGTTAGAACAATAATCCACATGAAGACGTTGAAGAACATTGCGTCAAGGATATTTGAGAGGATTTGCCAGGTGAGACGATCATCAATGCTTTCCTCTGAATTGGTATCGTAATCTGGCGCGATTTCTGGACATTTCTCATCGGCAGATACATTCACCTTTATTCTGGATACTGTGGAGAATACAATACAAGTTTATTCACTCTCTTACATATGTAATCAAAGTGTTATAAAATATCTTTAAATATTTCGGCAACATCAATCCAAGATCAATTACAAAAGCCAACCAGTTCTGTTTGCAGATAGTTGTGCTGAAGCACTGTACTCTTGCAGTTAAAAGATCATGGAATCTCGTCAGTTGAAAGAAAAGAGGAATTGACCTGACATCAAAAGTAATATTCATTGGATCAACTGATGCTTGTCTTAATCTTATCTAACAAATTAAATCAAAAATATTTTCAACAGGGCAACTAAAACGTATGTAATTTATGCATTGTAATATATGTGTAAAAGAAGGTATATCAATCATTTATGGATTTTATACATTTATTTTACGAAAAGTGAAACGGTCTAGAAATCTAGATGTATTTTCAAGAAAGCTGACATCGACAATAAGATTTACACATGAACATACCTGACACAACTTGTATAGTCCTTGCATTATTTGGTTCCACTTTCTTTTTGCAGCACCCACCAGAAATACAGCTGCCTTTCCAGAAGGCTAGTGGCATGAAGATGCAAACGGTGACACGCTTCATCCAGTTCGGTATGTCCTCTTCAACCGTCCGCGAGTGGAAGTTTATCACCAAGATAGTACACAGGACGGATAGTGTTCCGTATGTCAAGATCAAGCTGAGGTAGATAGCTGTGAAACAGACATGCATACGCAAATATGATATTGATATATCGAAGTCAATAATTAAACAGAAACTAACTTATAAATCGAAATTGCTAAAATGAAGTTCACCTACATTGCGTAAGATGCAAAAAAAAAAAAAAAAAAAAAATCTTCACAATTTCTTTTGTTCTGGCAATGCTAGCGTAATGTCATCTAATAAAAATACTTTCTATCACATTATAATATTTATGTAGCATGAATTTATCTATTTAAATAAAATGGTTATGGTTTATGAATCAAAAACCTATCCTCTCCTTTCTGATATAAACTACATAGTTAACATATATGATCGTCTTTATGCAACTCACATAAGTAACAAACGGAGACCGATGTACTAGGAATGTTGTCGGAAATCAATGTCAAATAAACAGCGTACGCCAGGAGAACGGTCAAGGCAAATCCTATCTTCTCTCCGGATTCTACAGGAAGTTTGAATACCATGGCACTCAGCACAGCCATCAACGCTACAGGAAACAGAGTGTTCAGAACATGGAAGAGAGGGCGACGTCTCAGAATGATTGAAAATTTGACATTTGAAAAACTATTGTCACCTTTCGACCGACTTCCTGTAATAAGTCCGAATGTAGAAATGAGCTCCCATTCTCCATTTGGTATATAGGAATCAAGATATACAGGGTTGGTTTCAAAATCGAGACTGATTTCATTGCTTGTGTACGCCCATGATGTGAGTGATAATGTGCAGGTCTGGATGTCGAGAGGATAATACATGATGTTGGACTCACAAGACACAGTGTAGATATCGGCAGGCGTCCATGTAACAATACCCTTGTCTTTTATCCTCATTGGGGTGTTTACATCACTGATGACAGATATACCATATACCCTATGTACAAATACAAATGAATGAATAACTTAAAGCAGTGACAATATCAAAATCAGGAAAATGTTTACTGAGGTTTTACACTTATCATCTTTGTGATTTGTCAATTGGAATAAAATAATCCAAATTGGTAGAAGGAGTATTTTGTTAGGTCCAGTTTATCACTAAAATGAAATTGAGATAATATGAGTGTGCCATTATAGTAGGACTAGATCAAGAAAATAGGTTTCAGGTGTTTGCATATATATATATGGACGGCATGAAGGTGAGAAAAGCGTTCGACATGAATTCGTGGTGTAATGAACTTTACGTTTGGGACATAACAAACAATTAGGTAAGAACAGATGGTAAGTAAACAATTGTTCTGTGGCTAGTTCAAGATTATAATATAATGCTTATATAACGACAATTTCCATTGGTTAATTTTCATGATCTAACGCCTGATATATTCATTGGCAAGTCATGACCAACCTCGAATTCGACTCATATGTTTCATCGAGATGTGAGGCGGAGAGTAGGATGGCTATCATTTTAATGTATTCCTAGTAACTTTTCTCTGACTTTGTCGGTAATGTCAGGATGTCGATAAATATTCTCCATTCAGGGATCATCTTAAATTGCAATATCACAAATAAAAAAAATCATATGTCACATGATATTGTCTCCTTTCTTCACTGGATATTTCTATACAGAACGATACACCAATCCGTATATCCATTTGAAAAAAACCTGGTGATTGCTAGATAAATCTGCTCTAAGATTTTCGTTGCTGTATCGATCTTCTTTAGTGAAAATACCAGTGCCACCAGAGGCAGACATGACGAACAGACTTTATTGAAAGCCTGTCTTAAAAGTGGTCGGAACTCGTCACCAATAGTTCAAAGGAGCTTTTAGATTGGTGAAAGTACATGTGAGGGTTTGCTCCAAGCAAAAATGTGCAGATCTTAGTTTTTATTTCATTTTGTTGGTATTGTAATAATTGCATTACTGTTAGTTTTCAAACTATTTTGGAATGGGGATGGCATATTATACCTTAAATGGATTGAAACAGTGTCAGTCCAGTGATGGCTGCATGTTTAAGGAGGCATTATTGACATCTTGTTGGAGTTACATTTTAAGATTTATTGTGCTTCGTTAGCGGATATATTTCAAGAGCATTTTTGTCTGATGGATGATCAAAGAAAAACCAAAGTTTGTTAAAAAAAAGATAATATGACTGATGAATTTGTTTGGTACTTGTTCCATGAATTTTAGTTTTGGTTTTGCCAAAAGATGCAGAAGGAGGATGGAGCATTCCGATTTCCATCAGTTACATTATAAACAAAATCTTCCTCACTCACGCGTTGTCAATTAGGAGGGCAGGGCGCCAAACATAGGTCTCCGTGCTGAACATATATTTGATTGCGTCATAAGTTGAGTCCTCATACCACGCTAGACGTTCGTCAAGCCATGCCTGCGTGGGATTGTTAAAAACATACACAAGTAATACTATCATATTGTATATTAATGAAATAGAATTTACAAATCAAAATATTTTGTACGAAAATATCATTTACTTTTCCAATCAAACAAATCCTAACTTCAACGGACTAAATTAAGCCATTGTCTAAACCAATTTCCATTTTTGCATTTAGCTCAAATAAATTTATTCACTGATATGTGTTTCAATAAATATCATTATATTTTTCACATTATGCATTTGATGGATTTTTTTATCTTAGGATTTCTTCATACATTTAAGGTTATTTTTGTATATCTCTGATAAATACACGTATAACTATTATGGACATACCAGTGAAAGGTAACCGGTCATCGATAAAGTCTGGTCTTTGATGCTCTGGAAAAATACATGCATTTGCAAAATACTTTGAATTTTTGAATGCAAGGTCATTTAAACAGTGAAAACAAAAATGTCAATTATTTTTTGCATCATACTAGTTTGAGTGCATACTGTGACAGTACTTAGAATACAATACTTTGTCACCTCTTACAACCATTTCTTTTAATAAAAGATCTGAGTCAATATTTGAAAGAAAAACATTAGTAACCACTGATTACACGTAACAATAGCGGGCGATATACTGAAATAGCCATAACACACGAACCAAGGAACAATCATGATAATTCGTCAATTGTATATGTAGCCAACATAAAATTGATCATGGTAATTTGTACGACAATGAATTATAGTTATTGATTCTTAGAACATCAGCACGACACTATTCAGATTTTGGACATTAATGGCTAAAGGCAAAATGCAAAAATACGTCATTGAAAAATTATGAACAGTATGGCAGTTCAATGCATAAGATTAAATCAAATGAATACACGTTTAAATGAAGACACAGCACCACTTACCATGTCATTAATAGTGAGTATACTGAGAGAGACATTGATCAGCACCAACTCTCTTGGACGCTGCAATACTTCATAGCCTTTAAACATATTGTCGCGAAGTTGTGACTCCAGTTCCTTGGAATAGACAGGTTGTTTTTGTTGCTGATCCTTCATCGCGACACCCAAAATACCTGACGAGAGTTAATTGTTAATCAAAGAAACAGTAACTTGAGTGAGAAAAAAAGAGAAAAATTTGATTTGAGTATAAGACATAACAATATCAGACAGTTTGAACCGGAAATACATCACGATTTTCCAGATATAACAGGAGCATAAAAACATGACAATATGAAAATAAACTAAACTCAGTTTCCATAAAACTAGGGCAAAACGGAAACAACGTAAAAATTTACACGAAAACCCACGAAAAAGGCATAGGAAAAAATGGACCCGGTGATTCGGAAGGTAAAACGTTTTTTGCTTCATCGACGAGTTCTTCCTTGTAAAATTAAGTCAATCCAAGCAAGTAATGTCACGTTCTCATGAGAGGCATGTTTTTTAAAAAAATTATTTCTGACATCTTGCCCCAAATATAACCAACTATTTTTTCATGCTTAACTACTACTTAATTTGTGTCTCAAGTTTTACAAAGGTATTTTAGGATATTTAAAGGTTGGTAAAGACTACAGAACAACTCAGGTACCGTTGTAATACTATATTTCTTTGTGACGCTCGAAGTGTGATATCACTGACGCTCGTTACTGTTTCTGTTGGTTTCCTCATTATTTACACAATTACGATTATCATTCTGATAACAAACATTACTGCGACATTACTTCAATTAACTCAGATAAACATGGCGACTGTCTTGTCTGGTGCAGAAAATACTTATTTTTAAGTTTTTCTTGGTTCATGCTTAATACTATGAAGCTGGACGTGTAATATAACTTGTTCTCATTTGTGAACGTGACATTATTCACTTGGATTGACCAAGGTTTACAATGCAGATGTCGTTGATGAGCAGAATACACTTACTCTTCCCGAACACCTGGTTTTATTCACCTTGTACTTTTTAAGAAGTCTCCGTATAAATCTTTCTTTTGTTCATATTTTTGCCCTTGTTTTATGAAATTTGAGTTAGGATTATGTTTCCATGTTGGTATTCTCTTGATAGTTTTGGTGTCAGTAACACAACTTAAACAAACATTCAGGAACAATGGATTGTTGGTCAAATATATTCCCAACGAAGTTAAATTAATATAAATACAATCATACCTCATCTGAATCGGGATTTACTGTGTATCGTTTATGTGTGTTTTTGAAATCTTCCATGAACTATCTTGGGCATGACATCAGGTATTTCAAACAATATTTAGATAGGTTCACTGATTACGTTCTTGTGTTCTTTGTTTAAGAACGTAGATCAATGTGATAAATAAGTATTGTTTTGTTTGTATAATTACAAGCAGTTATGTGACTACAGCCATATGCTGGTTGCTATGTTAACATTTCCAGTCTCTCTAATGCTCAGTGTTATTGACATTATAATGACGATAAAGATAACGGTACATGAATCAAACATCGATTAATATGATGTGATCATTAACAAAAATCGAGTCTATAAATAGGTGACCTATTTTACATACACCTTGACAACTGTATATTTATATATCTTATGTAACAACATTGATAATAGTTATGGAACTGCTAGGATAGCAAGCAATTTAGATCATTGTTGTAAAATCAACAGAATGGACAGGAATGCGAAAATTACCTTCAGATGCCATAGAAATTGTTCCGTATTAGACATTAATACTTATCACATCAACTCTAATTAAAAAATCCTACAAAGAAATATTGCATTAGAAAATGGAAAAATATGACTTATTTTGAGTTCAATTTATTTCTCAAAACTTTTGTATTATCGATTTTTAATTACATACATCAGATTCTTCGACTATCAAGTTATTTATTGATTGTTTTTGTTTTGTACTGTTCGTTCAATGGTCAATCTTACAGCTTAATGTAACAGTTCCTTGAATTTTAGTGATGAATCATTTTATCAAACCCGATAAACCAATAAACGTATGACGAATATGATGTAAAACTATAAATGTACTTTTTTCGAGCAATGACTTTTTAATGCAATGTCGTTTTTGACAAAGTTGAGAAATGATTAATTAAAGAATTAACATTTTTTGTTAGTCTATGAATAGAAACTGAAAAACCGCTAAGATAAGATGAACACTTAGATATGTACGTTTACAGTAACCAGGTACATCACACAAACAACCAGTCACAAACAAATGTGGTTTAATTAATTGTAATCACATAAGGTTACTTGTCCTTATCAAAACAATGTGATTGTGTACTTACTGGCCAGCAGTACACCTGAGAGGATTAACTCCAGCCGTCCCCTTAATATCATCGTCCCAGTGTGGAGGAGTAGCCTATTGAATGCAGGTGTTGCGATGAGGCTTATCACCAGGAGATAAAAACAAAGAACATATTAATAATAATACACGACTTTTATCTCTGTACTGGAGTAATTAATTTTTCATATATCTCTCTATAACAGCTTTATAGATCTGCAAACAGTAAGCTATTTGCGTTTCACTGAACTGGGTGCAACCTGATAACAGACATTGTATATTTACAATTTTCACTTCAATTAAAGGAATTCTAAAGGTTTGATTTTTTTGCGTGTACTAATTGTCATAGTAAAATAAAATGGCCCTTTCTAAATTCAAAAAAAAAAAAAAAATAAAAAAAAAAAAAAATTTAAAAAAGATGTAATTTGCTAAAAATAACCATTATATTCTGACATATTATTGTGACATACAGTGTGCTATAGATTTAACAGTATTTATGTACACCACAAATAAAAAAAGAAAAAGCTATGCAGTGCAATTCTATTTAAAAACATATAGATTTGATTTGTCAAATTCGATATTTATTAGCAGTGACTTTTACTTACAAATCGACATAATGATATTCGTTTTATTTGTAATGTCATGTGAAAGCATTATCTTTGGGTATTTATTGTATACATTTCCTACAGTTGTGTCATTTTTCAAGAGACTAAATCATCAAATTTTCTTCATTAATAACATGGACACGCAGGTCTCCTTAAACCAGGTTTTCGTTAATAACTTATCTAAGGTGTATATATATCAAAATGTGTATTGTCAAGACATTTTTTCATTTGGTATTCATGAGAATGTTTAAGATGTATATATTTAACCTATCAAATGCCTACGTGAATAATTTCAGAATGAAATCACTAATTGATTCCTCGCTATTGACGCGTTCTTTACGAAATACGTCAAACGAACAGGAGATGCACATAGCCATATAGAAACAACTCTACCGAAGTAAGAATTTCTATTGGTGGGAAGAAAGAACTTACATTTGACAGAAAACCTTTCCAACCGTATTGTTACAAAAAATTCGTAATTTAAACACTTCTGTAGTACGCAATGACATTTTTGTTACTAAAGGGAACATTTTATTCTTATATAATAATGATGTCATTTTGATGAATGTGTCATCCGACTTTCCGTCGCAAAGCCACAAAATAAAATTTTCCAGATACATTGTTGAGCTATGTTGAACTTACCTGCGGACAGAAGAGGGGACAATGAAAAATATTTCTTATTGTACATGTAAAGAGATATAATTTGGTTTCAATTCCAAGGGGTCATCTTTGCTGCAGATATCCGAGTCAATGCCGAATATTGAAAAAGATTGATATAAAAAGATACATTCTTCAGTCCGAATGAAATTGCCATGATGTAATTTGAGTTAAAGCATATTAAAGCTGAGGATATCAAAACCTGCATTAAACTGGAAAATGTGTACTTGAAAAAAGTACGCGGATATAAAGATTTATGTTTTAGTTTCTTGGGTTATAACATTTCGATCTTATGTTAAGGCATTTTTTGGACGAAATCCGACATCTGACAGCAAACATGATATTGCTTTAGTTAGCTGTTCTTATTTTGGCCTTGTTGCATCAAAAAGGTTATTTATGAATTCCGCAAAAAATTGTAAATGAGCTGTCATTTTACCCAAATTAATATTTATGATAAAATTTCCAGTTGGCAGTAAAAGAGCAACAATAAGGAAAATCATACCTTATATATGATCGAACAAAGCAAAAATTGAAAAATAGTTTATCGACTTTTTATATGCAGTATTCAGCGGAATGTGAAAAAATGAAACAACGATTTTATCAAAGCCTTGACTATGTAAATATTTTACATTTTTTCCAAAATAAGTCAACCGATACTTCATGTGTATAGTGTGCCGGGGAAACTTTGCTGAAAATAGGAACCTAAACACTTACCCAGTTACAGCTCTGTTGAAGGATTCGCAACGTTGATATTTTGTTGAAGTAGATGTGTTGCCGTCGTTATTTATCCTACGAGTCAAATTCACAGTAGTTTCGATCTCACGTTGGGGCTTATTTAGTTCTTTCCCTGTTAATGTTGATTAACAGGCCATATATTCATACATTATGCTGGAAGTAATTAATGTAAGCAAATAAAACATCAAATGAAATGTTTGTCCGTCACAGACTCTGCCACACTAGATCGCACACAGACACAGATCAATACTCTAATATTTGAACGTTTTATTTCTGGTTAATACGTATCAGCTATGCACTGTGTTTCATTGATTGAAATTAAAAAAAAAAAAAAAGAGGAGAGGGACAGTGTGTTGTTACATTTTATGATGGAGAGAGTAATAGGTAAAATAACGCCTAAATCTGTTTCGAATCAGGATGATGGGCATATGGATTCTCTCATGTCTTTGTCTTGGTATTGGGCAAAGCTTATTCTAATGAAATTGCTTTCTTTTCATTGACAATTGCGTTCATTGACAAATCATTGTATATTATTTATAATTGTTGTCGTGTGAAAGTAATTCTTTTTTGTACAATTTCACCATATAATTGAGATAAGTTTTTTTTTCCACAAAATTGAATAATCTATTTTCAATCAAAGTAACTTGTCAGCATTTACGTCTTCATGTAAACGCCGCCTTTTCTCCAACGTTGCATTTATAAGCGCTCTATGGAATGCAGCGTTCAGTAAAGAATACTTCCGCACAGTAAACACTTTAAGTATGAAGCCAATATAACGGTGTATTGAAATTGATTTCACATTCTCTTTCCGTGAATTTGGTGTCCTATCGAGTTGGTTGCTGTTTGCCGACGTTTCTTTGCACGAGGGTAATCCCTTCTGATACGGCCGTCAATCGTTAAAAATAGATGATGGCATGGAAACTTTGTACGAAACGTTAAAGGTCGATAGATGGATTTTATATTATAATATAAAAGTAACATTGTATAAAGTTGGTGCTGTCACAAAATGCATTAACATTGTGTACTTAAATGTTACATCGCGGGCATAGATATGAAATTTCGAGACAGGATAAGGTATTAAGAACATGTTGGTAAGAAAGAACATTGCAACGTTCTTATAAAAGAAGGTATCGTTTTTCAACAATAAGACTAAAATGCGAACTTGTAAAACATATGATACCTGTTACTTAGTGAGTTGAAAAATCAAATGGAAATACCAAGTTTGTAGACCAATGTCAACATCTTGCATTGTAAATTATATTTTAAATCAAAGGGTTCTCGACATGGACTCCTGTGACAACTTATCATGAGGGAAAAAACGATGATTGATGTATGGCCAATGCTTCCTCGTGAGAGCAATGTTTTTAATCATTTCCTTCGCAATATACATTCAAGCATACGCACTTCATCACTCGTCTATGAAATTATACATCACCCACGTGAACAAAATTTTTAAAAGCATGAATACATAATTTGAATATGTCCCCTGTGATGATGATTCCTTTAATCCCCAAGACATTAATTTCACGCTTTAAATCACTAAGATTATCTGTCTGAATCATTACAAAAATGGTTTTGGATAAGGTAGACACGTAATTTCCCTGTAAAGGATATGTTAAAGGTAAATACACACAATTGTTTATTTTGTTGTTTTTTGCACGCAATCGTGCGTTTCATTCGTAATAGGAAATCATGGAAAATATAGCTATTGATTATTAAAATGCTTTCCGTTTAATGTCATTCACTATATTGCGTGTGGCAAATGTTTCCAACAAACGTTTGATATAAATAGTGTATCTCGAGATGCCATTAATGATATTGTTTGCCAGCCTTTACTTCTTTGATACTATGGTTCAGAAGATATAAATATTTATAAGTATTTGACGTTGTTTAAGAAGAGAGTTAGAGCTTCTATCTATATTTATCAATTCACCTTCTAGTTTGTTCTACTTTCAGAACACTAGATTCACTGGTTAGTTATATAAAGACAAAAACAGCCGTATGGTTAAGTTCAAATAGTGTTTTGATTCTCGAATGAATTTCAAAGTAGATGCAGAAAGGGACACATCAAGAGCAAATAAACATCAATCAATATGCGTACATTCTAAAGAAGTAACTTATATATCGATAAAACAGCAGAGAATTCAATTTAACAGCCACCTCATACCGGAAGCAGTAGGTGACGCCACTTGTGCATTATGGACATTCTTGTAAAAAAACATTTTTATTAACAAATGATTAAATTTGTGTTTGTATTTTGTTTTGCTTTAACAAGTTTAATTTACATCAATATCAAGTATCTAGTATATATACTACTACTTGTTTAAATGCTTATCACATGTGCAACTTTTGCTGTCGAATCCTCATTGTTTTCTATACTTTATTTATGAAACTTTACAAATTGTATATTACACCGAAATAAACATGTAAAAGGAATTCTATAAACACAATTACGACATATCACTCTGTTATATCCTGTCGGTCTTAATTTTACTTTCGTTAGGCTATCGCCAAAGATGGATCATTCTCTGTGTTGTATTGAAGATTGTGTAAATTGTCGTTCACTGATAGGCCGTTAATTGTTCCCTAAAAAAATAATAAAGAAGATAATATCTTTGCAGTCTGACACTACGAAATTCGCAAACGAAAGAAATTGAAACAGCAGTCCAGTCATAATTAGAGTTGGGATGTGAATAGTCTGATTAGAAATATCGGAAATAGATTCATATCGATTAGTGCCACCTTTGATAGTTCATAATTAGGTGGTTTGCAAACAAGAAAAAGGGAACACAGCATGAAAACAGTATCAACCTCAGAAATCTAATTAACAGTGCTAAAGATGTTGCTGAATAGGGTAAACACAAATTAATATCGAAGAAGAATAATGTACGATATCGAATTAGGTTGTATATTACGCATTATCGTGCATAATTTATATAAGTGTATACTGCTCGCAATTAAAGATGGTACGGACGTGTAAGCTGTGTCAGCTATGTTAGCTTGCGATTAAGGTCTACACTCAAGGCAACAAAAAGCCCTAACCCTAACCAGAAGGCCGAAAGTTGAGGAATTCAGTTTCGTTACTTAAATTTATTTATATTGTTTAATTAGTATGTAAATATGTATCATATATATACACATGTTTTAAAAATGGGATTGCAAAACAAATGGGATACATCTTTCGTTGTTAGGGATTTTACACGTGTGATGAGTAAACAATATCTCTTCATTAAAGTTTATAATATTTGTACAGAATCAAAACCACGTGCGTTGTTCTTGATCATCACAACACGATAATAACATTTTTTTTATTTTCAAAGTCAAACAATTACGTATAATGGCAGAATATTGTTGTGTAAAATGATTTGATGTATATAATGTATATATCATTGTATCAATACGATATAGATACAGAAAACCAATTTGAAAATATGGACAATTTCTAAAATAAAATAGATGAAGTGTCGATACGTGTCCTGTGCTAAACACTACACTAAATGCGTGAATTCAAAACAAAGAAAATACCAAATGTCAGCATAACAATAATCGAAATTCAAAAAAAGTGAAACAAAATATGACTAAAAAATGAATTACACGTAGACTCCAAAAAAGTACAATGATAATAAATCCAGGTGTTCTGCAAGCTTAAGCATCTTCTTCTTCATTGAGGACACCCTTGGTCAATCCCTAGTCTATTGTGGTTAATATAAATTTAGAAATGACTTATAGATACGTGTGGAAAAGGGTATATTTAGTTTCTATATATATATATGAGAAAAGGTAAGTATATTTCTCAACTAAGCCATATATGTATAGGTTACCCAAATGAAGACCCATTAAGAACAGAATGAATAGTTATATGCACTCGTTATTTGGAAGTTTTTGTTTACAAAGTGCCACGCGTGACGAGTATAAGAGAAGGAGAAATTTCAATCTTTGTACACTGAAGAGAAAGATGGCATACATTGTTAAAGAGCCAAATTTTCTTCTGATTGGATTTTCATGTACTCTACGACCATAACACTAAAGAATACGCTAGATGATATGATAATCAACCCAACGAAACAAATAAAGAAAAAGCTGTCCAGGACCTTTGACACAGTTGTCCATGTGATTTCTTCTTCTTCATCTTCTTCAAAAGAACTACTGTCCTCGTCCTCATGAACTATTTTCTTCTCTGGTATTTTCTTTTTAAGATTTTCGAGCTCAATCACACTTATGACGGGATTTTTCGCAGGGGCCACACGACTCTTCTTTTTACAACGACATCCACACCTTCTACGACATCCTCCCCAGCATATCAGCTTCATCAGACATACAGCAAACATCCGGATGGAGGTTGGAACAGGTTGTCCGTCTGACTCCCGATAATGCATGTGCAACACTAGGATGGTACAAAGCACTGCAAGAGTTCCCAGACTCAATGTTATAGACAGGTAAACCGCTAAAAAGGAAAACAGATGCAATCATATAATTTTTTGTATAAGAGGATGCATATATCATGGTATACTTAGAACATAACGTCATCTGTTTTACGAGTAAAAGTACCTTTCTTTCTCATCAATTTGATACGGTATTTTGAAACGGAAAATCAATCATAAAAAGTTACAAAAATGATCTGATGTATGCTTCAGTCTTGATACAGAATTTGAGATTGAGTCAAGATATTTTTTATAGTTCATGCTTATTATGTTGATAGTTGACCGATGGCGTTTTCACATATCATATTCAGGTAATTAAAATTTGTGAATAAATCAAGTTATCGTTTTGTCATATCATGATTAAAACCAATCATCACTGTTTATATCCTGCTTGTTTGCAATATACTTGAGACAGGAGTGAAATGTCGATGAATCTATTTGATAGTTCTACTGTATTTTGATCTTTTAGGCAAATTGTGTTTTGGAGGAGAAGCTTTAAAAATAATCCCTTTTTGATATATGTGAGAATGACGATATTGATCACAAAAGAAAAAAACAATTCTTTGAGCTCATATTGTCGGATTATTTCAATTAAACAACTAACGGTCGCGTCACATATCAAGTAAAAAACTATATGAAATGTATGGCACTTTACATGACCAATTACGACATCACTTACACAGATAGGACACATTGACTGAAGTACTGGGTATGTTTTCCGAAATTAGCGTTAGATATACGGTGTATGCCAGAAGGACAGTCAACGAAAATCCAATCTTCTCTCCGGAGTCTGCTGGCAGTTTGAACACCATTGCGCTGAGAAATGCCATCAATACAACCGGGAATAATGTATTGAGGATGTGAAACAATGGTCGCCGTCTGAGAACGATGGTGAATTTTAGATTTGAAAACGATGTACCTCCTCTTGATTTTGATGCTTCGGTTTTGTCACCTGTGCAACTTATCATCTCCCACTCCCCATTCTTGGAATAATAATCTGTGACGACTTGCTTTGAAGACATCCGAAGCGACACCTCATAGCTCGTGTATGCCCAGGACGCAAGGGAAATAATACAAGACTGCTTATCCATAGGATAGTATGTTATATCGGATTCACAGGCAACGACATATATATCAGCCGGTCTCCAGTAGATCAGCCCGAAATTTAAAATCCGCATTGGTATGTCGTTGTTGCTGATAACTGAGAGGTCGGTGATACTGTTGAAGTAAGAAGAGATTTTCTATCACTTTAATTAAAGCGCCATACTCATTGATCTTATTGATATGATACGAACAACTTCATTATGTAATGAAGATATGAAGAAGTGTAAGACTTTTGCCCTTCACCTAGACGTCGGCGCACGTGGGTTTCCTTCCACTGTTAAATACCTTGCACACTTCCATCCGGGCAAACTAGAGTGATTAGTCTAAGTTTGAAAAACTTACCTCACAATTGTTGGAAAAAAATTAAAACTAATATATTGAAAGAGTAAAAAAAGTTTATTTCTTTTATTTCTTACCTCTTGTTTTGTAATCACATGATAAACATCCATTCATTCTGGTTTTAATTGTCTGGGGAAATCAAGTATTGATCTAGTGTCTTGTTTGTAATTTTAATGCTCTATTTGAAAATTAATTTGTTTGAGAATTTATTTTCTAAGTATATTAAACCAAGTGAAAAGAAATATAATTTATTTTTATTCAGATACTTACGAGTTGTCAACTACAAGTGTTGGTCGCCATAGTTCCTGTTGTGTAGCGAAGAGGTATCGCACGTTTACGTAATCTGCCATGTTGAACCAGCTAAGCCGGTCGTCCCTCCAAAACTTCGAACGAAATACATATTAACACATATAAGTAAAACAAGTTTAACTGTTCACACGCGCTGACAAAATATTAAATAGGCAACTTAGTAATTATAATTAAATCAATGCTTACTGTGCTTTAAATTTCTCATCCCAAAACAATTGTATGCTCTGTATGTGTGAATATATATTGTTTAAATGTAAGTTCAGTGTATTTTTCACAGTTGATCCTGCAGCATGATTACGAATGGTATGATAAAAAATCAATTATAACATTTAGAGTCATTGCTGATAAAATTAAGCACTTACCAAATTAAAGTATCCAGATAAGGAAAGTGACTGATCCTTGATATTCTACAATGATAAATTATTATTTTTACTTGATATTCAGTATTTTATAAGATTCCCTTACTAATTTAAAGTCGGAATTAAAATGATATCTGTTATCCTATCATGAAGATGTTGAACACAAACGCAGTTTGGGTGTTACAACAGCTTAAAAACATTTCATGTGTACCTAGCTCAACTGATCTGATATTTTGTAATATATTGGCTCCGATGTAGAGTTACATAGTGACTACCTCTACAAGACAGTGGGGCAGGTTCCTAGTTCTAGCTTGTAATTGTGATGCAAGCCCCTTGAAAGGGCTTCCTGATGTTGTTTCCTTGAAGTTCCGCATCCAAAATAAAATGCAGACATGCAAAAATGTGACATTAGTTGTCTATAAGTGGTTCCAATAATTGGAACGACATCAGGCGCACTCAGACCTAACCTCATGATACATATTTGTAACTCTGTCTATTTTTAAGTAAATTGACCTCGTGACAATAATGGTTTCGAAAATAAAAGTATTTAAGTCATTTCACCCCCCCCCCTAATTTAGACGTTAATTATTTGATGTAGTTTACAGGCTGTTTTACTTACCATGTCGTTAATGGTAAGAAGTGTTAACCATACGGTGACATCGACTCTCTTTGTCGGTCGCTGGAGTCTAGAGTAGTTGGCAAATAGTATATCCCTTAGTGCTGTCTCCAGGTCACGGGAATATACCGGGGGCATTTTCCCTTTAGGCCCCCATTTTGATGCAGCAAATATGGAGACAGTACAGAAAAACAGAAGTAAACCTGTATGGAGATAAAGTTATTAATTACATTTTGTCAGTGAAACTGTAGAGGATATTCAAGACTTCCGTTTAAAATCATATGATATCAGCAAGGATTTTCATACGAGTGGAATTCTTAAAATGATATTACCTATCAACGGGAAACTATCGTTTTGTTTATTACAGTCTACGTTTTTAATGGAAAGTGGGAAATATAGGTCCAAAGATAAAACAAGTATGTATCTAAAAGAATGGCGGGAAATTTCTTTTTCATGTCAGATTGAAATGACGTTACGTTTGGAACTAAATGAAGTATTCTAACATAGTATGCTGTTCTCTGCTAGAGATCGCTGCCAAACTGTAGTAATGTTTGTAGTGTACACATCAAAATTTTGGTGAAATACTCCACTCATTCAACCTTCCCTTCATTTGCCACCGAACAGAAAAATGTGAGAATTTTAATGGGAGGAATACTGTTCTGATAAGTCAAAACTGAAGAAGATATGTCATATCTGGACAAATTTAGATATTACATCAAATTGCTAGTTTTGTTTTACTTCAGGAACAAATTGTATTTAAAGAAATTAATAGATTGAAAAAAATAGTGATAATATAAGAAATTGTATATTTTCTTATTTGATGACGATTTGTTTTCCCAGTAAAAAGTGTAACTTTTTCAGTGGATATGTAACTTTCAGTGATGGACTAGTATTGCTTTGAAAGACCATTTCTTGTTCAATTTCTGTTTTGTGAACGAAGCTCATCTGATAAATGCATAGGACCGTAGAGTGTATAGCAGCAGATTTAAAATATCAGTGTTGCTGTCAAGCATCCCGGCGTTAAAAGATTAAGATCTAGCTCTTTCATGGATTTCACAATTATGTTATTCAACCTCTTGGTACATTTTCTTCTTTGGAATATAAGAAATTCTATGTAATAGCCTCTACAATTTCAGCTTTCAATGTTTTAAATTTAGCCATAAATTAATTTAACGTTTTTGCATTTTCCGAAAAAGAGATGTCTTGATTTTCGTTACTTTAGCAATGTCACCTTTGTTATGTTCACAGAGATAAGTGATAATAAACAATAACACGAGCACGTAATGAGAAATGAAGTGTATGTTAAAGTAATATATCGTAGTGTGCTTGTGTTGATGTTGTTCACGTGTCCTCACCATTAATCAAAGCAGCGGTGTCTTTGGTTACGTACTTATATCATCTTCAACGATCTATTGTATGAAAAATGATTCCAGTTTACGAACACATACGATACAGCGTCAGTTTGAGGAACAAAGTCATAGATTGGAACGAGTATAGATAAGGACGTTTTGATGTCTTAATACCAAATCAGGGCACTTTCAGGAATTGCCGTAAAGATCCTCTCGATTTTGGAAATTTACAGAGGTGACTGATTATCATTGACCCAAAGTCAGGAAAACAGGAAATCAGTTTTGTTTTATCCTGATATGTTGAAAATTATTGTTATAGATTAAAATAATTAGTTTCTTATATTTATTTGAACTTTGAAAAAAAAAATCCCGTTGAATAATTTAGTTAGATATAGCAGAGCTAAACAAGGAAGTAAACTGCATCATACAACTGCTTTGTCATCCTAAGACTCGTCATTGATGGTGAGAGTTTGAAGTTTGAAGACTAGGAGGCAATGTGCAGCAGTATCATAATTAGATATATTTCGTAATTTTCATACATATTTTTTTAGAACAGTGTCATGTGTATATTCTGAACACTATTCGAATGAATTAAAAGGTGGCAAGCAAGTTACGGTAAACCTCGATGTCTTAAAGTCCACCAGCTGTGTCTACCACCTGACATCTCCAAGATTGTACAAAAGACGCACATGTGAAGAGAATCTTGATGTTATTTTCGCATGACTTATTGAAAACATATTTTGTTGGCCAAAATAGAAATATGTTAGGTCGAAAGTTCCGATTCTATTCTGGGAGTTCCAGAGAGTCAGCAGGCCAAGGCGAAAAATATATGCTGTTTGTTGAGCAGGTTTTCACAACTTTGTTAATCGCTCATTTATCCAATCGTTTCGCATTGGTTATAGCACGTACCTCCCAAAAACGAGATGATATCGCAGCCAAAATCAATGGGAAACCTTTGTATATGTTCTAATTGCTTGTTTAACTAAGCGCCCAATTCCGATAATTTGAATTTGTTTAAAATAACAAAAAAACATTGTAGTTTGATATGTCTATGTTCTTCAGAATGGTCATTATTCTTAATATCACTGGTAAGTCCTTTCAGTTTGATGTGAAATATGTTGAAACACATATTCATATACAAAGTTAGACAAGGATATTTCTGTCAGTACATAGTCTACCCATTTCTACCCGTCCCAAATCTTATGATATTAGAAAAATACGTTTACGTTTACTTTAATGGTTGTGAATCTAAAACGTAGGGTTGAGGCAATTATTGATCAATAATACTTGATATTTAATTAAAATGAATGGAATTAAGGATAAAAATGACACTGAAAAAATAGTATGTGATATTGTCAACAAGTAAACAGATAAATTATTGTTTAAAAGATAATTTTATGCAAAAAATGTTGATTTCACACATCTATTGTTGTGAAATATTGCTTTATCTATAACGGCTGTTTTTCATTGTTCATCATATGTTTTATTTAAAAAATCATCTACATAGATTCCGAAATCGAGGGCATGAAGTTAAATTCAACAACTGAAGTGAAAGTTCAAGGCAGGATCGTCACCGAACAGAAAACAATTAGCTTCAATAATTGTCTTGTAACGATATCCGTTTATTTTTACCTGGTTTTACAAAATTTCAGTTAAAATTACATTTTGGTTTTAATTTACTTCCATTGTGTTTTTCTTGCGATCCTGATATCTACACTTTGTTACCTTACGTCTTAAAGCAAATAAAATACACTTTTTGAAATATGTAAAACTAATCAATACACTGTCTAATGATATGATTTGACTGTATGGTAAAGAAGATACCAAATTTCAGTACTGAATTCAAGAAAATATTTCCTTTTAGCATACATGTAGTTTGCATGGGTATAATCTATGATTCTTCATTTTGAAGTCGTCATATCTTCAACTCATTCTAATTAAATAAATACTAGTGTTTTATTCATACAAATAATTTGTGCGTTTATCCGTTTATCTGTTCTCTAATATATAACCAATTGAGGAAAACGAATTTATTTTTAACATTTGATTTTTCATAACAAAAAACAATTCCTTAATTGAAAACAAAAAATATCAGCGAGACTGTTGGTTTTATAAATACAACTTCGTATACATACAGATATTACTAATTATTGCTAGGCCTTTGCAAATGTTCATTTGAACAAACAGAAATATTAATAAACACTTACCAAGCTGTAATGTCCATTGTTTTTTAGCCATACTAGTGGCTAAATTATCTCCAAAACCATGTAAAGGACTGCAGTCTGACCTCCTATAAAGGAAGCGTTCTACAAAAGCTGTTGCAATTAGCAAATAAGCTTATATAGAACTTGGCATTGATCAATATTCAATACTGAAGTTGAGAAATCGTTTATGTTTAGCCCTTTGGCTATTGAATGGCAGATTATCAATATATTTTGTCTAGTGTGTAGGCTTGGTAGCTTGAATAATTGTCATTTACTTTTTTACCAAAAAATTCTACAGAAATTTAAGCAGCTATATTTTAATTTTCAAAGGACGTTTTTAAACAGGAGAAATATATAAATGTAATTTCAACTTGATTATTCAAACTCTATTAGAGAGTGTTTCACCGATAAACGGTTTTGGGAAAACGCAGATTAAGCAACCGATGTGAGAAGGAAAAGGTATTGATCTACAACATTCCATTTCTTAGTAGACATATATACAAGGGAAACCCTCAAGGTAATTCCTAATGATAATATTGTGAATAAATATATTTAAAAATACATGTTAAGTACTGGTGTAAACATATGCCATTAGCGTGAGATTTACCGCTGAGATAGAAAATGTTTTATTATTGACTGTGATTAAGGCTTAAGCCAAACAAGCCTTGATTATCCACGGTCACATGGGTTTCTTTTTGTAATGTATTTAAACAAACATGTTTTGTACAAAGCGAAAATTAGATAAAAATGTCATTTAATTATACTGTGTCTTGATACTGTCTGTCCCTGTTAGCTTGTCTGTAATATATGTATCTTTCTTATGATAGAGGAGTCAAATTTCAAATCTAAGTCGTTTCGTAATTTATATTGCTTATGGGAATATTTTGCAAACTGAAAGCGATTTTTTTTTATCATTTTCTCTGTTGCCTTACGAATGTCATTTGTTTAAATACTGTGAATAAACGTTTTAATAGCTAACATTAATAATAGACGTTTGTTTGTTATTGACTTTATCGCGCTGTAAACAGAAAGGATCATTTTGAGACGGGGTTTTCTTGTAGCAGCTAGTATCTACCTCACTTTATATAATACACCTGTCGCATGCCATTCAGAGCAATTAGAGAAAGGCGTCTTATCCATGAACACAACTATAGCAGCACAGACTGGACCGTTTCTTATCTTCCTGAGAAGCTCAAACCGAGGTGGGAAGGGAGAGTCGAACCACGCACCTCGGATCTTCACTAGTAGCTGCTTAGGCCAACTCTCAAAGCGACTGACTTATCGCAGTCCCCGCCCTCTATATATTCTTTCATGTCGTGCGAGGTATTCGTTCTTTTGTTGAATATGACTATTAAGTCAGTTGTATGATATGGATATGCTATGGATAACGTTTATGTCCATTTACAAATATTTGTTTCAATGAGGAGAGACTCGTGTGTATGAGTTAAATGTTTTTAATGTATGATGTATTGGAATAATGAATGATGGACGTGAAACTAAACAATTCATATTATTCAAGATTTACTCTTGCATGTTTTGACAGGGAAAATTCATTAAATAAGTTTGTCACTTGACACATGTTATGGTCTCACCTTACTTCAAAGAGATTAAAAATACCCAATAATTGATTATATAAATCAATTACGTATACGTGGAGCGTCCTTTTTTAAGCACGTCTACCATCATAATTCTATCATAAGCGTCATTGTATTTTTATTTAAACGGATCATATTGGATTTGCTTTCCTTTTCATAAAGTATGCTTCTTACACTATACATAACATTAATATGTCAATATTGGAATATATCGATAAACACACCTCTTTCTGTATTTCTTTACCAGACATATGTACTCTGTCAACTATCTACTGTTTAACAAACATTCGTTTGTATAGACCCATCTTGTTTGTTTTAAAGGCATTCGACTTGTATAGTAACTACAATATCCTATCACATTCTTCTGAATGTAGATTTTGTCACAGAAATTATTATAAGTATGCATTTTGTAGGAAACAGATTATTACTTTATGTTATTTGTTTTATAAATAATTTGAAATACATATGGTATACTGAACCTTTTTAATATAACTGAAGAACAAATACTAGCAGCAACCCTAAAAAACTATGACCATACTCCAGTTCAGGTTAAAATGAACTTTTTTGTGTGTTTTACATAGAGACCAATAACGTCTTGGTTTATTGTTGTTTTACGTCCTATTAACAGTCAGGGTGATTTAAGGATATGTCAGGATTGGATGGTGGAGGAAATAATACGTTAAAATAAAGTTCACGGATGAGAACATGTGAAGTGAGTTTTGATAAATAAGCCACACAAAACAGATGCCAGGCGTTTTGGATTTTCCGTAATCAATCTTTAAGGTACCAATGACATAGACCTGTACTTATCATCATTGAAAAGTCGTAAAACAAGTGTATGGTGGGGTTTGATTAATTATTTTGCTGTACTGTATCGATTCGTAAATTTGGATTGAAAGTTTCTATTCATGAAAAAAAAAAAAAAAAAATACAAGTAATATCTCATTCACTGACATGTACCTTTAAAGTGCACAAATACCGAAATGTGACAGTATGTACCGAAATCTGATAATGAATCTAGCTTGTTGTGATAGTGAGGTGTTCACGAAAATGAGATACGGAAGGAAATATGCGTTTTTCAAAAGTTTATTTATAAAACACAACATTAGTAATTAGGCGAGAAATCAATACAGACATATAGTGATACTAAAAGTTAATCCGACAATCTCCATTTCACACCGATATGATTTCTGTCTTTTTTACTTTAATGTCGTCTGCATTTCATGGTTTTGAACTTTATATTATACTACCTGATATTGAAAAAATTCATTTATATGATATGCAAATTAGTTCCTTTTGCTTGAAATCTATAAAAAGACTAAAACTGGTCGTTACCCTCATGAATTTAACAATAGTTCAAAGAATAAATAGATACCTCGCAAAACCTCATCTGGATACGAAGAAAACACAAATAATATGTATTGTGTGGGAAAATGATATATTTGAATATATATGTTACGCCTTTATGATGAACGACGTATATTTATCATATTCTATAAATATTAACCAAATTCCCTGAAATGACATAAAAAGTATATAATATTGTAAAGACATTGAATATATACAAGTTCCCTTTGTGACAGAAACCATACCAATGAGAGGCCACTACACTAAGAATAAGATTTTTAAATATGGATCATATTTGACACAATGGAGAACATTTATGTGACATGTACTCAAGAACAATATATATACACAATATATATACAACAGTAAGTTTTCTCCGTGTATATATTCATCTGACATTTTATCTTATAACCTTTTATACAGCATTTCGTATTGTTGGTATATTTGTTTACCTTTTATGTAGACGCCAATGATAATGTTGTTTATAATTCCATTTTCTCTCTTTTTAACAATAGAAATTTACATAACAGATTTGCTGATTATTCGACACATGAATTAAGATTATAAGTTTAAAATCCAAACAATCAATACTCAAATACATTAAGACGTCTTAACATGAAAAGAAACGAAATGAAAATATTCAGATAAACAATACAAATTATAGAAAGCAAGGTATATGATAACTTTTGTTATAATATAAAGAGTACATGTGTATGTGTTCCATGTATGCATGGAATATATAACGAAAATGATTTTGAGGTCTTTGCATTAAGCAATTTAATATGACAATGACCGATGAGATAAACCCGCCACGTAAACAATAAAGTAATTGGTTGATATATACACATCATAGGAATTGGTATTACCAGAAGGTTGATAAACACACTCAGTCATATATAATTATATATTGAGTTTTACCTGAGTAATTAAATGTCATTTACCTGTGTACTGTCTGACCTCCTTCTTTTAAGTACAGAATATTGAATACAATGCTGTTGTTATCTTAATGAAATGCATTTAACAATATTGAATATTGACAGCTCAATATTGACCGATTTCAGTCTCATAACATTGATATATGTCTTGGTACAGGTTGTTATGTGTTAAAACACATCCATGTTGCTATGTTGGTATTTTCTTGATGCTTCTTAAAGCACTAGAAAGTAGCAACCATGAATACTGAAATAATCATAACGGATTTCTTCTTATAACAAATGATTTTAAATTGTTACCATTGCATACCAGCCACTAGCAACAAAAAACTTTTGTTGAGCAGCAGCACTGCTCATAAAAGGGCGACAATTAAGTATCAAACAAAACTGTTTAAACATAAAAATAGCGACAGTTTATTGCAAGGTGAAAATTAAGTGCAGTTTGCATATGTGCTCGTTAACGAATATATGTTCGTAGTTCGTGGCAAAAACAAAAGTATTTATATGGTATACTTGAGATGATTTAGCAGATACTCGAGAGCGCGAACATTTTAGAGGTGAATCTGATACAACTGAAACAAATAATATACCACAACTAACGACTTTTATGTTTTCAAAACAAAAGTCATATTGAACTTTTATTTTTTCCAAGGCACCATGTAGTGCTTTTAACCATTAACAGTGATCATGTAAGCATTCTGTGCAAGACAATAGAATGGGGTCCTTACAGGTGTAGGTATCAAGTATCAGGAAGGACGCTATTCTATGAATCTCTTGTCCATATTGTATTCATACTGACGACTAATATAATCTGGCTATTATTCAACAGATAAATGTGTATATATATGCTTTTTAGTTTCCGCTGTGCCTATTTTGTACATTTAGTTGTGAATAACTTGAAAAATATGTCCAAATTAAAGAAGAAATATATGGATAAGGAAATCAAAAATATTGTCGAGTTTCTGGTTGCCAACATTCTCGTCGAGTATGGTGGCAGGTTCTTTCAACAGACTATTAGCACGCCTGTTGGAACTTACTGCACCCCTTTGGTATTAGTGATTATTTTAAGAAGATGTGTTCTCCCAGTATTTTAATGCAATTAGCATAAAATATCCAAGAGAGGAGGCAAGGATCAATGACATGAACAACAAGAAAAAGAAGTTGTCTAGCACACGTGCCACAACTTTCCAGTTAATATTTTTCTCTCGTTCACATTCGTTTAATTCCAGATCGAGTGGGTAGGCAGCTTTTTCGGAAATCGGAACGCCAATATCAAAGGAATCGTCAACTTGAATGGAATTTGCTTGATCAGACGTAGGACGAACTTTAGTTTCCCTCTTGCAACACTTGCATTTGCAGCCGTTCCAGCAGGTGAGTTTCATCAAGCAGACGGTGATCATGTAGAGGCAACCCGTAACTGGTTCATCCTCATCAGGATGATTGTATAAAGTGACCACCGCTATTGTACACAGGACGGACAGCGTCCCAAGAGTCAGGACCAGCGACAGGTAAATTGCTAAAGAACACAAAAATAACAGAGCTTAAACAGGACGTATCTTGTCCATACTTCCATACACATAGTACTATGAATAGAAATTGCAATGAAAAATTTACATATTGATTTATTTTAGAAAATTGTCAACTTGTAGTTGTTTTCATATATAAATATATATTTGGGACGAGTGCCTTCTAACAGACAAATGATATACTCGGGAGGGAGTACATGTAGATAAATTGTTAAAATAACCCGGTTGGAGGAGCATGAATTCGATTTCGAAACCACAAATGCCTGTAAGATAAAAATGACCAAACTCCCGTGGATATAAATATCTGTTCAGAGGTTCTGAAGAGATGACAATGATTCGTAATGGGACGCGACGCCAAAAAGAACATGGAATGACAAAAGAAACTTACACAAATAACAGATGGTGATTGAAGTACTTGGTATACTCTCGGAAATCAATGTCAGGTACACAGCATATGCCAGTAGGACGGTCAATGAGAATCCGATCTTCTCGCCTGAGTCAACAGAAAGCTTAAACACCATGGCGCTCATTATAGCTAATAGAGCCACTGGAAATAACGTGTTGAGGATGTGAAAGAGAGGACGTCGTCTCAAGTTAATATAGAACTTGGCTGTGGAAAAGCTTTTACCTCCTTTCACCATCTCTTCTGTTCCCTGTCTGGCCCCATATGCACTAATCATTTCCCATTCTCCATTTTCTGAGTAATAGTCCAAATTCACGTCATCTGTTACATCTAATACCAGATTTACTTCACTGCTTGTGTAGGACCAGGAACTAAGGGAGATAACACATGATTGAGTGTCCATCGGATAATACGTGGTGTCAGACTCACAAGCGACGCGGTAGATATCAGCCGGGTTCCAAACGACCCTACCGGTGCTTAGAATTCTCATAGGCACATCCGGTTTACTTATGACATTCAGATTGTCGACACTAAAACATGAAATTTATTATCAATAAACAAAAGATTTGTTTTTGATGAAATCAATGAAAAATGACATCTTTTCATGTAATACCTGATTCATGAAAATAAGAATTAATAATTGTGAGCAACCATTGTCCGGTTTTGGAAAGGTCTGCTTGTAAATCGTATACCTTTGGTCATACATTGACCTCTTTCAGCTTGTTCTTGAGATAGACCTACTGTTTATCTTACATGATATGTTGTCTTTATTCTGTCGTACTTTTAAACAATTGATAAAAACTAATTTTAGAAATATCTTACGAATTGTCAACAACAAGAGCTGGTCTCCATAGGACTGTTTGAGAACTGAATAGGTAGCGGATGTTGGAATAGTCTGAGAGGTTTATCCACTCTAGGCGACTGTCAAACCACACCTGGAACAAAGAATAAAGTATGGAAGAGTCACTTATATGTTTATTTAGCCGCAACAGTAGTTAATTATATGCCTCCAAGGTACTTGGATACGAAACTCGGTTTTGTTTACCAGAGTGATACAGCATTGCGATTGATTAATATTATTATCTTTAAAAAATCTTTTTGAGCAATAGGCTGAGTTTCTGTTGTGCAAAATGAATTTTTTTCGATATTGTCATTTAGACTAATTAAAATTGTTCTATAAATGGACAAGTACTGCTGATATCGAACCAAAACAACAAAATAAAAGCTAAATAAATTATTGATTTATTGAAGAAATGCCCTGATTACATTACATCTACAATTTCTGTCTTTAAGGATTTTTTAGTTACATCTCAACGTCCACCTATCATGTGATAAACAGATAAAAATATATGATTTTCTGACCTGGCAGTTCTGTAACATTAATGAAAAACAAGGCCAAAAAATGTATGCATTCTTGCCCTTTTGTAAAACATTGAAATTGCAGCTAAAAGAAAATATACTTGTTTACTTCTACTTCACCTAGATCCCCTTTATGATGTTTTGCATAAAAAACTTACCAGATTGAAATATCCAGAGATGGAAAGCACTTGTGCCTTGATGTTCTGAAATACAGAGAAACCTTCAATTAACGTTTCGGTGTGGTATTTCAGCGTCATGGGTGAACCTAACACATATAAGTGGAAGACAATGAAGATGAGGTGTAATTTGTGTCGGAAAATAATATCTTATTGGTTTTCAGACTAGATGTCACTTTGATATCCCAGCATACACTAGTTATTCTATTAAGGTTGAAAAAGAAAATACTTTGCAACTATTGAAAAAATTACGTCCCGTTCACTCATAATCAATTAAGTGATATCTTCATATGCTATTTATGATAAATTCTATATGTCTAGATATTACTTTCATATGTTGATTTATATAGGATTAGCAAAGTCTACTCCAATTGCCTATTTTTTGATAACTTCAATTTGTTGAAATTAAAATTCGGATTTAGAGAAGTTATCGTTTGAATAATTAATAATAATTCATCTGTTGAATGGTTGTAATGTGCACAAGTTTTTCTTGGTTCGGTTGTCAACACTCTCACCATGTCATTGATTGTAATCAGTGTGAGAGACACAGTGATGGACACACGCTCTTGTGGCCGCTGGTCAACTGAGTAATTGGTAAGAAGGTAGGTCCTTAGTGTCGTCTCTACATCTTTGGAGTAAGGCAGGGGAGGTTTGGCCACAGACAGGTGAACATAACACAATGCCAGGCCTGAAATTGTAACACGTCATATTCTGGTTAAATCATATCTCATTGACGTAAACATTTCTACAACCATATACACATTCATTTTTGAAACTGTGTATCTGTGACCAAGGAATAAAAGATCACATGTATATTTATATATACATATGCTGGTTACAGTAAGATATAGAGGTAAAGTAATTATGTATATGATCACCTCCAGATGAACACTAGTCTTATCCCTGGTGTTTATTATAAGGATTAATGCCCAGCGTCAGGGAAGGGCTAATAAATTTCTACCCAAGAAGGAGAATGACTTATGTCTAGGATTAAGAAATCTCTACACCAGGATAAAATTTTTGACCGTGAAATCCAAGTCTTTCCCTAACCTTAAGGTTAGGACTAAGACATCTCAACCCCAGGGAGAAATTCTTGATCTTCTCACCCAGGTATTTCCTAACCTTAATGTTAGGACTAAAATATTTCTGCCCCAGTAGGAAATTCTTGACTGTCTAATCCAAGTCTTTCCCTAATCTTAATGTTAGGACTAAAATATTTCTGCCCCAGGAGGAAATTCTTGACTGTCTAATCCAAGTCTTTCCCTAACCTTAATGATAGGACTAAAATATTTCTGCCCCACTAGGAAATTCTTGACTGTCTAATCCAAGTCTTTCCTAACATTAATGTTAGGACTAAAATATTTCTGCCCCGGGAGGAAATTCTTGACTGTCTAATCCAAGTCTTTCCCTAACCTTAATGTTAGGACTAAAATATTTCTGCCCCAGGAGGAAATTCTTGACTGTCTAATCCAAGTCTTTCCCTAACCTTAATGTTAGGACTAAAATATTTCTGCCCCGGGAGGAAATTCTTGACTGTCTAATCCAAGTCTTTCCCTAACCTTAATGTTAGGACTAAAATATTTCTGCCCCGGGAGGAAATTCTTGACTGTCTAATCCAAGTCTTTCCCTAACCTTAATGTTAGGACTAAAATATTTCTGCCCCGGGAGGAAATTCTTGACTGTCTAATCCAAGTCTTTCCCTAACCTTAATGTTAGGACTAAAATATTTCTGCCCCGGGAGGAAATTCTTGACTGTCTAATCCAAGTCTTTCCCTAACCTTAATGTTAGGACTAAAATAGTTCTGCCCCAGGAGTAAATTCTTGACTGTCTAACTCATGGCTAACTTTGTCTCTGATTCGACGGTCACAAAACGTCTTCTTCGGGAAGATATTTTTGTGTCCTCATTAAGGAATTGTGATTTTCTTGTCCAGTTTTCATGTATCCAGAAAGACAAAAGAAAACCAACGACTGGTTTATATCATGATTCATGTTTAACATTTCCATTCCAATATGAATTAACATGTAGTTAAATTAATGTCAAAATGTATCGAGTAACTCAATAAATAACAGAAATAAACAAATATGCTGGCTATTTTGAACCTCCGTGGTGGAAGTACTTTGTAATTGTACAAACAAGACATGCCGTCAATACATTCCTAATTTACATATAAATACCGAATTGAACAAGACTGATAGTGACTCGTGGTATCAGTGACGTCATAAATAATTACTTGAGATCGGAAAGTCAATGAAATCAATATTCTTTGAATGTTACTGGTATAGTGAATCTCAGGCAGAATGACACAAATTCACGCAGAAATATCCATACTTTGAATCCACCAATTAAACCTTATATGAATTAGTTTCAATTTTATTGTTGCTATGTCTATGTTATTAAATTCAAACCTAAATAGGTTACGTCTAGCAAACATGTTAAGCTTCCTGTTCACGTGTAAATGTTCTGTGGTTACGGTTATCCGGAATAAGATAGATAAACGTATGATTATGAATCTTGCTAAGACCGGAAGTGTGGATTTTTTTTTCTGTCCGGTGGGGTAGAAACGTTCATATATGAAATAAAATTCATGTAGTTCTCTGTTTTATTGAAAAAAAATATAACGACATGTAGCTAGAATGAACAGTTTTATTATTTAATTCGTTGTTTTTTTTTGTTTAAAATGCTTCTTACTGTTAGCGTGTTGATTGATATCATATTAACATAATATTTAATAAGGACTAAATATGAATAAAAGAAGAATTTAATCGAAGACCCGTGAAAATTGTACAAGAAGAATAAGACCATGTGTTCCAAAATGGTAAGCGCCTTCTGCTTAATGGACGACATACTTTAGTAAATATTGGTCAATCAAAGTAAGTAAAATCAGGTTTTCAAATGTGGACATGGTAAATACCAAAACAAACACATACTATGTGGGGAAAGGTGACTTTTAATCTTAAATCGTAATTGACGGTAAGAGTAGGAAATATGATTCAAATAGGGAACGACCAAATCATTTTGACAGCATATTCTTCTGTCAGGAATTGCTCCAATCTCCCACCTCCTAACGTTTCTCATAACCTCCACGACCGACCGTCGTCTTGAGTCAGGCATCGTGATAACCTATTGCAGCAGGCCCGTTTCTTCTGTCATTTTCTATGCCGAGTGTCTATAGTCTATATCACGTGATAGTTTGGTCTCAGTACTAAGCCTGCGAAACTGTAGAGAAATTAATATATAGAAATTTGACTATTTTAGCGTTGAATCAATGGGGTTTTGTTTGTTGCTTTAAAGAATATCATTGAACAAACTAATATGTATAATTATGTTTGATACGCAGCCAAGGAGATTATACGGGTGTTTATTCTGGGACATGGACACAGCAGAATTGGGTCATATACCTCACGATAGGGCAGTACAATGACTTACAACAAAAGGAACGAAAAATACATTTAAAATAAAGTACTGAAATTATACGTTGATACAATTGATAAGATAGGACACCACTTCATTTTGTGCCAGAGTAAACACACGTGTTTTTGTAATTACTTATATCCAGCCTGCTTTGCTTATGGCGTCACTGATACAATTCATGTGTAAATACCCGTATCGTATCTAAACAGACAAGGGTTTACATACCTTTCTCAACAAAGTACAAGGATCCCGTGTGTTCTACACTTAAATGTTAACGGGTGTAGTGGAACAATAGATGAAAGTTGTTATTGACACAAACTCTACCGTCGAATCAAACTCTGAGGCCGTTAATGAAATAATACAGACGAATTGAACCCGAATTTGAAATAACATTTTATGTCAGAAATCATAATGATAGCGCACACGTTAATTCAAATTCTGCTTATGTATATGTTGTTGATAATTTTATATATGATTCTAAAAAGAGATATGAAATATTGAACAACATAATCGCAAAATGAAATTAATTAAAAACTAAACATATTTTAAAACATTGTTTTGATTGTGACGTTTAAGCAATCTGACGTAAAAACTGAAAGTCCTGTATATAATGGAAAGAGATGACGAGAACATAGTGATAGTACAAAACCATTTTCTAAATATTATGACTTACAACTCGCGTGCAGAGTGAAACACTGAAATATCTTTCTGACGCTCCGTATTCCATTGACTCTTTCATAATTTAGATAAAGTTTCTGAGAGAAAATGATAGTATATCTAGTTTGGTACTAAAGAAAGCAGACCGGTAAGGGCATGCTAAGAATGGAACTCCCTGAGGATTGTGTAAGAAAATGGCTGCCTACATTTTGATGATATGTTTGGCCACTCTTGTCTCCTGGTCATTTTCTTATCCCCATTGAAATGTACATAATTATGTTGATGGTTCTAATTTTTGTGAATTTAACAAAGACTTAAAGCGGAAATAATCTGTGTTTTTCGTAATTATATTGCTAGCTCAAATAATGCTATTTTTAATGTATCGATTTTTCGCCATCACTGAAAATAGCGAAAAAAATTAAGATATTTATCTTTATAGTATATAAGCTAATGCACAGTTATATAATAAAGATAAGTTATAGTAGGTTAGACCGATTTTTTTTCTTTTAAATATTTCGTTAAGGATTGTTACTAAGTATTACATGTTTTGGCTCTGAAGAAAACATAACCTTACGTTAATGTAACGAAATGTTGTAGTCAAACTTGAATGAAGAATGTTTACACATCAACAAAAATTGAAGACAAAAATCTATATTTCAGAATCATATAAACGATCCCTCATATCTGAAATACCAACATATGCCTTCAGCCTTGAACTTGTAGGATTGTTTATCTAACTGAAGTTCTAGTTTCGTAAAAGGCTTCCGTAATACAAAACAAAAAAATTATCTCCATCCAATCCTCAAAGTCCATAAAGAATAACTCCTTAATTCACTTACATATATCTTTGTCTCTGACTTGTACGTTCCTCTCTGATTTTTTGTATTTTGTTTTTTGTCAAAGAATAAAATTCAAATAACATCAGCATATAACGGTCTTATTTTGAACTTTGTTAACACCACAAAAATATTTAATTATTATATTTATTATTTATTTGATATGGAAGTTTCACTGCGATGGGAAGCACAATATACACTATTCCAACATCAACAAAATTTCTTTCTCTCTTATGATACGTCTGTGATCTTTTGAAATCAGCCAACAAAACATGGCATGGTATTTGATTTAAACTGGTGATGCATTTTTTTCTCGTGCATTCACTACCGAATTATTAGGCAGTTGGAATCGACATGTAGGTATAAAAGTATGAAGTATCGGTGGGCAGGAAATGTTTCAAAGTACTTCTGTGGAATGGTTTCATTTTCTAGACATACACGAATTACCAAGGTTTGTCATAATTAGATCGATGTTAAGGCTTGGTGAGGAAGTAATTAATTTGCCATTTCAATTATCACGTTATCGATTATTCTAATGAAAAACAAATAAAGAGCTAAAGTGTAAATATAACCGCATTCCGAACCAAAAATCGATGAAACAGTGTTTAGATATGAAGAAAACTAAACTTCATTTAAGAAATGTCAAAATAAAAGGAAAATTTTGACTCATCACAAATGCTAAGATAATGAGTACGGGAGGGGTATTTGTCTTCTAATTCTAATTTTTAATTCTTCTAAAGCTCATGCTAAGAAAATCACGACAAATCAAAATAATGTAACGTTCTACAAGTAAATACCAAGTAAAACTCACAAAACACGTTAATGTCAATATCATTAAATCAGTTGGTCATTTTGCGTTTGACAACATTTTTTAATCAGAACGCACCTCCCGGTGGCGACAGAGCGTGGCTCCCGTGGGGGCCCGGGCGTAGATCTTATACAATTGGCTTACGGTACAGAGTTGTCTCCCTTCCTATAAGTAAAACTTACGTTAATCTTATTGTTCTTAAACACGAAACAGTACTCCAGTGTAGAAAAAGTTTCACTCAACCATCTCTTGATTTTTTTTTTAAGTTGAAGTGGCTGGGTAACCGAGATTAGAGTTACCTCCCTTATATGAAGTGCACGCTGTATCCCGCTTTTACAAAACTACAACAGATTACGGCTTCATTCATCGCAGAAAATATATAACTTTTTCAATTAAATGTTTTGACTATGTGAATATTGTAGTACCTAAAGAGCAATTGTGTGTGATTTTAAAACACAACCACACGGACAGTACAACACAGTAATGTAAAAAAAAAAAGAAAAAAGAAAAAAAAAAACGGTATAAAATCAACATTTCAAATACTATAATTAATTTTTGGTGTTTAACCACGCGACATGACTCAGACATTTTTGTTTACTCCATTCCCAAATGACAAATAATTGTTACGGTAAAGATGTAATGTATCTATGCCTAGTTACACTGTAATGTATTCATGTCTTGCTTCAACCCGATTCCCCTGTTCCAGTAATTAATGATTGATTAATACTAATAGATTATTTAGATTATGCAATCACTTTCATACCAGCTCATGTTAACCATTTCTGATGGTAATTGATTACAATTGTGCTATACGTTTGCTCTAATAGAGTATTGTTATAATTTACGCCAATGTTCTATGTAGTGGAAATTAAATGAAAGTGTCGAATGAGATCATTAAAACGAAAGACGGGTATTGAGCGCAAATTATTTTTCTTTTTCATTTACAAGATATAACAATTTTTTTTATATTCAACTGATTGTTTTCTGTATCGCATAATGATGACGCCGAGGATGTCTGAATGAATGCATGAAAAATATATTGATTGACTGATTAACTCAAATACGCAGTGTTAGAATGTTTATACTTTACATTTGCTGATGTTAAAGATATCAAGTTATTCATCCCATAAATATCATTATTTGAATGCTTCATGATCATCGGACAAAACTTTCTCCACACTTTTGTTCAGAAAAAACAGTACGCAAAGAATATGAGGGCGAGAACAGGAAGACATGAACATAGTTTCTGAACGTAACTAGTAAAGTTAATGTTGATCTTGTTTTAAAAGCAAATGTCTATTTTTTTGAAAACACCAGCAATATTTAATTGGAGGTAATTGAATTCACCATTGGGATCCCATTTAGTTATTTTGATGGCACAATATACATCAACACGATACTAATATCAGTTTTTAAGAAAATGAAATCTCGCAAAGACTCAGTATAATGACTTTATATGTCATTTTCCCTACATAAGCAAAGAATACTCTTAAAATAATGATCAAAGGTAACCAATGTGTGTAACGTGAGAACATTCAGATGGCACGAAAAACAGATGATATAAAGAAACAGACCAGCTAATGAAAGAAAAACGGCGGACCGTTAAAGTAGAAAAATACATCTGGAATATCACATTCATTCTTGTAGAAAAATCAAAACATTTAATATCCCTGAAATACAAAGCCTGATCTTCACAACATGTAGTTCTCTTCAAATGAAACCAAAGGTTTAAGATTCTCACCAATCTATATTTCATGAACAAATTATGCAATGCGATATCAAATTGTGAAATCTAGCGACATTTGTTTACAAGGTTATTGCCTTAACAGCCACCACTTTTGAAAATATTCTCATCATCTTACGAAAACTAAGCAATGTCCAGTGATCTTTGCTCTCGCACATGTTTGGTGTCGAAAAGATGCGTTGGAAAAAAGACTAAATGTTTTACATTGAAATACTTGTAAGAAATACATGATTTCTAACTTATTTGATAAATAAAGGCGAATATTGCGAACAGAAATATGAGTATAAATGTCCCGTAGTTAGATAATACTAGTGCTTTCTTAATATTATTATAATTGTTTTTATTATGTCAACAATATCTTGTACAATGATAACACGGAGAGATAAATATCAGAACTACGTCAGTAATACGCTTGGTTTCTACCAATGCTTAAATTCTGGTAAATGTGAGGCTATCAAACTAACACCACCAATTGACATGAACTTCACCACAAGTAATGTACAAGATTATATACTCACCCAGGACAAGTGCCAAGCATTTAACATTAACCAAATGCAATTCCATAGCTGTAGTGCTGAATATTACATCACACAAGCAACATCGGGGTAGCCCGGGATGAATCAAGCACCCAGATACTTAGCGTCTGTCTTGTTTCGTTTTGTGCTAATATAGCTGGTAATTACATTGAATATTGATTTCGTTGTTACCGTAATCGCTAATCAATTGCCATATACCGACGCCAGTGAACTACCCAATAGTGGCAACAGTAGTTTATATAAATGATCTCTAACTTGCTTAATCTTCCCCAACTCTTTCAATATCTTGTTTTGACAAATGATTTGGTTCAATTTCCACTAACTACATTGTATAAGTAGCCAATATCGAATGGTCAACATTAACGTTAGTTTAGATCCCGCACGGTCTGGTCACGTGTTCTCGAGTCGATTGTTAGTATTGTAAAGTATAAAATAACTTTCATGTTTGTGAAAGGGATAGAGTACTTCAATGAAACGGATGGTAAATATAATGTGATATATAGGGGGAAAGACTGATATATGTTTTGTTAAAGATAATGTAAATGTCACGAACCTTGAAAACATTCTTTTGTCAAATAGATGATTTGTACCCGACGTTATGTGATTGTTGGCATTGTAATGTTGTTTTTTCTTAATATTTTTTAATATTCTCAATATTTTCTATAAGTAAGACATGCATCACCCTGCCAACTAAAATTTTGAAAATAAAAAAGATCACGGGGGTTGGGGTGTGGGGTTGTGGGCTGAAATAGGCGTGTTCGGCGGTGGATTTCACTCTGTTAAGGTTTGTTGAGATCTAATACAAGTGACTACAGTTTCTACATTTCATAAAGTAATCATGCTTTCTAAAAAAAAGTGATTATCAAAGCAATTCTTCAATAAAAAATTGTTACGATATCTACTACCATTACAATTCCATCAGTTTACACCAGGTAACCAAGATTCGATCCTCAATCTCGCCAGACTCTCCACGCTAATCACGACACCATCAAATCGCGTAGGTCCTGGTCATCTTGGCCAAATACAGTACTAGTCCCGGTCAACGTGGCCTAATACAGTACGAGTCCTGGCCATTGTGACCTAATACAGTACTAGTCCTGGCCATTGTGACCTTATACAGCACTTGTCCTGGTCATCGGGGTCTAATACAGTACTAGCCCTGGCCATTGTGACTTAATACAGTACTAGCCCTGGCCATTGTGACTTAATACAGTACTAGTCCTGACCATTGTAGCCTAATACAGTACTAGTCCTGACCATTGTAGCCTAATACAGTACTAGTCCTGGCCATTGTGACCTAATACAGTGGTGGCGCAGTGTTAACGCACTCGCCTTTCACCAAGCCGACCGGGGTTCGATTCCCGGAACGGACGTGAAAAGGTAAGGGGCCACCTGCCGGACCACGTGGGTTTTCCCCGGGTACTCCGGTTTCCTCCCACAATAAGACCCCTCGCGCGCTTACATCCGGGCCAACAAGAGTGATTAGTATAAGTTGACATAACTTGTTTCGCAATTGTTGTAAAATAAATAAAGTTCATATTTTATATTTATATTTTTTTAATACAGTACTAGTCCTGGCCATTGTGACCTAATACAGTACTAGTCCTGGCCATTGTAGCCTAATACAGTACTAGTCCTGGCCATTGTAGCCTAATACAGTACTAGTCCTGGCCATTGTGACCTAATACAGTACTAGTCCTGGCCATTGTGGCCTAATACAGTACTAGTCCCGGTCATCGTGGCCTAATACAGTACTAGTCCTGACCATTGTGGCCTAATACAGTACTAGTCCTGGCCATTGTGACCTTATACAGCACTTGTCCTGGTCATCGGGGTCTAATTCAGTACTAGCCCTGGCCATTGTGACTTAATACAGTACTAGCCCTGGCCATTGTGACTTAATACAGTACTAGTCCTGACCATTGTAGCCTAATACAGTACTAGTCCTGACCATTGTAGCCTAATACAGTACTAGTCCTGGCCATTGTGACCTAATACAGTACTAGTCCTGGCCATTGTGACCTAATACAGTACTTGTCCTGGCCATTGTAGCCTAATACAGTACTAGTCCTGACCATTGTAGCCTAATACAGTACTAGTCCTGGCCATTGTGACCTAATACAGTACTAGTCCTGGCCATTGTGACTTAATACAGTACTAGTCCTGACCATTGTAGCCTAATACAGTACTAGTCCCGGTCAACGTGGCCTAATACAGTACGAGTCCTGGCCATTGTGACCTAATACAGTACTAGTCCTGGCCATTGTGACCTTATACAGCACTTGTCCTGGTCATCGGGGTCTAATACAGTACTAGCCCTGGCCATTGTGACTTAATACAGTACTAGTCCTGACCATTGTAGCCTAATACAGTACTAGTCCTGACCATTGTGACCTAATACAGTACTAGTCCTGGCCATTGTGACCTAATACAGTACTAGTCCTGACCATTGTAGCCTAATACAGTACTAGTCCTGACCATTGTGACCTAATACAGTACTAGTCCTGGCCATTGGGACCTAATACAGCACTTGTCCTGACCATTGTGACCTAATACAGTACTAGTCCTGGCCATTGTGACCTAATACAGCACTTGTCCTGACCATTGTGACCTAATACAGCACTAGCCCTGGCCATTGTGACCTAATACAGTGCTAGTCCTGACCATTGTGACCTAATACAGCACTTGTCCTGGCCATTGTGGCCTAATACAGCACTTGTCCTGGCCATTGTGACCTAATACAGTACTAGTCCTGGGCATCGTGTTATCACACAGTGCAACTCCTGCTCATCATGGCCTATAAATAACACCATACTGATGACATCAAAGTTAATTCTCCATACGGCAAACAGTGAGAAAATACGAAATGAACTTTCCACATAGATACTGTTCTAGTGCTGTTCTGTTAAATACATAAAAAACCCAATGTGATGTGATCTATTGTGTCCACTGTGATTCGATGCAGTCAGGTCCAATTCCATCATCAACGTAACATAGAGAGTGATACTAAATGCTTGGTTATCTATGGAAAACCTCTTGAGGACGTAACATGAATCTGGATGTAATTGATTTGACTTCTGTTACAGCTGATACAACCACTATTTAAACGACTTTTATGGGCTTTTTTTTTAATACACAATAGTTGTAGATATCAATATTTGTTCTATTGATATCCTAAATCACAAGCCCGACTAGACTGGTACAGTTTATGTCATTTAACCAGTCTAGAGAAAACAATAGCACATTTGACTACAATATTTCAGTACAGCTTCTTACAAACAATTCATCTCAACATTCGAAGATCTTTTCTTTTCTTTTATCGTGTTTCTGGGGTGATATCTGGAGATCTAACAGCCTTTTCTGATTGATGTAACCAGAAGAACGTCGCTGCTGTGTGCTTGTGTCATATTACATTCATCATTTTATACACGAAAGGTAAATACCCATGAAAGGGTAAATCCTTTATATAGAGATCTTTCGTGAATGGGTGTTCCAAAATTCTGTTTCATGTCTTTTTTTTTTGTATATTTATCTAATTTTCATAAGTACTTATAAATTGAGACGTTTTTCCTCCTTTCCTCTTTCCCAATTGATTTCAATTAGTGAGTTTAGCAGTTCATTGATTTCTTTTAGGGATTCGAAATAATGCCGTTTACTAGTTGAAGATATTATTGAACAAAATCATCGTGGGAATATGTAGGGACATAGCAAAATCGACTCAAGATGGCTTACTGATATTTAAACTTCGTGACAAAACATTCTCTTTAGGACAACGGTGTGTGATATTAATGCTATAGTATTATGGTTTGAATATATCCGGAATAATGCGCAATTCATACCGCGTCAAAGCATGCTGAACTTTCCAGTACATTACCTTTCAGATAAACCTGTAAAGTCAACATGTAGAAATGGATATATTATTTACTTAACGAAAAATCTAATCGATTCGCAGACAGTTGCTTAATTGTGTAATGTTACACCTACATTCCAGTAGACTCAGTTCAGTGGTTATAATCATTGTATGTTACGGTGATGAAGTGTGTTTGGACTATTAACAAAGACAGAGTTTTCAATAGCATAGTACACTGCAAGCACAACGGGGGATAAGGCAGACCGGGTGCCTTAATTGTAAACCAATTACTAGCACACTTTAGAATCAGCTTTCTTTTAGAAGACTTCCTAATTAGATTTAAATATCACCATTCAGGTAGATGTATCTGTTTGGTTTCCAATTATCGTTAGTAATTGATTGAACGTTTTCTTCATTTTCTGTAGAGTACATGAGTAGTTGATCCTTAGTTCAACTTGTAATATAAAGAACACGTTACAAAAATTATCTACTCGGCGTGTGCCTTTTTAAAACATTACCAATGATGGACAGGTGCAGCAAACATTTTTATTGTCCACAAGATAGTTACGATTTTTCAATTAAACTGGCTCAGCCTCAGAATTGTTTTGCTGGGTGACTCTACCGTGTCTGATTAAAACAGGTATTAATTGAGGCCAATCAACATTAGATTGATCAGAATTGACTACTGTAATTAGGATCTCCAATAAGATAAAAAGAAATCCAAAATTTAGTCAACTTTCCATTGTTCATAGAAGATCGTCAGATAAAAATTATCACCATGTAAACATAATCAAAATCCAAACTCAAATTCAGTAAAACTAAAAGTAAAACATGAACAAAGGAAAGGTTTTGACAGAGACTAGAAAAAGTACAAGTAGAAAAACCAGGCGTTCTGGGCAACGACACCCGCCATATATCAATCTTGGTCAATCAAAAAACGTAATGTCACGTTCTTAAATGAGAACAAGGTATACAACAACGGAACCAACAGGCAAACAGGCAAACTAACAAGCATCAAAAAAGTCTTTCCATGTCCGTTACGGGAATTGAACCTCGGACGCCAATCTGAAAGGCGATAGCGTTACCAGAGTCGACTACAGTTCAAGGCTGTTATTATCTATTGAGTTCGAGGATGCCTCGGATTTCACTATAAACGAAATCTATGAAAGGAAGGTTGG